TGTTTCCCAACATTTTCTGTGTGTGTGTGTGTGTGTGTGTGTGTGTGTGTGTGTGTAGGTTACTGGAGGAGGGGAATGTCGAGGCTGCAGAAGCACAGAAACAGAGGATTGAACAGCTACAGAGAGACAGACGCAGAGTCCTTGAAGAGAACAACATGGCACATCAGCCGCAGTTCTTCCAGTGTGTACCACTACACATCAGTCATATTATCTGCTCCTGAAATACTGTTACACACTGACTGTTTTTATATTTGCATAAAGCAGGAATGTCAGGCTCCAGTGCTGAAGGCCACGCTTCTGCAGAGTTTAGTGATGTAATGTTTTCCTCACTCTAATACTCTAATGATGGCCTTGGCAAATAACTGATAAGATGAGGCAAAAGGCTGCAATAGTGAGGCCCAGAGATTGATGCATTTGTTACATTTAGATGCTCAAATCATTTTTTTTCTCATGAGATACACCACACGTCCACCATAGGCGTGTCTTCTCCAGAGAAGTGCTCAATCCAAAACCTTTTGGATGGGTTGGAGTGGTGTTTGTGGTCCAGAACTAATCATCCAACACCAGTACCTGATCTTACTAATGCTCTGGTGGCTGAATGCAATCAAATCCTCACAGCAATGTACCATCACTCCAGAGAACTCCGGAGTACGCAGTTCCACTTCACCATAGTCCATTATATCCCACTAGTTGACACTTGACATTTTCGGTTCATATACGACTGTTCCAGAGTGTCTGATTCTGTTGGCAATAGTTTTTGATGGTGATTGTGCAAGCTTTGTGTCTGCAGTTGAATGTCTGTATCAACAGTGGGTGCACCTTAAAGTAACAGAACCCCTTAGTTAGAAGGGCTGTGTCTATACTTTTGGATAAACCATGTTTCTCTTAAGAAAAGACTCTACAGAGCAGTGTTCTCTGGAGTGATGGAGCTCCTGGGATGAGTTAGAGTGGTGTTCATGATCCAGAACTAATCATCCTGACCTGACCTTGCTAATGCTCTTGTGGCTGAGTGCTGTCAAATCCTCACAGCAGTGTTCCAACATCTAATGTAAAGCTATCCCAGAAGAGTAGATACTGTTACTGCAGCAAAGGAGGAACAAACTCCCTATTAATACCCATGATTTCACACCAAAAGTTGGATAAACTTTTCGACATGTAGAGTATTTGCACCTGATATCTGCTTAAATAGTTTCGTTTGTATTATTTTATATGTATGAACACTGGCAGTCAAACAGAAGTGCTCAGATGCATGTGTCATACACTGACACTTCACGACAGTTTTGAATATGTTTGAAGGAGATCCATCCCTTAGAAAATGACTGAATACTCCAACAAAACAATGCAAGATGCTATACAGAGGGCAAAATTCAGTGCCAGCACAAACAGCAGATTGATATCCCATTGAGAATTTGATGGGAAGAGTCCCTTTAGATCAGGGTTGCCCCTGGATCAAGGCTGGCTTGTGAAGACCAGAAAGTTGCCCAAACTCCACCTCTTCACCCAGTGAGAGAACAAACATACTGCCCTATGCAAAAGTTTGGGCACCCCTGGTCAAATTTGATTTTATTGATTTTCTAAGTGAAAATGAGTGTTAACACGTTCTCCATAGGATACAGACTTAAATATGGCAGTTTTCTGCAAATATTAGTGCATCATTTATGTTTATATTCTGAGTTTAACGTATTGGGAAAATATATAAAATATGCCAGGACATTTGCACAGGCCACATGTTTTTTTCAATAAGTTGAATTCAGCAAATAAACAGTAATTGTGTTTTAAAATGTGCAGGATGTGTTAACATATTTTCACTTAGTAAATCAACACAATGCAATTTGACCTGGGATGCCCAAATTTTGCATAAAACTGTAGTTTTATACTATATGCAGCTTACTAAGTTCTTATTTTCCTTTTAAAATAGCATTTCGAAATACTTTTGTAAAACAATATAGTTTAATGATATATAATATATTTTACAAAAACTCAACTTGAAACCTTCCTAACTTTATCGTCTTTTCAGTCCTCTTCATACTAAAAAACTTAGCAATTTGGCCCCTAAGACAAAAAGTCTGGGCGCTCTTGATTTAGATATTTAAAAATATGAATGTGTGACAAGTGGTGGAGATTGGTCATATTTACAAGTATATCTGTCCCCTAAAGTATGCCGTTTTTTACCCATCCAAAGCGGAAAACACAAGTAAATAGAAACAAAGCAAACGTCTGATGTTACTTCAGTGCATCGAAGTACTTTAACTGCTAAATCAGTTATTTCTCACTGTGTTGTTTACAGGAAATCTAAAGACGACACATGGGTCTGCAACAACACTTACTGGGACTTGCGGAAAGAGCCAGGATTCACTAATCTGGACTCTCCAGTGTTGTGGTGAGCTAGAGCAGCACTCATTGGCGGGCTTCTTCTGACCACTGCCTGCTCTTGTGTTCTCTGACCTACTTTCTGAATGAAGAAAAACACATCTCGCAGTGAGAGGTGAGGACTTACTGTGGCAGAGAGAAAACTCTGCCCAAGGCAATCGCACAGAGGAGGAACTTCACTGGAAGTAGAAGACTGTTTCCAGTCACTTCGCTACATTCAAGCATCCTTCCTTATTTAATATTCCATATGCCTTAATATGCTTATAACACCTTTTGTAGTGTCTTTATGCAGACATATCCATTGAATGTCTAGAAATTATGCAAACACAGCCCAGTTAATCATCTCTTATCATTGCTGTGTGCAACTAGTAGCACAAAAATATTGACCGAAATATTGTTGCATAGTGTCCTCTTGTGGTGCAGTATTGTACTGCAGACTGTAAATGTTACTGAGTTCAGCCCACAAAAGAAGAGAACTTGTGCATGCACATATAAAAAAATGCTGTTGTCTGATCAAAGTTACATTGTCTACCTCTTGAAAGAGATGGTATGGAAAACTCTCATGTAATTTAAGGGGTACATGTTAGAGTCTGAATTCCACACCTGTCTAATGCCTTATGGTCACGCATATTCAATTTTAGTCTGTCTTTGTTATTAACCTTTAATCATGTATCACCAACATGTTGTATCACAGTCTTGGCAGCATTTAGGGATGTATTTTATGAGTCTCTGAGAGCCTTGTTTCAGACTCACAGATGGACTGCCTACTCACCACACTGCACTTGTGAGTCTAGCTGAGTGTGCTCAGCTTTACACACATGGTTTGACCTGTAATCTGTGTCCGGTTCTCCCCGAAAAAGTGTCCACACTTGCTGTGGATGAAAGGGGTTGGAGGGGTGGGGGTCATTGTGTGTTGACCACTCTTGAGATTTCTCTCTCCTTCAATAAATGATCATCTCTGTGACTAGTCTGGCTTTCTTTCACTCTTTTTGTTGTGTTGTGATGCTCATTTCACCCATTAAAGTAGTGCTCACTACTTTTGTCTAAAGTAAATGTAAAGACGACATGTGGGTCAGCAACAACATGATACATATTATAAAAGGTAAGACTAGGAGTTTATGTGCTGGCTAGTATTTCATACTTTGATCTAAAGCCTTATGCTTAATAGTTTCAAAGTTGTTTCTGAGACAAATAAAAAAATGAATAATGAAGTACTTTCATTTATATGTCACTGTTAAATGCTGTAAATTGAATAAGCATTGAAATCATACTGTTGGAAACAAGTGTTATGAACTGGTGAAATCAAAATGGAACTCTTTGGTTACAATCACCAAGGGAAAAAAGTGCAACATTTAATAAATAGAACACCTTGCCAACTTCTAAGCATTGTAGTGGATCTATTATACTTCGGGGTTATGTGACAGCCAGTGGCATTTTGGAAGCAAATGTAACACAGTCAGTCAAGAAACTGAGGCTGAAAAGAGGCTGGCTTCTACAACAGTACAATGGTCCAAAACATACCTCAAAATACACCCTGTACTTCTTCAAAAACAAGCTAAAGCTTTTGTTGTGGCCCTCCTAGGCTCCTGAGTTGAACATTACTTAAAATTTAAGTAGATCTTAAACATGGTGTGTGAGCAAGACATTCGGAGAGTAGCACAGACCTTCAAGCGTTCTGCAAGAGAGAGTGACTGAAAATGCACATGCCATTAATATTTTTTTCTATTTTAAAGGATACAACTGTAACAGTACGTCAGAAACAACATAAGGAAGTCTGTTTGAGTTCCCTAATGTATGTTGAGGAATGTGACTGAATGCAGTTTGCACCACACTAATTGGTAGCTATAAACTTCTATTACCAGTTAGCTACATGAGTCCTGTAGCTCCAGTGTAAAAGTAGAGAAGCAAACTTAAGAAGCCAAACATGTCTGGGCTGACTGACTGCATTTGAGGAAAATTCTGTGAATGATTTTTTGCTGAACTATTCCTTTAAACATGATTGAATAGTATCCACCCATTCTTGCAGTAAAGCCACAGATCAGTGTACGTTTTTACTCTAAAGAGGTTTTTTTGTTATGATTCATGCCATGGCCAGTCAGCACCATCACTTAACTGTGACACACAAGTACTGTGTTTTTTCCCCATGTACTGTATCAATTTACACAATTTCTCAATCCACTTTCACATCTATCTATCTATCTATCGATTTTATTGCAATTGATTTCAGGGCATTTGTATTGGTCCATTCATCATGAAATTTTCACACAAAGGACAGTTTATATATATATATATATATATATATATATATATATATATATATATATATATATATATATATATATATCGACAAAAATGGAGATACATTTTTTTTGGACATATGTAAGTTTATGTGCAATTATATGTCTTGTTACTGTAACACTCACTGCAATTTCCTTTCGGAATCAATAAAGTTCTATCTATCTATCTATCTATCTATCTATCTATCTATCTATCTATCTAGCCTTTTAATAGAAATGCTGTATTTCTACAATTCCACCATCCACCATGGCTGATGAGTACAGTAACAGAGGGGCTGCAACACGATAAAAGCTCATAACAGCTCCGTCCATTTTGGTGAAGAATTACAAAGGTACAACGTGGACAGGCGGGCAGTCGGGTTTCTGCTGCAGATGGTCCCTGCTGAGATACTGGGGGCTGGTGACACGCTAACACCAGCCCAGTGATATAGGGGTTGGATCTGCCCGCTGCTGGAGGTGTGGTCTGCAGGGTCTCCCCCGAGAGAGAGAGAGAGAGAGAAAAATAAGAGCGGTAAAGGAGCGAGTGAAGAGTCGGAGGGCGAGCAGGGCGGACAGACGGGGACCCGGGCTCAGTTTAATCTGACCTTTGAAACAGACAAAGAGACGGTAAGAAGCCGCTGTTCTTCTCCTCTGTGGTTCAGTAGGAAAGTCTCTGAGACTCTTCTGCACTTTTCGCTTTAGAGCCCCGCCAAAAAAGAGAAAGCCCCTCTTCTGCAGGCGGTGTGTGCTGCTCACACTTTGCGGCTTTTGTTGTTTCCGCTGCGCTCATAGTAACAGGCCTGCAGAAACCAGATAAACCAGTTTATCTGGCGAACTTACTTGGATATATAATGAATTATCGGAGTGTGAACTCGCTCTGCCGCAATTTTAACTTCTTTGTGCCGCATATTAAACCAGCAGCCTTCGTCTGGGTCTGTTGTTGGAGGTTGTGTTTACAGTCATTGTCAGCAGTGAACTCAGTTAATGCTGTGACTGGACTGCTTACCAGAGTTTTACACGCGTTATACATATGTTTATAACACTCCATACCAACACTGTGTCTGTCAGGTGCAGCTTAGGACCACTGCTGAAAAAAGACCATTAGATCCAGTCAGAATAAAACCTGTTTTTTCTTCTTAATGGGAACTTAATTAATTTAATTGCTTAATTGTTTTTAGTAGAGTTTCCTGTACAACACCATTAGATCACATTAGAAAAACACGAAATGAGTGTCGAATCAGTCGCCGGTTAAACCATTAGCAGTAGAACTGGAACGATTCATAGTGTTGAAAATTCGATTCGATACGATACAGCAGCAACAAAAATAGAGTGGCTGAAACTGTGCCTTACACTGTTGTGTTATTGTTTCTGTTTTCAGTTTATTTGAACATTTCTATCTAATATAACATATCTAACAAATCTAATAGTCAAAAGAAAAGGCTGACTTTAGCCACGAGATAATACAGCAATGATATACGATATGCTGCAGTGCAGTGAGATACAGTGCGAAACCTGTTACAGCCCTAAGAAAAAAACACAAAATAACTTAATAACTATCTGCAACAGGACCTTAACATTTCTGTTGCCACCACATGGTGGTTTCTCCTGTTTGGAAGCATCCTTGGGGGGTGTTTCTTCGACACTCTCTGATGTTTCATGTATCATTCAGGATGGCGGTCTTGACTCTTTCCTGCTGGAGGTACTTGGAGGTACTAGTAGTTGATGGCCACTCCACTCTGGACATGCATCCATATCCACTCTTAGTGATTATCAGGCCTTTGCAGATCAGCATCTTCTTGGTATAAACCACACTTTATGGGTACCAATGTTATTGTCTATGAATTGGCTTCTGGTGGCCCACTGTATTTTTATAAAGGCTTTTACTGTTGTACTGATCCTTTACAGTGCTAGGCATTCAAGTCATTTGGGTATGTATTGGTGTGGCTTTGAGGCATATGCCTGCTTGTAGTTGATCCAGACAGTACTCATGTTGATCTGCTTGGTCTTGGAATCTTGGTTGACTGCTTAATCTCAGGAGGTCATTTGAAACTTACTCCAAAGGCAAACAGTCAACTACGTCACACCTGGTGTCTGAAATTGGTTGTTTAGTTTTGCACTGAGGACACAAATATCATGTAGCTGGCAAGAAATAGAAGCTCCACACTAATTAGAATCAGGCAGTCTGCATGCTTAAATCATTACATACTTACCTCAAACAATGCTGCATTGTTAACTAAACTGTTCTCTATAAAAAAGGACAAAAGTATATTACATATCTGAAAACAATACAAGCAGGGCAAATTGTTTAAATATGTTTTTTTTTAAGTATTATAATAGTTTTTGAATGTTCACAACTCTTAATGTTTGATGTTTTTGGATGAGTGCACTGAGTGTATTGAGTGGGTGTTTGCAGTAGTGTTCAGAATTACAATCCAAAAGTATGAAATGATTCTAATATGATGCTAAATTCAAAAAACAGATTAATGGGAAGCTGTGAAAATGAAGACTTTTTGGATGTTTTCACAGTGACAAGCAGAGCTGTAGTTGATTCCTCAATGCCCTAAGAAGGCAGTGAGCCAATGAGCACTGGGAATAGACATACATTAAATAACAATTAACATCCAGAATGCTTTGTATTTGAAATGTGGTAATCAAATCTCAAGCAGATAACTCATCAAGAAATGTCTAGAAATAGATAATTACAGTATGTTATTTCTCATTATAGTCTTGAATATTGAGTAAACTGTATAATGAAATACCTTTCAGTGTCAAACTATTGTATTAGTTAAAATTGACTACAAACATGATGCTGATATAAATTAAAAAAAATGATTTCAAAACTTTGAACGCTTATGTTTATGTATATGCTATATCTACTAAAATTATTATTATTATTGTTATTATTTCAGGTCCTATATTTTGGTTGCACCTACAATCAGCGTTCTACATAAGGAAGATGTTTGCCAAAGCGACCAGTAAATTTGTGTCTGAGATCGACCCCGATGGCTGTCTGATCCCTGTGTCCCGCCCAAATGAGTTGGACAACCTCACTCTCCTGTCTTTGGTCATCAAGCACAAGAGATTCTGGTTCTGGCAGCGACCCAAGTACCTACCAACAGATTTCACCCTCAATGATCTTCTGCTTGGAGAAAAGAACATAGATCCAGGTACAGAGCAGATTTGAATCACAGGTCACTTCACAGTTGGATTTGTCCTCACAAAGTAACATAACGCTTAGGAAAAAAAGTGAAATCAAGCAACAGTGTCAGTGCCTAAAGTGCAGTGTGTCTGTGAGTCAGTAAATTCTTCTTTTTTTGTGTTCTTTTTTTTTCAACAACAGATATTATCGAGACTGATTTTCTAAAATATAACAGCACATTAGAAAATACCACCACTGGAGGCGCTGAAGCAGGCTTCGGTTCGAGTAGCATAAACATGGCAGGAAAGGGTTCATCCAAACTAGCCTCCTCGTTTGGGAACCTCAAGAAGCAGGAAGTGGACGTGCGAAAACTGCTAGATGAATCTAAAGACAGGTAAGTGAATGAGGGCTATTGTTGAGGGATGAAAAACTCCTGTTAGACAAGGGGCATTGTGGAGATCTTTGTCTAGGTTTATCCTTGCATATACTCAAACTGCCATTTGGCCACATAAAGAGGAGCAATGTGGAAGTGGAAGTGGAAGTGGAAGTGAGACTGCATTTGTTGGCAGAATATTCTGGCTATTTTTGCTGTGAGCCAGATCGGAAATGTGAAGACCCCAAAATTTTTGAGTGTGTGTGTGTGTGTATGTATATATGTATGCGTGTGTGTGTCTTATTGAATTTCCTTTTACAACTGTATATTTTTGGAGGTATTTTAGTAATAAAATGTACTGTAATTTTAAGCTCAATTTAAACCCTACTTACTTCTTTCTTTGGATATTGTTTTGCTGGCCGACCACAAGCGTTGCACTTAAATTTAGGCATTCCTGGTTTAGAACCTGGGTTTATTCAGAAACATTGCTGTTTTTGCAATAAACAGTATTGTGAAGAAAAGCTGTGCCTTGAGTTTTAGAGTCCTCACCCTAAAATAGGTTGCTGGACTATATGTTCATATCCATTTCCTACTAGTGAAAATTGATTTTTTTGCATGTTAAAATGTATTATTTAAATATAAAGTTTCTGTTCTTACATGTAAGAAATTTAATAAAATTGTCACCAGTCTGAAGCCAATTTGAGCAAGTTAAACTTAGAATTTAACATTACGAAGTGTCATTTTTACTTCTGAAATTTGACTTAGCACATATTACAATATAGTTTATCCTAAAATCTATTTTAATAAGAACATAATAGGCCAAATGTAATCTTTTACTAGTATAAACACTTTGACTTGTTCAAATTGAAGAAACTGTGGATTAAAAGCTAAAACAGCTTGTTATAACATGCATTATAATGTTGTTATGGGTGCTTTAAAAAAGTACTGAGGTAGTGTTGCTCTTATGCATTGTGAATGTATATACATGCTCAGTAATTTATATGATCATTTCCTTGATCTTAGCACTTGCCATTGTGGTTATGTAAACAACATATTACAAAATCTTACAACACCTTTCTTTAAATCTGATAAAGACACCTGGATTTTATCCCAGTAGTTGGGTTATTTGGTGCATGAATACCCTTCATTTTTCTACCTCTGCACATGTGCAGGAACAATCACATACTCAGACAAGCTCGAAGTGTGGCAGTATTATGTGCAATTTGCAACCATAAAAACTCTCAAATAAATATTTCTAGCTTTTGCATTGGTTGAGATGCATATTTTACATATTTAGAAAAAAAATCTGATTCTTGACTGGCTCATGTGGACCTGGAATTATCCAGCTTATTTTACACGTGCATGTAAAGGTGCTGAATGATGTATTGCCCAAATCAGATTTTTTGCAGTTTTGTAAATACTTTGTAAATGCAGACTGTTAGTGTTTTAACTGAAACAAGTTAATGTAATGTAGTGTCTGAGTGACAGGTATGGCGAGTGTTTTGAATCTAGCACTAACCACTTGAGCATGACTTCCTGATTACCCCTAAAAAGGCCCTCCTGTTCTGCTTTTCTCAAACCCACAGCTCTGTATTAGGTGACCCTCTCAAACCAGAATGCTGTACAGGCTCTGTTGCTTCTGTGACCATATTATCAGACCTCTGCCTGTACGTTCTTCAGATAGTCAGGACTGGCTAACACGTGTTCTTCATAAGATAAACATCGTTATTGACAACAATAAAACTGAAAGACAAAATTGTGTTGCTGTTCATTAATTCATTAATGTGGAAATATGTACATTTGAATCAGGTAAATTCAGTGCATCACTTTTTTCAGTGTAGTAACTTTATCTTGATGAAATACTTCTTTGGAATGTCGTGCAGTGCTGGGGCTGTTACTCGGACAAACCCCTGATTTCTGTGCACAGTCATTGCCACTAAATCTCTCACCTTACTAGTTCATCAGCTTGTAATGGACTTGGACACCTCACCTTCAACAGAGTTCACATGGCAGCTTATCATTATCATCAAAAACTTTATGACCTCAGTGGGCTTGTCAGGACAGAAGACTGCTGACAGCTCAACGCTGTTAACCATCTATCCAGGTTAACTATAAAGGGTCACTTCTGTACTTCTTCCACATTCATAACTCAGAAACCCAAATGCCATGGTGTGTTGTATAGTGCTGGTAAGATCAGACTTCAGCGTACAAGATAACATGCAAAAAAAGGACAAAAATAAAAATATATGCACTGCATATCTGAGTTTGTTCCACAGCTGGACACACAATATGCAAACAGTTTTGTATCAGTCTGTTTACGTGGCCAAATTTAATGAACCAAATCTGATCAAATTAACCAAAGGTGACAAGTGGTTTGGCTCTGAAAGAAGGCCTCAGATTTATCCCTTATTGTGTCTGTCGGTAGCACCTGACTGTACTGATAGGGCCAATTTTTTATTCAAGCAATAAGCTACACGAGGCTATGAGAAACGCATACCCTGAAGTTATACAGCAACAAAGTACGCTTCAGACAAGACTCCACTTAACTGACCGTACGTTACTAACATTTGTCATCCACAAAAGGTATATTTTAAAAGAATAGCATCAGAACTCAATGAATAATTTATTATTTATAATACTTGTAATAAATTATCATTATTATTATTAGTAGTAGTAGTAGTAATAGTAGTAGTAGTACCATTTTAATAGTACACCATTAAAGAAAGTTCTTAACGGGTTCTTTAGTAATGGCACTGGCTCTACTGCTTAAATATTGGTTCTTTGCTAATTTAAACAGAAAGCCTGTTGTAGTGTGTTTATTAAAGAATTACAAAAGAGTTCACTGTTGTTACAAATCCTAAAATCTTTTTTGTGTTATATGTGACCCTTTTGCTGCATGTGTAGGCTTTTAATAACTTGGTGTATTGATGCAGAAATCAGTGGATGGGTGTGGATATGTGTGCATATCTAGTATGTTGCAGCTGCTTTGAAGATGACTCAGCTAATCAGAGCCAGAAATATCTTTTTTTTTTTTTTATGAAGTGGAGCTTGACCCATACCAAGGCAATGTTATCACACTTTGCTCTGATTTCAGTGTGAAGTAAATAAACAGTTTAAACTAGACTTGAATAGCATTGAGACGGAAAAGGAGACGTCGTCCTAATATAAAGAGTTCAAGTAGTTCAAAGAGTTCAGTGCACACTCATTGGGGTTATGACTGTACATATTAACTGTATAACTGTTGTTGCTCTATTATATGTGTACAAGGCATTTGTCAAAATGGTACAATAGGTAGCTTCTCTTTTTCAGTTAGAAAACAAATATGACCAGGTTCCTGATCTTGTCGAGTCTCTTGTGTAGAGTTCTGGACATGCAGCACTCTCTGGTCCAACAGACACGTGAGAAGCGACGGGAGGTGTTCGCGCTGGTGAAGGAGCGCATCGTGACCACGCAGGCCTGCAGCATTACTGAAGAGGTGCAGGAGGGGGGCAGCTGCGGAGCCTTTCTGGGGCTCCCTTTACCCAAGAAGATTCAGGTCAGAGATACTGAGTTTCACATTATTACACTGACTGCAAGTAAACTGAGACAAACAGGTGTAATCTGAGCATGGGACACCTTTAGCTTAATGAAAATCTCAAAATCCAGATACGGAGACACAAGAACAGTTTGTGAATGAGGCCCGTTGCTCTGTAGCTTTATATAGATACAGCCCAGTCTAAAGTTATTGGCACGCTTGATAAAGAAGAGTAAAGCTGTATACAACAAGCAATTAAATATTGTGCTTAAATATGTAATGGAAATACATTTTTCCCCCAAATACAGTTCTGAGTAATTAAAAAAGACTTAACTGTGTCAGCCTGATTACCCATAAAAGAGGCCATTGCTCTGTTTCTCCTACAGCCACTACTCTGGGGACCAAAACCAAAACTGGAATGGAAAATTTATTGCCCGCACACTGCTAAAAAATAGGACTAGTCTGTATATTTATTCCATTAAATAGAGCACAAAAGGCCAGACACAAACTGAGCAAACATTTCAGCCTCTTGCTATAATCAGTGCTTATGAAGCAACTCTATGAACCTGCACTTTTTTAAAGACCCAAACAAATTATCCTCACCTGTGTAGATTCTGCTGGGGCCTTCTTAAAGTGACAGTAAAACAACTAGAGGATATAATCAGTTGCATAGATAGAAAACAAATATATATATATAGAGTACTTACACTGTAATGCGCGCTAGGATAAGACAACAGGTTGTCACTGTCCAGTTTTTTTGTTTATATATGTGTTTTTGTGCATGTGTATGTATGTGCGAGTGTGTGTGTGTTGTGTGTGTATGAAGGTATATACTAAATTATCTTTCTAATTTCTAATTTATCTACCAACTGAAGGTGGATGAGAGGGAAGGGAGACTGGGGAGCATTTATTTGTATCCTTGTTATCATCTTGTTTTCTGTTTAGTGTTTAAAAAAAAGTTAAACAAATCTATCAAAGTAAAACAAATATATCAAAAAGTATATGTAGTATATATATATATATATATATATATATATATATATATATATATATATATAATAAAAAGAACAAAGATGTAAGTTTACAAATCCAGAAGATCTCCCTCTGTAATAATCTTTTCTCCTGATCTCCCCCTCTGAATGCCCAGGAAGCGTAGATCTTAAAGAGAAAGTTTAGCTGATTTAACATAATGAAAAACAGGGGCCATATCAGCCTGTCTACAAATTAAACTCATATATCCAGTTATTCTAGTCCGCAGAGCTCATCTAGTCTTAGCAACATACAGTACTAAGGACAAGGACAAGGACACATGATGACCTAGACAACATATGTGGATCTACAATTATAAACTGTCTAATCTTATATGTGTTCAAAGTTTCAAGAGTGTGTAAAAATTTACATTTCAAAAATTGAGAACAACAGGAACAATTATGACAAGGAAAATTATCTTGGGCATCTGTATCTGTGTGTACCAAATTTTCTCTTAATTTTTTCCTCTAGAAAAGACACAGAGGGGAGAAACTGTAAAAAGATCTGAATGAACCGAACCTTTTAGCCAACTGTGTCTGAACACATTGGAATTAGACCTCCGCATTTAACCCACCCGTGCACACTAGTGAACCCACACACACTGGGGGGCAGTGAGCACACTTGCCCAGAGCAGTGGGCAGCCCTATCCACAGCGCTTGGGGAGCAGTTGGGGGTTAGGTGCCTTGCTCAAGGGCACTTCATTCATGTACTGTCGGCTAAGGGGATCGAACCGGCGACCTTCCGGTCACAAGGCTGGTTCCCTAACCTCCAGCCCACGACTGCCCCTGTCTGATAATTGTCCATCACTTTTCTAGAAGGTGCCAGTGATTGTTGAGGATATTCTTAATCTCCTGACTAAAAGCACTAAATGTAGATTTTTTTTCCCTCAGTGGTGTGAGGAATGTACCTTCTGTGAAGCAGAATAAAGCCAATTCTGTGGATGCCCACAGACTCAAAAGTCCTTGCACAGAAACTGGGCTCTAGCCTCAAAATCAACTGCATCCAAACAAATACATAGGAGTCTTGTAAGCTGATTACAGGGCAGACTGTGTTTTAGTGGAACTGGGTGGGCACTTTTAGGCGGTTTTCCTCTGTGTCCTTTTTGTATAAGATAAATAGTATAAATCTGTATATATTTTTCCATTACTGATTTTAATACAAGTGTCCAAAAAATGTACATACGTACATGTCTACATGATGAGTAAACTTAGTGGAAGGTCTTAAACAGTTCATATACAGTGTGAAGAGTTCAAAGTCCTTCTGTGAACGTCTGTAAAGGACAGAGTGATAATCAGTATATCTTTTGAACAGAGTAATATTTTATTAAAAAAAAAGTTTTAGAAAACACATTTTTCCTCCTAATAACCCAAGTAAAGATTAGCATAATCAGGGTCCATAGTGGCCCCCATAGCAGTGCCTCCAATCTGCAGATGGAAAGCGTTCTCAAGCAGGCAGTATATAAGTGTGATTTCCGCCATATCTGTAATAAATTCAGTAGGAAGACCATTATCATCATTATGCTGACTAAGAAAAAAGGGCCAAAAGACTTAATTTAAAAAAGTTATGATCATTGTGTTGTACTTTAAAATTAATTTTGATATATTTGTTTTCTATCTATGCAACTGATTATATCCTCTAATTGTTGTACTGTCACTTTAAGAAGGCCCCAGAAGAATCTACACAGCTGAGGTTAATTTGTTTGGGTCTTTTAAAAAAGGAGCTGATAGAGTTGCTTCATGAGCACTGATGATAGCAAGAGACTGAAATGTTTGCTAAGTTTGTGTCTGGCTTGTTTGTACTCTATTTAATAGATTAAATATATGTTTTGCTTGACCTGTCTTATTGCTTATAGCAGTGTGTGGGCAATACTTTACATTTTGATTCAGATTTTTTTTGCTTCTCGCACCTGCAGTAATCTACTTTGTATGTTTTGTGAGGCACAACAGTAATCTTTGTTCCTAACCTACACTATGCTGTACAGGACCGTGTTCTCCACTGCATGTTTAGCTACATTAGATAGCATGAAAAAGAGCAGATAAACAGAATATGAAAAAAATAAATATATATAAATTTCACAACTTTGCACATGGCATTCAGAATGTGAGAAGTTCACTGGGTTCACACTCTGCATATCATGCAGCAAGCTTGTGATCCCGAAAGGTCGACAATAACGTAGTTAATAATGAAGACCCAGAGACCTCAGCCCAAAAATGATGAAAGATTAGACCTTAATGAAACTCTACTCTTAGAGTAATGAAATCTACTCTTAGACCTTTATTCATAAGTTAATGAAAGTGGGTAAAAGTTGTGAAATGAAATCTGAAGTGAAATTACACTTAAATGTGAGTTTGAAGAAACTGTGGCCGTGAGTTCCTGTATCATTAGAGTTTAACAAACATGAAATCATCTGGTCACTCTCACCATGAGGAAAGGAAAAAAGCTGACGGGTCAAAAATAGTTCACAAATATCAACCAACAATCTTCATAAATCACAATCTATAAACATAGCACTTTCCAAACCTAGCAAAAATATATACATATACAGCTGTATGCAAAAGTTTGGGCACCCTCTGATCAAATTGCTTTTGGTTGATATTCACCATGAAAATACATTAACAAATTCTCTACAGAGAACACAGTTCTGCACATTTTAATGCACAATCACTGTTTATTTGCTGAACCTAACATAGCAGCAGAAAAAAATAAACATAAAATATACCCTGCGCAAAGATCTGCAGAAAATGTTTGTTCCCTGCAGATGTGTACCTATTTTCACAGAAAATCAACAAAACATGTAATTTGACCAGATGAGCTCAAACTTTAGCATACAACTGTGGGGCTAAAAAATGATTTGTACACCATGAAAAGGACACAAGTGTATATTCTCACTATATACTTTAAGGGAAGACGTATACGAGCCCAGAAACAAACCCAAAGGTTAAAGTTGAGAACTTAAGATGTGAAGAGTTCAGCCTGGAGGAGTGGTGCAGGATCGCTGCATTGTTATTAATGCAATCCTCCTGAAGAAAATATTATGGTTCTTTATCCTTTTTATAGGGAGAATGGCCAAATAATTTTGACACTTATGTTTTTTAAATCACTTGTTTAAAAACTTTTGAGTTCAAAGAACTGTATTGACATCAACATTTTATATTATTACAGAAAGGGTAATTTGCTCTGCTTTGTCTTATATAACTTTTTAGTTATAATTCTAAACTCCTTTTTTATTCTACACTCATTTATTAAGCATGTTCTTACCTGTAGACCTTTTTGTCTCCTTTTTTTTAATTTGTCTACAGGTGTCAGTGAAGAATGGCAGCCACCAGTCTGACAGTAATGTTTTAGTAGAAATCCCTGCCAAGGCGGCCCTCGCTTTTTGTGTGATTGAGCTCAACGTGAAGTCCACAGGTCATTTTGGTAATGCACTTTTGCTTGGTTACATATAAAGTCAAACTGTAGAATACTGAATAGAAATTTTGGAACAGACGTAAAATGATAAATTTCATGCTAATGTCATGCCATGGCAGTTTGATCACAATTACTACAAAGACATGTGTTACAGTTTCAACATGGACAAATTAGTTTCCACTCCAGTCAATTCCATGTATGGTACTACAGTATTTACTCTGTTTATATTCAGACCTTTAGAAAAACCTGAATGTAAAGTAAAGCGTGCAGGTTTGGTCTGACTACTGCAGCCTTTTGCTCGCAGAGCTGTGCCTGCTGCCAGATACATATGGAGGCTTTGAGGTTGACGGGTCAGAGAAGAAGTGTGAGAACAAGGTCTATGCAACACCACCTGAACCACCAAACAAGCAGCTACAGAGAGGTAACAGCTGGATTGGGGTGGTGGGAGTTATGGAATCAGTGTCATACTCGTAAACAAGGCTGTATAATTAATCCCATATGAACATCACAGTGTTGAGCTCTGCAGTTCTGTGAAGAGCACAATTCATTTAGCAGCATTCCAGTTTTGTCACAGCAGTTACGAATAGCACTTTTTGCTCTGTGAGTAGTTTAACAAATCAGAGGTATTTTCACTGCATTTGCTCAGAGCACACTGCACTGTGGAGAGCCCAGAAGAACTGCCTCTGCATGTTGACATCACGTGTTGTACAGATTTGTCCCTATTGTACAGTGTGTGCCAGACTGTCCTAAAAACTGTTACATTTAATTACAATAGTTAAGGTGACTGCTATTATCACTTTAACCAGAATAATGCAGTCTTGCGATTTAGTTCTGGCTAGTTCTATTCTACCTTGCTTAATGGGCAAAATGTACTCGTGCATACTAAATCACTATTTTATAGCTTCCCACTAAAAAGCTTTTCAAGAGCCTCCCTATAGTACGAAGCCAAATGAAACTGTTAGGGCAGCCTTCTCTATTCAAACCATTTAAATCCTACACTCAGCTGATATAACAAACACTAGCAGTGGCTTGTCCTCTTTCTCTCTGTCTTTCTCAGATTTGGATAAACTGCAGTCCCAGTTTACCTTACTGTCAGGGCTTCCTGCCAGCATGCGCTCCAGCCTTTTCCAGCAGCTAACTCTCCTCCTGGAGGACAAAACAGCCATCAGTGCACTGGACCTTGCAGTAAGTGAAAACAGGGCATTTGTTTATGCTAATCAAAGGGGAATGTTTCATTATGCACATTTTTGTTTTAGTTAAAATTGAAATAAGTACCATTACTGAGTCATGAGAAAGCAGCATGTGCTGCTGCGAGTCACCTTGTAAAGCCTGAAAAAATTCCATTTTGTGGACATTTTTTTGGACTGTGCCATACGTCTTTATGTATTAACGTCACACACATAGCCTTAAAAAGAAGGTCCGGCTTGATGTTTAGGTCTCAAATGCAAAATCAACATTATACTGATGACAATATGAAGACAATAGTAGGAAATTTACTTACAACCAACAATACAAAATGTTCTTTCGCACATTGTGTGCTATTGCACATTTCCACCAGATCTTCAAATCCCCAAAACCTTACATACTGTTGCTTTAATGTTTTTAATTTTTTTACAGAACTATGTTAACTTCTTAAATGACCAGGACTGACCAGTGGGTCTAAAGTTTTATTACGCACTTGTATAACCTAAGAATAACTCAGCCAGTTTGCACTGTAGTCCATGTAGTTTTTGATTAAAAAGCCTTAGTATGTAATTAGCCTTAGTTAAATAAATTAAGGGTGCACTTTGCAGTTGAAGTCCCTTAATTTCCCTTAAAGTGTACCTATGACAAAACAGCTGTTATCATGACAGTTACAAATGAACAGCCTATGAATTCCTTATGTATGAGATGTGATGGGTTTTTGTCATGTTCTCACAGTTAGAGGACTTGTGTAGTGGTAAGGACCCTGACCTCAGCACCCTGGACAAAGCTCCCTCTCTGAAGGCAGCAGTACAGACCACGATAGAGCTGCTCCAAGGCAGTAAAGGTGCAGATCATGCCCCCCTGAAAAGCACCTCGTCTGAAGAACAGCTCGAGCCCACTGCCCTCACTGCCACCCACGTCATCACCAGTGCCTTAGAGGGTGAGTTTGGAGCAAGTAAAAAGAAATTGTGCCAGTAAACTGTAAGCCTCTTTTTTTCACTGCAGAGCAGAATGGTTACCATGGTCACCACAGACTCGTGTGAACAGTTACTGTTTTTTTTCCCATCTGCTGCGCTGCTAAATCAGGACTACAGAATACCTAAGAAAACTATGGTGAGGACAGGAAGTGATGCAGTGCATCAGCAGTGGTGTTTATATATGTAATATTCAGAGTTGGGCAGAATACAGGGTGATTCAAAAAGATTAATCCGATTAATCCGATAGCGCCATATTTTTACAACCGTGAGGCACCTAGGAACCAATCACATACCAATTGAAAGAAGGGGTTATAGAGTTTCTGACTGTCACCAGAAGATGGCTCCCTTCAGTCTGCGAGGAGATGGTGACCCCTGAGCAGAAAGTGGTTTGCGTTCTCCATTTCAATAAGAGTGAATCCGTCACAACTGTGCAGTGTGATTTTCGTCAGCAGTGAACCTCTAACAGCTCAGAGCGTTCATCATTGGCTCCACAACACTGGACGATCGCAATGAAAGAGCCGTGAGTGCAGTGACACTCGACATGCTCAATCGATTATGGGATGAATTTGACTAATGCATTGATGTTGTCTGTACAGCTGGAGGAGGTTCATATTGAGCACTTGTAAAATTACGTAATAAACTTTATGCTCACTTAAACCATTTAGAGTTCACTGCATTGTTCTGTAATGATTTACAGGTGAAATAAATCATTTTGAAATCGGATTAATCTTTTTGAATCACCCTGTACTTTGAAAAAGTAGTGATGGCTGATTAGTGAATACATTTAGGACATTAATATATTCCCTTACAACACAAAAATAATGCATTTAGACTACATTTACAATCTCAGCAAGGCTCATGGGAAAAAGTCTGCTGTTATCAATTTTACCTATTATTCACACCATCCCTCGCTGTTACTGCGTAGTTTTTTCTTCATGAAATTATTTAAATGTTTGATACATGGTGAGTGTATATTATTATTATTTAGTAACAATTCAGAAATTTAGCAAGTTTGATTATAAAGTGGGTATCTATGTGATTTTCAGTTACTGAGGTATGTAACATCATGCCACACTAGTTCAGTCCAACACCAAAGCTAAACTTATCACTACTGAGGAGTCTGTACAGATCATCACATTATCAGTCTACTCATGCTTTAGCATTCCATCGTTTGTAAAGAAGCTATTTGTTAAGCACCTCTTTAGATTCCATCTAACAAGCATTTTTGCTGCAGGCCGTGCACTGATTTTAAACTAGTTAATAAACAAGTGTGGATGTTTCTTTAAAAGGTTTTAGTGTTTAATATAAAATATTCCCCAAAAATATTCTCTTAAAACTTTCAGTACTCTGAATACTGTATTTTCGAAATGTAACATGGGCTGAATACAAATACCTAATTTCGGTATTCTGAATATATAGTCCCTATACTTGTATTCCATTATATCCCAACCCTGGTCATGGAAGGTACGTTACAGAACTGATGGAAATGTAAAAGTTGCAGAGTAAATACTGAAACAGTTCCACAGCAAACCATGTCCAAGTGGAAATGCCATTAGAGAGGTTACTCTGAGCTCAGAACCTTTTGGCCCTATAGTGAAAAAGAGGCTTAAAAACTTTGCTTTGAATAAAAAAAAATATATATATATGGATTTTATGGAAGTATGGTTTGCTCTTTTTTTGGAATATCATGTAATGTTGCAGTCATTATAATCAACTACAAGTTATATAAAGAAATTGTCTCTTCTAGAGATGACTGATTCCACTCTATCAGCGCTCAAGTCCTGCTCCTCGTCCTCCTCCTTACAGGCACTGCACTCCCTGGTGAGCACTGTCTCTCTTCTAGAATCAGTATAATTTTTTGTGAAGTTTGTGAAGATCTCTTTCCATTTTATTTGGATTTAGTATTTAATGGCTGCATCTCTTCATATTATTACACAGGTGCAGAATGTAGTAGAAAACAAGAAGTGTTCCCTAAAGGACAGCAGCCTGGCAGTGTTAGCTGAAGAGAATACATACAGCAAATTTGAAGAGCTCTTTGGCTCCTCCAACATCACACTGTGTAAAGAGGAAGACACGATCTGCGCAAAGATCAGCAGCCATCAGGGACACAATAGTCTTATCCTGTGCATTGCTATATGTGGTCTGGCCTCTTTAGTGACCCCCGTCTGATCGGGTGACTGTTCAGGACAGACTGACATTGGAAAATGCACATCACACGACCAACAAGAAATCCTTGTAAATGTGAATGTTTTAAAATAGACCCATCAGCTCACCTTTCCCCCCAAAAAATAGGCTAAACAAGTCATTTCACAAGAATCGATCAAATGTACAGAAAAACAGCCAATAGCTGTGAAATCCAGCTTCTAATTTGTAATCTGAATGTTTTGTAATGGAATTTATACACTGAATTTTATACTGTAAGAAACTTTTACTAGTTAAATCATGCTTTTATTGTGCATTGTGTTAATGCATTCCTACAGTAAACATTACCTATCCACAATTTTCTCAACACTGAATTGTACATTTTTATTATAATTATTATTAAGAGAACTTAAATTCCTGCTTAAGAGATGTCCTCTACTTTAATATTTGAGAAAGAAATGTGTCAAAGTTTCTGCCTACAAACTTTATCCTTGCCTTAGGGCTTCACCAAAATGTCTGGGCCAAAAATGGTTTTAAAAAAAAAGAAAAGAAAAGAAAAGAAAAGAAAGAAACAAATAAATAAATAAAAGAAAATCAACACTTTTAGTCAAAAGAGAAAAATGGCTAAAAATCTGACTAAGCATTTTTGGGGGGTTCAACTGTCAGTCCAGCATGTCATTTGGTGCATCGCTGTTTTCCCTGGCTGTCTACTGAAGTAAAACACACTCTCCTCTATAGTGCTGGCCCAATTTTTGGGTTACACAAAAAATATGGTTTGTAACAGTGGACATTTAGCCCACACGTGATAAGACAGTTACCCAAAAAAAATAATAATTTAATGAACAGCTGTTAATGTCAAAAATACAGGTTTGTTATTGTAAAATATATATGCAAGTGTACACAACAGATAGAAAACCAACACAGACATGTGTCCAAGACTGGATTCTCAACCTCTGCTACACTGTAGAGTTTAGTATTTTCCTTCTAACACAACTCTGTTCAACTCCTCAAAAGATAACAAACAGGAGTTTAAACAGGTGCATTCGAGTTGGGAAGTCATTAAATACTGCAGTGCTGTGGCCCAACAGGAATTGAGTTTGAGAACCTCAGTCTAAGATTCAACAATCTGAATAGTAATAAATTACTAATTATCATATTCAGTAGCTGAACCACTACAGCACACTGTTCCTACCATAATAGTCTGACACTGTTTCATCTGAATCGTCAGGTTCATCATCCTAAAATGGCTGTTACTCCCAGTTATTTACTTTTACATATGAGATTTTTGGGTAGCTCAATGGACCGTAGTCAAGTTGTTCAGCCATTATTCAATGTATGGGAGCTTCTCATTATGTTTCTTTATCAGTGCAAGACAAAAATGTATTTCTTTTGGCTTCAGGTCAAAACTGATATCAAAGACATTCAGTATGAGATCTTTAAATGTGAGCAATTATGTGAATAACTACACCTCTTGGGTGGAGTCTTTTGGTCAGATACAGGGTGGAAGGTGAACAGTTTCAGACTACCAGGGCAGAATCACAGCTTACTGCCACAAGAAATGCGTAGGCTAGAAGGACAGGGATGGTGTGAATGCATCATATGGACATCCAAACGCAGCAAAGAGTACAAGGTTTAAGTCAGTTATTGTAAAAATACAGTGATAAACCTTATGTTACTTGTCTCAAAAGCAGTATTTGCTAAAGATGATCATTGTGACAGCACTGAAAGTGTTAACAGCTTACATTTTGCATGCCTCTGAAGTGGCATTGAGATGAATACTGTGTGTGATACTGACACCCACCCAACACTGCACTACATGAACAGACACTGTACAGTGCTGAGCTGATTACTGCTAATGATACAACATTATGTAAAAGCTATGGGGTTTGTTACACCTTAGAACAACAAAACAGTGGGTCAAATTTTCTACTTCCCTCACCACAAAAGAAAAAGAGCCAAAAGTAGAACAAATTACATTCTTCCTTAGGTTGTAGTTGTTTCTTTGAGCAGCGTGTTTACATTTCGTCACTGTGGTAACAAAACCTCTGATAACTTTAAAGGAAAAAGGGAAAAAAATGTTCTTGACTTTAATGTAATGTAACAAAATTTTATTCCCACTCATTTTGGACCATTTCTGTTGGTCCAATCATCATAAAATGTTCACACAATGTAAGTAAAGAACAGCTGCTATTTTCAAATGAACACCAAAAAAAAAAAGTTGTTTTTTTTTTTTTTATATGAGGTTTTGATACAACAGAGATCAATGAGATGAGAGCAGCACTAAAGCACTCCAGTACCAAGATTTTTTTCAAGAAATCACAACAATGAATTTTGCTTCAGCTTCTCCTTATATATACAAAACTACTTAGAACACCCTGGAAATATATAGTTTGGATAGTAACATAAGAAACAGCTAGTCTTAAGATGTGTTCTGCTGGTAGAAAGTTTTTAAAAAAGTCAATAAATAAGTACACTTCCCTTCAGTTTTTCATGGTTGGTGTAGCTTTGCATAGCAGGTTTGGACCTCAGGGCCATGGTGAGCCACCCTGGCCACTGTCAGTCCTGCCGTGGTCCATGACACCAGCGATGATGAGGATGAGGATGATGACGGTGATAATGTTGCAACCCGTGGTCCGCTGCACTGTTCAGTAAACCCAGTTAACAGGTACCCATTGAGGCTCTGAGCACAACTGCTCCACAGCAGCCTGCAGTTTCTCAAAGGCCTTATCCAGATTATCATTCACTATTGTGAAGTCAAAGTAATGGCTATATGCCCGTTTGATCCTGGCACTTTCGTCCACTGTTTTCTTTAAGTCTGTTTCCTAAAAGAGAGAGAGGCAAATATCAGTGTGTTTCATTTAGAAAAAAATTAAAGAAGCCACAGTAAAGTTTTATATGAGTGTCCTTTAATAACTAAGTGTTTTATCTGTAAGTGTTTTCTAATGTCTTGGCTAGAGGGACAATATTCAGAGAAGGAAGAGATGAGGCTGACCGTGAGTAGTTTAGTGGTGATCCCTGCATCCACCACAGCTTTGTGCATGGCCCTTAGTGTGTCCAGCTCAGGAGCAGCAATGAAGACCACAAATGGCATGAACTCTGCTGTTCTCAGCACCTTCAATGCCTGAGGCACACATTCAGGAAGGAAATGTCACTACTATTTATTACAGCAATATTATCCGTCAGCAGGAAAGACTTTCTTGACCTAGCTGATTAATTCGGTCTGGCACTTTATATGACGGCGGCTTTTAGAATCACACCGAAGACAGTTGCTGAATCTCAAATGGATCATGAATTAATAGCTTGTATACCCAAATATTGCATTATATGTCAAATAGAACACCATTTATATTCAGTCAATGCTGCCAGACTCCCTATCTAACATTTAATACACTATTTGGATGTAGAAGCCAGATTTTAATGACCTATGCAGTGCCAGGAATTCACAAATCATCCTCATGACAAACCCTTTCCAGTAAGCACTGTGTATAGCTCTTTATCACAGCATACAGCATACCCATCCATCATAAACTCTCATCTTAAGTGGAGACATAAAGAAATATAGTTTTAATGAGCTGTTGCCAATAAATAACTTACATTAAATGTTCATTTTGGATTTTCCAAAGATGCATAGCTTGGAGTAGTTAATAACCGCTCAATGCACAAAACATCCATGCTCTCCTTACCTGCGGGTTGACATCCAGAATGCAGGTGCGTCCCGTGCGTACAACCTCATGAATGGAGTCTATTTTGGTACCATACAGGTTTCCGTCATACTCTCCATGCTCAAGATAGCGGCCAGCCTTAATGTCCGCCTCCATCTCAGCTCTGGACACAAAGCAGTATGACTGACCATCCTTCTCCTCATCACGCGGGCGCCGAGACGTGACTGGGGTGATAAAGAGAGCAACAGAGTCGAGCAAGGGCTTAATATTTTACCACAGTTTGACTTGAAGACTAAAGCAATGCAAACTCTAAAAGGTAGTACTTTATGGTTATGCATGAAGCAAAAATCCAGTAAAGGTTGCACATTACAGTGATTTCACCACATTAATTGAACTTTAATTTTGGAACAAAATTCATAGATGATGTGTGCAGTCATAACTGTCTGTATATTCAGTATTATAACAAACTTGGATCATGGCTCAGCCAACCAGATTTTTAGAACAAAAACTGTTTTATTTTGACCAGTTTGACCAGCAAGCATTCGGTTGAGTGTGGTGTTATAATCCACAGAGAGTTTGTGAACTTACAGGGTACAGTGGTGCCAAAGCGTAAAGGGTTCAGCACTATCAGCCTGTTCTTCAGACTTCTGCGTCCCACCCCCTGTGCACCTATCAGAACCAGCGTTTTCCTCTGGAATGGAGGCATCCGAGCTACCTCCTCATAGATCTGTAGTTCATGCCGGTCAAATTCTGAAGGAGGGAGAGGGAGTAAATGAGAGCAGAAAGGGAGTAGCAAGGGAGCGAGTAAATGAAAGACATAAAGAGAATATGAGCATGGAGACGTGAACATGTGGGCCTTGGTGTTCCAAAGCAGACTTTTCCCTGTGTTTTCATGCGATATATGAAGAAATGTCCAGGTTGCGCTAACCTGCATTCTTTGCTGTCAGGTACATCATTTTCTTTTTCTTTCTTTTTCCAGTTATTGTCCCACAGAGAATTCCTGGGGAAAAAAAAGATCATTAGGCAGTAAGTCTATGTCTTAATAGACAAATTCACCTGGTCAAATTCACATTTCCTATTGAGCTTATCACAGCACTTAGAGATTATTTTAGTTTAAGAGGTGTACATAGAAGCTACATTCATACTGTACCAGATCCGTCCAGGTCTCTCCGTACAAATGCTTTCCTCTTTTCTTCCAAATACTGGCTTGGGATGAGTCCAGTCTTGCCACCAACTACACTACAAGCCTGAGGGACAAACAGCACTGCATTTCAATAGCTTGAACACCATGGCAATGATCTTGAACTATTCTAATATTTTATTTAAAAAAAATAAAGCAACTGTGGAAGTGTTTATGTTTTGTAAACTTACTATTAAACACTAGCATTTTGTACCAATTTTATATCATTATGTCATCAAAGATCTTTTAGTTGTGTATGGTAGCTCACAAGAAGCTTCAAAAGATGTAAAGTTAAACAAAAAGCTTCAGAAATTTTCAATTGTGCTACCAACCTGCCACCAGTTGGGGTCCTCCCTGTTCACTATGTGCAGGATCTCTCCTTTAGAGAAGGCCAGTCCAGCCTCTTTACATGGGATTAAATTGTCTGTGTCAGGGTTATAGTTGAAATGAGGTCTCAAATACACCTGACGAAGAAAAAGAGTTCGAAACAACTTTTTACTTTAGAGCGCAAGTACGAAACAAGTGAAATAGAAAAAATCTTCAAAAATAACGAAACATGAAGCAACAAATTTGTAATCGTAGAATGGAGTCTGAAAGATGGCCGAGGCTGAAAAGACTATTGGCTAACATCTGCACAAGCTGTCTTTGTTTATGGAGCAGATGGTGTGTGCGAGTGGGCGTGTTTATGGTGAGGGGTTGTATAATTCACAATCCAAGCTTTAATTTTACCAATCTGTCATATGTGTTAGGCTAAAGAAAAGTTTACTCTGATTTTTTAAAGACAATTTCAAGCACTAGCAGTCCATAAGTCCTTGTTAATTTCATTCAATTTAACTTGTTACTGACCAACAGCTCTTCTCAATCAAATAGCTTTAACGCCTTTAACTGAGATAGGAGACAAGAATATCCTTAGTCTACATAAAGAATTACAAATTAATACTATAACACACTAAAGGAAATATCACATCAATTTTTAACTAGTCTCCACAGAAGCTACTCTGTATATCATATAGCCCTATGCTAAGCTGCAAAAGTCTATGTCAACACAAAATGCATAGCATGTTTTCAGAAGAAATATTTATAGGCTTTCTAATCTCGGCCCCTGATGCAGTGCATACTGTCAACATACAGACTTTGCCTGTTCTGCAAACACAGTGAAACAGAGCAAAGTGCACTTAAGCATGAGAAACCATGCTACTGACTCTCTTATGTCAAAGTACCGTTCTCCTGTTTGGGACCACTCTGGTGGTGCTTCCTATCACTGAACTGCATGTATGTGTCATATAGGGCTGAGCGTGTCACACACAGAAACATTCACAAAGAACGTACTTGCGTGTTTTATACAGATTTAGACCAACACTTAGAGCATTTTTCTGCAAGAAAATTACAGGCCTCGGTTAGCCTATTTCAGTCGCTCCCCAGACTCCTTAGAGAGAGTGTGTGCGTGTATATATGTGTGTGTGTGTGTGTGTGTGTGTGTGTGTCCGTGTCCATGTCCCTCTCTCTAGCTCTCTCCTCCAACCTGCCCTACATAGCACAGAGCGTGTTATTAATAGGGCTCGGCAGGCTCAGTTTCAGTCCGGTGGCATTCTGAGTCACCCTGAGGGCAAGCCTCTCTTCGTTCTTAGTGACAGGTAGGAGCAGCCCACTACTTCACTACTGCACCCTCTTTACAGCCAAGTAAGGAGAACACAGCCAAGTCCGGTAGAAGACTAGACCGTGGTCAAAAATCACAGATGTACACTCATGTACAACAGTTAAGATAAAGCTTTCAATCTTTAGGACCTCTCCCTCTCTAACACACTGCAGAGAAGGAATAACTCTAAACAGCAGATGGGACACATTTTGTACTTCAGGCAGAATTTATAGTTGCTTCAGATTTTCAGTGCTAACTCTCAGTCTCAGGCCAATCTCCAACTGGAGCAACCTGTGCAGAGATGGAACTAACAAAACTCATACTTTTATGTGGGACGTTTCTTGTTCAGGCAAGCATCTAAAGCGGAAATGATTACCATTAAAGTTATAATTTGGCAAGAAAAAAAAATTTATGTCTTTTTGCCACAAATGAAGAGATGTTGTTGATGTATGTTGGATGATGTTTGCTTTATTAGTTTTGCACTAAAGTTACAAAGCAAATTAATCTAACAAGTAATGAAAGCATATACAGCCAGCCCATTAGCACTGCGTAAACTGCATGCCTTAATCATCACACACTTGCCTGATACTACATTGAGTTGTTAAGCATTTAGGGATGTCATGATCATGAAATTTTAGCTGACGATTAATTGTGACATAAATAACTGCAATTAGCAATTTAACTGCCTTTTTTGTCCATTGTTGGAAACTAGTAAAAATATAAGCCTAAAGTGACCAAATTGACTTATTAGCCACCTTACTTGCTAGCTGTGTTTACTTAGTAGCCAACATCTGTTGCACTGTCAAATCAACTGTGCACGCACATTTACACAAATGCCTACAGTTGCACAGAATTATGTGTAGAGTCAAGCAAAGCTACATGTTCGTCATGAGGGTGAAAATATAATAAAAAATAATAATAAAAAAATTATTCCATTTATGTGTGCGCTCTGCATTTATCAAGCATTTCACAATGGCTTTGAATGTGGCTTGGCAAGTCTGATTTCAGAGCTAGAACTATCAGGATTATGACTGATGTTCTGATGGGCCACATCATTGATTTTAGCCCTATAGGTTAATGATCCGTTGCCGGTTAACATCCCTAGCACGTTGTATAGGTAACAGTATTAGTAGCAGCCTTCTTTACGCCTGAATTTTACCAGCACTTTCATGTATTTGTATGAAATTACTACATTTGACTTAAGGCAAAAAATTGTAAAAACTTAACATTTTTGCCCTTACAATCGCTTTAAATAACAGCAGTGCATCTGGCTGGTGTTCCTCCTGTACTCACCTTTGCTGGAGGGGGCGTGTCTCTGTAGCTGGGTAAGATCTTGAGGGTGATGCTGCCACTGGCATCTTTTAGCATTTGCTGCAGCGCTTTGGGGTCTCCGCCCACCTCTCGCCCGTTCATCTCCCGAATGATGTCGCCCGTGTGCAGCATGCCCTGCCTGTCAATCATGCTGCCATGGAGAATACGGGCGATGACCAGGTCACCATTTTCCACTCGGAATGTCACGCCCTAAAAGAGACCAAACATTCTGAAGCTTAGATACCTTGCATGCATGCACAAAGACATGTACACGTAGCAATAATACCCTAACTGGAGTCACATCCACACCTCATAAATTCAACACTGCCTTGAAGGCACTTCTTTCACTAGGTGCTAAAGGACAACCAACTGCTCTAGTGCAATTTTAGGACTCTAAACATATTTAGACAGCTCACTTTGAAGATTTTTTTTATGAGGAAACAGGGGTTTGATGTTGCGGTCTATGTCTGATGTTGGACTATGACAATAAGAATAAAAGAATAATCACTGGAAGCAAAGTATGAATCGTGCTGGAGTATAATCATACACATGAAATAAAGCAAAGACAAATCTGACAGAATACAAGAAACACTACTACAGAGGAAAACTTTTAATTTAGAGTCACAATACTCCAACTAATGAATAACCCTTTCCAGAATGTTGGTATAGATGTAAAAATATCCAAGTGAGTTTGAACAGATACAAAATAAGATGCCAACCACAATTTTAGGTCCCAAAGACAAACTGCCACAGTGAACACCAAGTAGTGCATCAGCAGGAAAAACATGCAGTATCTATCAGTGTTTGTGCCTCATGTTCAATACATGCAACAAAGTATTAAAACACCACTTCCTTACTGAACATTAATGTCTGTCTATGCACTTTTGCTGTCCTGAGATGGGGTGACTGTAGAAAATGCTGTATAACTTTTTACTTGGTTTATTTCATTTAGGACTAACTGCATTTAAACTAAAGCAGACAGTCAGTAAAAATAAGATTTTAGTGCCTAGGCAATACAAGACGTCATATCAAGTCCTGTTAGAGCTTAAACGAGTAAATGAGCTCTCTCACCAGCGGCTCTCCTGCTTTCTTCTGGATGCTGATCATGCGCACAGTGTCCGCGGGCATGAGGGAAGCGCTGCTTGCGTTAGTGTTGTTTGCCGCAGACGGAGGTGTTGCATAAGATTTAGCAGCAACCTTATCATGAGCCTCCATTAAAGACTGAAAACAGAGAGTGAGATAATATCATATCAATAGGAAAAAATAATGAATCAGTTGTTAAATTCACAACAAACAAACAATCTCACCATGGCAGCCAGTGCTTACATCAGAGACGCATTAGTAAGAGGCTCAGAGAGCTACAGGAGTAAACTACAGCAGCTGCCACTCACATACCCCTCTACATACACACATACATACATTGGTGGACTAGTGGGTTGGACGAGGAGAAAGTCACTGATTGGCTCTATGTTAATGAGGTAAGACCTAATTTTCTCTCCTTTAGTTTTATATTCAGTCTACAGGACCTACGATATTGGATTTAAAGGAAGTTTAAAAAAAAAAAACATCCTGTTTAATTAGGGATAAAACAAGGTTGGAGCATGGCCAAGAAAAAAAGAATTACTGTAGGACTGCAACAAATATTACAAAATCCACAAAGAATGCACAATATGGGCCCTTTAAGTGATTCCCAATCTTACTCTGACTCCACACACTGTATATTATTGTCATAGCAGGAGGGGTTTACCTGGAAGTGAGGTTCTTTGAGAATCTTGGACAGCTCTGCTGCGCTATCATTACGGTCAGCCAGAACACTGATGTCCGACAGGATCTCAGTGACCAGCTCCACATTGTTGTTCCGCACTGCCTCCAGCTTCACATCCTCCAGCCGCTCATGAGCCTGGGGGAAGGGGTGACACCAGACCAAGAGACTTTTTCACTGATCTGAAGTTGTAACAGTAACTTTAACAGCACTATAGTGAACTAATTTAATAACTGTGTGGAGTTACAGAGGAAGAATAGTGTGCTTATCCAGACATTAGTTTCTATTGCCACTTATATGGGGAGATCAGAAGACTCTAAACATTTTGGGTTGTTTTTTTTTAACCTTCTCAGCACATTTCTTTTTTAAATGAATTATTAATAATAATTTAAAAAACACATCACAATTAGCACTAAATATTTGCCCATTAACGATTAACACAGATTTGGCATAAACCAATTATTAAAACTGAAGACACCAAAAATCACTACAATCGCAACAATCATCCCTAGAAACAGAAAACCAATACAATAAATAAGACAAAAACAACAAAAGAAGGCATTAAGGAGACAGATCAAATCTGTCACTGAGGACACTCAAGTCTTGCATCACTATTTTGCAATAGTCATGATGAAAATTCCTAAACTTCTCTATCCAAATCCACTAGCATTTGTCATAACTATCACTATTATATTTTCCCAAATATCAATATAAGTAAGAATCAAATTGCATCACTGCAGGCTACTTACAAATCAAGTGAATCAGGAAATGTATGAACATCAGAAACACCAACGATAAAGCTCATGTCCCCGCTGATACAGAATTCACATGACTGTAATAAGGCTAAACTCGCTTTTACAGGATCTGTGACTCTACAATGAATACAACATAGAATCTAGTGGGCATTACTCCCCTGCTTTTCTCTGCAAAGTAGTCCTACTTTTTTGGCTGCACAATATATTGCATAAGTCAATGTTTGCTACTGAAATCTATATTAGTTTAAGAGTTTTTCATAAACAACACTTCTGAAACCTGTTCTGGCATCACATTCGTCACCTACCAAGAAAATTCTGCAGCTTCTATCAGCAATTGCTTATTACATTTGTGAGAACCACTACTGATTCACTGACCCAGGAAGCGAATAAATAAATACACAGACAATGCTTTGGATACCTTGGCAAGAGAGCGAACAATGGGGCTTTCCATGATGCCTCGAAGGAAGATGAGGTCAATGTCTTTGGCTCCAGTGGAGGTGGGCAGCTCCTTGAGGTTATCCAACACCTGCTGCATAGCTGCAAGAGACAACACAGTTTTCAGTGACAGTGAAATGATTCACTACACTGTAATATTTTGTTTTTGGATGCTGATATGAAGTGCCATCGTAATCAAGTCATTCTAGCCATTTAGTATTAAATAATGTTTTTATTATTTTTGTTTGGCTTTAAAAAAATGCTACATCATCATCCCCCCCTGCATTAGCATAGATAATGGTCACAGTGAGACTAGAGGACAGCAGGATGCATCTGTGCTGCCATGACCACTGAACCACTGCGTAACTGAGTGACAAATATATCTATCTACACAGACATGCTAACAATAAGAAATACAGACAACCCTTTTGGTTTTTTTAGTTATTAAACGTGGGTAAACTCTGTACGCGTTCAGCATTGCCATGACAAAATACAATAAAAATCTAACAAAATCTGCAGATAAGTTTCAAAAAGCTGGATCTCCCATTGTAGACCAAATGTTCACAACAGACATTATCCACCACTGAAATATTAGTTGTATCACCCTAAACACAGAAAAAAATGTTTGATGAAGTCAATAATAAATAACTGGAAACCGATGGTTCTTATATGCAAAGCGTGTGGAAAAAAATAAGAATTATTTAAAAAAAATCATTTCAAGAATGACATCAGCTTTAAGAATTAAATGAAACATTCTTGTTTTATTATGCAACCCTTATTCACTGATCTTCAAATGATCTTGAACGTTTCACACCCTGTAAATCACAGCATCTGTAGATCAAGATGTGTGTGCTTTTCTTCACCACAGAAGAAAAAAATTGGCCAAATCTCAATGAACTACATTAAAAGACAGCAACATTTCATACTGCACCACAAAATCTACGGTCTCCCACTAATTGAGTGGCAAAACAGTGAATCAATACTAACGCGCCAAAAACACTCAAGCCATGACAAACAACTTGAGTGGCTCAAAATGGGCCGATTCATCACGAAGTGACTTCATTACCATACTGCTAACAGTAACCATTTCCATGGTGAAAAACGCCTACACAGAGACCTTTCACACAGCAAGGCAAGAAACCTTACAATAACACAACACACTATTTCATTTCGGAAAGCAGAAACTCAATGACAAAAAAAAGGTTCACACTCGCAACCTGTAAACTCACTTCCAGCCTCCTTTTCATGAGCACCTACCCTTGAGCGTTGAATCCTGTAGTAGTTCTAAATAAGACTTAAAAATACTCACTAATCAATATTCACCATTCATATTCACAATTTTTCTCCAGTTTTCTGTTCTGTGTTAATCCCAGTGCCCGTTCCCACCCACTACCCCGGTCTCCAACACCATGAGATAAGAACCAGCCGAGGGGGGTGAGGGTTAACTAGTGCTTCCACCGTAACATGCAGTCAGTCAACTTGCCTTTCAAGCTACACTCTAAGACAGCTGTCTGAGCTTAAAGGAGAGCACTGCATACAGTGAGAGGAAACAAGCATTCAGACATTTTTTGGTTCAAGACATTTATACTGCACCTGGTGTATAAAGCCGCTGGGAAGATTTTACGCAACAAGTAGCAATCATGCTGAAGGCTAAGGAGCTTCCTGAAGTTTTCAGGGGCAACGTTATTAAAGAACACTTGAAGGGAAAAAGCTACAGAATTTAACAAAGACCTTAAACATTCCTGACAATACAATTGGTTTAATAATATGCAATCGAAAAGCTCATGGAATCACAAGTAACTGCCTCCAGACAGGTGCTTCGCCCAAGATTTCACAACATGCTCTCAGACTAAAAACAAGAAAGGTAAGAGAGAAGCCAGCAGTTCTTCAAAAAGAGCTGCAGGACGAACTGAAAGCAGCAGGAACAACACTTACACACGTAACAGTAAGCGACTGCACTGCTTTTATCTTGGTTCCTAAACCTCATGCAACACTCCTGTTAAAAAGGAACGCTGAATGTTTAAACTTTGCACACAAGCATTTAGACAAATCAGAACTCTTTCAGAACAATAGGTTTCATTCGACAAATGTTCTTGAGACTAAATTTCTTCTTAAAACCCACTAGTGCAGTTTTCATAAAGATTCTGACATTTACTTTTTCTTATGTGGGATTTGTTCTTAGGTACAAACAGAATCTATACACACAACAGCACAAAGATGCGAACAATTCGGCGGTATAAAAACACGTCATGAATCTAACATAGATCTCTTCTTAGGACCTTTCTCAAGAACATGTTTAAGAAAAAAACGCCATGCCCACAGTGAAGTACGAAGGTGGGAGCATCACAACGGGACTGCTTTTCTGCAAATGGTACTAGGGCATTACATGTCACTGAAGTGAAGAGAAACTCAATCTGGAGAGACGATGGACATTTGATGGACATGGACATGCAGCCAACTCAAGGTTGGTTTCTCGGAAAGGAAGCAAAGGTACTTGCTTGGCCTTTCCTGACTTGAATCCCAGAAACTGAAAAATTAACGGGAGTTTTGAAATTGCGAGTCCATCAGAGCGTCCCTTATAACCTTGAGGAAATGAGGACAGAGAGGAATGGGCCAAAATTGAACCACAGTGCGGCAAAAAGTTAATTACTTCTTAAAGCTGTAACTGCTAAAACGGCTTTGCATCACAGCACTAATACTTTCTCCCCATCAATTTTTTAACATTTTTGTTGATGAATACATACTTTTTGATCATATTTAAGTACAAAGTCAATGCGCAGGTAATATGTCAGATAACAAGAACAGAAGTGTTTGATTACTTGTCTCCTCTCCCTGTTGATATATGTGCTTTGCTCAATTCTGTTTGAGTCATAGTTTGGCAAAAAATAAAAATGTACACAATCCCCTTACCCCAGACATAACTGATCAGCCAAGACATCTGCTGTCCTGTTTGGTACAGCTCCAACGCAAAACCAAGAAAACAAACTTCAGACATCAAATCTTGGCAGACTGACTAAATTCGGGGTAAATGGGGAACAGCGTGTTAATTCCAATTTTTGTCAAACTTATCACTTTATTAGATGCCCTCGACAGGCTGTTATCACTCTGGGTTGGAAGGATGGCTTAGTCCATCTCATGTGTTCTATATTTCAGGTGTAATTCTGTGATAAAACATCAATATGGTCTTGAAGGCCATGAATAACGGGACTGAAATTATTATATTGTCAAACACTTGACATTCAAAATCATTCTCATTCAAAAATCACTTTCATGTATAATAATGCCACTGAAGGGACTTCTTCAAGGTCTTGCTGTGGTCATACAGGCCTATAATAGATTCATGAAGCATTTTATAGGAATGCACAATGATATTGGAATCATATCAATATCGGCATCAACAGATGTTTTGTTCTGATCAAAATATTTCTAAGTGGTATCTGATGATATACATATTTTCCTCTAGAAGTTTAGGTGATGCTGGTTTCCTGTGCTAAAATGTCTGAATTTCATTAATTGTACTGAATTTGTAACCTTATTTTTACAATTAATAAATGTTTATCTTTGGCACAGATATCAGCAGATACGGACATAAAAAAATATTGGATTTTGGCATCGGACCATAATTCCCATATCGGTGCATCCCTAGCATTATATCTCTTCTTCAATTGCTTACCTGTACCAGACTTGGCACTGGCAACAGTCATTATTCCTACAGCACAGGTCAAGCTCACAGTTTAGACAAAACCTTTGCAGGTCTTCAATCAGAATGAGACCAGTGCACCTGAACTGGACAGAAACAAAACCTCTAGATCAGAACGTGCCTTCTCACAGGTCCACGAATGTACATAATATCATCACTACTGCCATTATTACAATAAAGTGGAGCTTTCTGTGCATTTTTTTTACACTTGCATGGATCAAACAGAATAAGAACAGCTTTGAATTATTCAACAATCCCAAGTTTGATTTGACAAGAAAAAAATACAAATGAAAGGCAGTTTCACAGACAACAAGTTTGGAGTTACAATACTACAATTATGGTGCCCTATGAAATGAAATACAGATGTTTACACATAACTAATCATTCCTCTGTACCAAGATGAGAGTCCCTGGAGACCAGTCCTTCAGGCATATTATATAAACCATCACAGAGCATCTCAGGTCTTTAAGTGTACCCTCTGCATTTTGAGCAAAAATTAAAATAAGGATTTGTAACTCATTGCTTTGGCGTGCCACACTCTTAGACAAACTCTTCCCTTAAATACCTGAAACTAATTCTCACTGCCTACACATTTTTGTCACCTTTTCTATGACTATGTACGTTCCATATGATATAAGAACATTCGGCAGAATTCTGCAACCTGGCGAGTACGGTGCTATTGTATAGCTGTAAGCTTCACAGACAAAGCAGTGTGCGAACAACTAAGATAACTGCGTTTTTAAATAAAAACCTGTCAGATCTCATCTTCTAGCACCCTATGATGTGAACTGGCTAGCAAACTCTCCATTGTTCTGAATGCTGCATTCATTTAAGCAAACAAATCAAAGCCTCACCCCAGGCAAATAAGAACAACTTTTAATCCAGACTCCGTGCCTTCACAGATTCTGAGCAAACACTTCAGTTAGTAATGAGGCTTAAGGAAATAAAAAAAACTCTGTCCTAAGACTGTGGAAAATGATGGTAGAAATGAGCAAGACAATTTTGAACATTTTGATTAATTTGGAAATCTTATGCTCAAGGCAGAGGCTTCAAAATATGTGACATTCGTTTATTGCGTACAACTCACAAAGCATTCTTAAAGCCTTTGAACAAGAGAAAGGGAGAGATACATTCTTTGTTCAACTCTTGGCATTACGATCCATTTTAATTCTTAACCCTACTGAGGTTTCACTTTTTTAGAATTGTCTCACTTGGAGCCCATGGTTTCAAAAGTACAGAAACATGGAGGATGACTGTACTGAACAGCCAGTTGTTCAACCAATGAATGTTTTGTATACAATATGTACATTCAATAAATAAAGGATCAGAGGACACAACTTAAAGAGAAAATGCAAATGTAACAAAAGTGTAGTTAACATAATGCCTCAAGTCATCTTATGTTACCGTAACGTCATCCGCATACTTTCGCAGCTATCTGACGGAGTTTTCTGGAGATTCACCCTAAAAAAATATTTTTGCAACTTGTTCATCATAGTGTTTTTCAATTATTGAGCTGTGTGTATCTCAGTATTTATACCTATATTATGTAATGACCCTCTTGGTGGCTGTAACGGCTAGCTAGCTAAGCTAAACACACATACATACACACACATACACTACTCTTCAAGCAGTGAAAAACTGTATGATTCACTGTATGATTCAAAGTCTGAAACACATGATTAACAAAAAGTACAACACCTTCATCTCACATTATCACGCACTACACATCAGCTGAATCAGACCATGTTTCAAATGTGAAGGAGCAATAGTCCACATTAAACAGTCGTTCAACAACATGACTCCCTTTTTACTTCTACAGAACATACAGTCATGCTAGCCCAGCATGAGGTGTTGTTCTACTTGTTGTCACTGTACTCCCTCTTACTACGTCTCCTGCAGCGAAAAGCTTAAGGAGGTCAGGTGTGCAGCTTGATCTAGACAAGCAAGTGAATAACACAAACTGAGCATGACGAAGGAAGTTTAATCCTATTAGAAGTCATTACAAGGTCAAGAGTGCAAGTGATGAAGTAAGGCTTCGGTCTAGTTAGGTGTCAAACAGCCAATAAATCCTCCAAGTCACAACATGCAGAGTGCTAAACATAGATGTTATGTTACTTACATTGAATACACTATACCCTCAAATCTTATCCTATACATCTTACACCATCCTAAACCTTGATAAACTGACGTTTCCCTGACCTGTCCATTTCTCTCTCTCTGGTCCTACTCAAAATCCTGCTCAGCACTGAATTCACTTGATTGGACTGCAAATATGACTAGTTACAACCCACATCTTATTAGAAAGAGCAGGATGTTCAAACGTTCTTTAGTAAAGGTTCTATTTCAAACCATGAGTTCTATACAATCATCTTAAATTGTGCTTAAATGGTTCTTTGAATGGTGACAGCGTTCTTCAGATTGATGAATGTGTTGCATATGGTCCTTTTTCAAAAATAGATCTATATAGCAAAAAGTGTTCTTCCACTGCAGGTGTCCACAACTCCAGTCCTGGAGGGCCGGTGTCCAGCACAGTTTAGTGATCTACCTGCTCAAACACACGAGTTCACTCATCTCATCATTGCCAGGTTTAGTGGGTGTGTTTGAGTAGGTAAACCTCCAAGCTGCGCTGGACACCGGCCCTCCAGGACCACAGATGTGCCCTCCTGTTCTATTGTTACAAGTCTGACATAACAATAGAGGAACCCTTTATGGTGATATAAAGGTTCTTTATAGAACCATATAAAAGGTTCTATACCTATAAAGGTTCTATATAGAAACATTCTCCATCAATCTGACGAACCTTTTGATCATGCATCATTTAAGCATGAAATGGTTCTGTGCAGAACTCATGGTTTTAAATAGAACCATTCCTTTTAATAAAGAGTAGAACTTTTTTCAAGGGTGTATGAGCCCTCTGGCACAAAAGGCCCAGAGTGTAGGGGTGCGGTGCACAAGCTGAGACAAGCTGGGACCAGACACACACACACACACAAGCCGTAAAACTGCAATGACAGTCACAAACACACACACACACACACACACACACACACAGGGACTAGCCTTACTTCGCGTAATGGAGCTGTGGTTCTTTTGTTTGTTTGTGTTTTTTTTGTTTTTTTTTAACGTTTGGAGGCATTCAGCCAAATCTAACTTGCACTGCTCTCCTGAAAAAAGGCTGAAATCGACTTCCTACTCGAATGTTCCGTTCCACCTTAAATGGCGCAGCAGTTTCATTGTGGCGGCTGTACTTTAGCCAGAATGGAACCGCTGCACCATTTAAGGTGGAACGGGAAGTTAAAGGCTTCAAACAGAAAGTGGGCAAATCTGAAACTAACGAGCTTCACACTGCATATACATTACGTTACGTTACGCAAGTTCATTGAGTTTCAACAGCGAGTCACAACCTGTGGCCACTTCGCGGACACACGCTGCCCCCGGGCCACGCACTGTCCTCTAAATCCGCGGCTACAATGTAACTTACAGAAACTGATATAACTTAGCGGACAGTGGTTAAAGCGGACACTCCTTTTACAACGTTAAAACACGAGCAGCGGCACATGTGCGCCATGTTTCGCTTCCCATTCAACTTCAGAGACGCCGTGTAGCTAACATTAGTTAGCTCGCATGTCCCCCGTGTGAAAGGCATGGGAAGCGTGAACAGGGTTAGCCTCACGGCGCGCTGTCCTTATTAAAAAAAAGGAAAGTTCATCTGAACTACTTTATCATCAGCTGCTCTTTCGTGCCACCGTGCGTTCCTCGTTGGTTTTCTAACTTGTCACTGATTGAAAAAGGCTGTTTGTAACCGCTAGCCAGCGAACGAGCCAATTCAGCCAGCCAGTATCAGCTGGTTATTATTAGCCAGCCTGCTAATGTAACTGGATTCAGCTGGTTAGCGCTTGTAATCCAAAGTAGCCTGTAAATGCCTAGCCCGAGAGAACACACGGCCACGTGTAGGCCCACGGCGGAGGGTCATTCTGAGGAAAATAAAACATGAGCGAGGCACAAGCATACACAAAAATGAACAAAATCACTTACCCAGTATCCCCGTGTGGTCCTGTCCCGGTAAAATGGGCTCAAACCCCCCCACCCCTGCCCCACAGGTCTCACAGTAGCCTGGAGAAAGCGCTCATCCTCTGCTGTCAGTCAAAGCTTTAGCCTGGCCCCGATCAGTGACGACTCAGCTCAGTGACCGAGCGAGGACACTCCCCTTCACCCACGGAGGAGGAGGCTCGGTTCCCTCACACAGGCGGCTTTTCTCCGCCTAATCCACTCACACTACAACCATCCATGTGTGAGGAGGAGCCGGGGAGCGGCTGTCTCCACAATAAGGCAATAAAAAGCGGCTCTCAGCAGTCACACTGGATACAGTCTAACCTCGCTTTCCAGACGGAACCGGAAATTAGATTATGGTCTTAATTTAGGCTGTTATGTGTGCCACTGTAGTTTGATTTTGAATGAGGCTACTGCAAACTTGGTGATTTTTTATCATCATTATTGGAGACTAAATAATAATAATAACTTATTTTATGAGAATGGTATCTGCAAAGTCATTAACAAAATCGTGTCACATGGTGTGCTTATGTATCTGGGTCACATAATGGCATTAGCTACATCCTAATCTGCTTTCATACGGCGCATATCTATAACGCGCTACCTTGACTTTGTCTGGTTGTAAAAATTTTAGTTCTAATGATTTGGGATAAATATGGTTTTGTGTGCTTTTGTAATCCTTTAAAGTCTTTCTGTCATGTCTGTGGCCAGAAAAGCAGTCAGTAAGGACGATGGCCAGACGCCAGAAGAGGGCGCCAAACATACTTTTTTCCGAGTCCTTCAACAGCAGCGAAACAGATACACATTTGCGGCAGGGCTGTTCGATTCCAGAAATATTAGAGTCGACTCCGATTCCGATTCGAAGTGACGGGTATCGATGAGTCAATTCCAATAGTCAAATCCGCACAATAATCTCGATTACAAAAGACATAAGGAAAGTCATTTAGTAAAAATAAAGAGCAACAATGCAATATTACTTATCTGGAAACCTGAATCTTTACTATCTGAATGCCTGGAATCGAGGAATCGATTCTTTTTGAGATCGACTCCCAGCCGTAATTTATGGTCTTACAGAAATGACGAGCTGGTTTGATAGGCTATGGGTCTGTTTCCCAGAAAGGGATTAAGCCTGGTCCTGGAATACACAGCACTGTAAATCAAGATTCTTAAAGTCCTAAAAATGTAGCGTAGGACTAGGCTTATCTCAGGTCCAGGAAACTGACTCTATACGTTATGTCTAAAAGTTTGTAGACATCCGCTCATCCAATATTTCTTACGCACACTATACAGCACTCTATGCTGAATACCCTATTAGATATCCTTTCAGATAAAGGATGAAGTTTAATCTAGAATGTTCAGGCCACAAAATTGATTTCTAAAAGGAGTGAAATGCATGACCAAAATATAATTCAGCATTTAATTAATTGTCTATACAACTATTAATTGGCTATACAATTGATTAATCACTAAAATTAATGTTGAACGTATAGTGTCCATTCTAGGCCCAAGGACACAAGGCTGTTTCATGCTGTCTTCTTGTGGGTTCTTCAGTCTTTGTAGTGGTGGATTTCTTGTTTGATGGATGACCAGCACATCTTAGATCACCACATCTTAAGATCATCATGTCTAGAGAGAGGGAGACACACATTTGGAAAACATATATTGCATGCAGAGGCACTTAGAAAAGATACAACTATATACTGCTCAGTTTACAGGATGGAAAGCAGCGTCTGATTAGTATGAGTGAACTTCACCAAACCTGATTCTGCTGTCATCTGTAGGTTCTCCATACCACAGCCGTGGGATACTCTCAGTGCTCTCTGTCAGTAGAAGGTCAGAGAACAGAGCAGGGGGGGCAGATCTTTTCCCATACCTGAGAGGTTAGACCAGTCAGAGATTTTGCTGAGCAATCTCAAGCCGTGGAGAATCAAATATCCAGTAGCCTAAAGTATGTGTTACAACAGCCATCTGAGAAAAGCTTGACATCGTAACAATAAAAGATCCCTTTTTTAGCACTATATAAAGCCATTTTTAAAAAGGGTCTATATAGAACCATATACCACATATTCTCCATCAGTCTGAAGAACGACTTCACAATGCAAATGACCCCTTAAGCATGTAAATGGTTCTACACAGAACCACTGTCTTTACTAAAAACCCTTACATCTTTTTTTAAGAGAGTACAACTGCATTCATGACAAATTACATGTCAGTTTTCTTTAATTGGGCTGCATTTACTTAATAATCTAACATTGTCAATGGAATTAGTTACAAGAACACAACTCTTAGCAAAAAGGGTTCTACACAGTATCAGAAAGGTTCTTCAACTTGTAACAATAGTGAAACTGTTTTGGTGCTAAATAGAACCATATACAACAGTTACTCAGTCGTAGTGAAGAACCATTTAACCATGCAAAGATCTTTTAAGCATTCAAATGGTTCCTTAAGCCGTCACAGTTCTAAATATTACCATCGCCTTAACTAAAAAACCCTCAAAACCCCCCACCCCCTTTTTAAGGATGTAGGTTACTATAATAAAAATGATGTCCTATATGATGCATTCATTCTCTACACCTAGTTGCTTGGAAGGGACAAAGTTATTTGTATTACTTTTTAATCATGCTTTCGATCAAATAAAACATTTTACCTTTGTCGTGTGATGAGGTTGATGTAGTGTCGCAGGGCAGAATAATATTTAGCCAGCTCTTCAGCAGGTACATTCTCCCCAGGACTGACTGGTTTCAATGGATATGCATTGCCTGCAGTTAACATCAGCAGTGCAATCCCAAGAGACATCATCACATGAGTCTGCATCTGGAGGACAGAGCCAGACACAATCAGGGCTCAAATGAAACAGGTTAATTAGAATATCTAAACAGATCATCTGATGACTCACTGTTGGACAAACATGATATACAGCCATAATGATTATGAATATATTTGCAACAAAAGATTATTGCAACAGCAAACAAATAATAATAATAAAATAATAATAATAATAATAATAATAATGACTGAGTTTATCCTTAATGAAGGTTGTACTTTGGCAGAGATTTAAAACATATACCACTCAGTTAATATACTCACATCTTTCAGTGATGACTGAGATTGATGTGGAGTTTGACAGCGCAGCCTCAGTGGTTCTGGCAGATGGAGCTCATTCTGAGAGTTTTTATACTGCACACACACAGCACTTTAACACCATTACTGGGGAACCATGTCAATCATGCATTTTACTTTTTTTTTCTTTTGAGAGTGAGCTTAGGGGCTGAGATGTCTGCATCCTGCTCTACTCACAATCCACATTGCTGGAGCTACAGAGCGAAGATAAAAACATTTTTCTTTTGACTTGATCATGGTGTTCAAACAACCATTCTTGCATTTGTTTAGCAGTCCGTATAGGGTCAACATCATCTTTCATCACTGGCTTACAAAGTAAGTGGGGCACAACTGGTCCTCTAAAAAGGGCTCCATTTTTTTGCCTACCAAACAGAACAACCATAGAGCTCAACACCCACACCATCATGGATCCACAAGCGATGACAACGGTGTGGTGTAGGTATCTTTTGGATTTCTCAAGACTCTTAACACATCTCGATGTAGAAATCAAAACAGCATAGATGATTCATTCAACCATATTATCTTTTACAATTGCATCAGGTTGTGTCTTTGTGTGCTGCCCTTCCACCTAATCATTTTAGAGAGACAACCCACCCATAAATTCCAGCTTTGTGAAGCTCATGACGTCCAGCTTTTGTTGACACAGAGGGTGTAACCGGAAAGAAACATCTTGACGTATCCTCTTGCAAGAATTAACTTGCAACAGAAAATAACATATAAACAAGTTTGAGATGTGTTATGTTCTTGCTATTGTGCAATATTTTGGACCCAGCTGATTTCACACTTAAGCCTAGACCCAACCCAACAAGCGAGGTGTGTCTAAGGCCCAATCCCATTTCTTCTTTTTACCCCTACCCCTTGTTTTTGAGTGTCACCCTAACGGTTGAAATCTTGACCTACGAAATGAGACAACCCTCAAATTAAAAAAAACACATTGCTTCATTAATAGCCTAGTAGCGCTGCTCTGTAGGCGACCCGGCCCATCTTCAGTGATAGCAGAGAAGGGTGAAGTTCAGCAACCTCGCTGCTGGGCTTTAGTTACATTTAGGGCATCATATGCTTTCAAAGCGGAAGACAATTATTTATTATCGCCCACCGTTAATTCTTTGGTGATATGAAGCTGAAGTGAGCTATTCGCCAGCTTCTTGTTCGAATTTTCACGTTCCACCTTAAATGGTGCATCAGTTACATTCTGGCGCTTCAGGCGTCAACACTGCTGGACTATTTAAGGTGGAACGGGAAAGTTAGCTAGCTAGCTACCGAGACATTAGCATGCTATTAGCAATTGTTTTATGCTTGTTATGAAGAAAACGACCATAGTACATTGAAACGCCATTAAACCAAGATAATACAATGGTTATTGTCATTTTTACGGAGAAAATTCTCACATTTGTGGGTTTCTTTGGTCGCTCGCGCAGCCATCTTGCCGGTTTTTCTTTTTTTCTCAAAACACTGTTTGGAGTGAGCCTCTGAAATACCTCCGTTTGGAGGGCCATGTAGCTGTAACACTTCGCCCTACCCCTCTATCTCAACAAAAATTGGGACACCCTAACCCTAGACATGAACGCGCAAAACAGAGGGCTAGGGCTAAGTGGTAGGAGGCAAGGGGTGAAATGGGATTGGACCTAAGTACCCAAGTCACCATGACCACTACTATTGGTATCACTGCTGTGCTGACAATGGTTCCCCCACCCAAATAATATCTGTTCAGCAGTGGTCCTATAATGCTACCTTTCCACTGATAAACAGGGAAGACCAAAATTGTGCTAAGTGTGCCTACAGGCACACCTAATAAACTGGCAACTCGGCATATTGGTGATCTCTTTTTTCCTCCTTGGACCTCTTTTAGTTGCTACTTTGAAAACTCACGAATAGGTTGAAGGTCAGTCCTCTGCTGCTGCCAGGCAATCTATTATGATTCACTGACTTAGCTGCCCTAATTGTACTCAGTTTGACAGTTGAAATCTTCTTATCCATGCAGCATTTTCCTTAATTTGTACACTCTCATGTAAGATAAACTAAATGTCCAAACTAGAAGATAGAAGATTTCAGCTACTTTAAGGTGCACATATTGTGCAACTGAACACTTCCGTCAGCAATCAATTCAAACAGTTTGTATAATCTCTATAAAAAATCACTGCCAATAGAATGAGCCAGCCACACATCAGCCTAAGGTTACCATACATAAATGCCAAGTGTCAGACAGAGGAGTATAAGACCCCCAACATGGGGCTGTGGAATTGCATTCTCTGGAGTGATTGAACCCAAACACCTTTGTGAGGAGTTGGAATGGAGTTTGTGATCCAGAATCAATCATCCAACATCAGTACCTAACCTCACTAATGCTCTTGTGGCTGAATGCAATCAAATCTTCACTGCAATATTTAGTGTAAAGCCTTTCCAGAAGAGTTGAGGTTGTTACTGCAGAAAAGAACAAACTCCACCCCAATACCCTCGATATCAGAAGAAACAGATGAGCCTTGAATATTAAGGGTCAGTTTCCCAGACAGGCACTAAGCCTGAGGATTTGGAACACAGATACTCTATCGAAAGGAAAATGTAGTCCAGAATTAAGACTAGGCTTAATCCCTATTTGGGAAACCAACCCATAGTCCAGGAGGCCCATCACTGGTAAATAAACATGATTTTATTATGTACTGTAATCAAAAGACAAAGTTCCCTTCCTCTTTACAAAATTGCATGCTTTCAATCACAATCAGAATGAAATATGTCTTGTAGAAAAGAGACGGAACATTTGTCATGTTTTGTCATTTTAATGAAGGTTTAGATACTGATCTTCATGTCAAAGGAAAATGAAAAGCATACACAGATCCTTTTATCTGTATTCCCTTCAAGCATTTTCTGTGTGGACACATCCAACATCTGATGTTTCCATTTGTGAGATATTACATTTCACACTGACACGTTGTTTATTAAAGAGAGTTCCTCTGTGTCCCAGCAACACAGCAAATATTCAAAATCAGAACAACAGAACTGACAGAATATGTATTCGAGATTCTGATGATGGCTTTTGGGGGACGGAACAGCTTCGGAGCAGAAAAACAATTTAATCTCTGGTCAAGAATCAGGTCAGAAAGAGGGGTCAATATCTGTTCTGCATCTTTGCAGATGTGGATGTGTTGCTTTGTTTCCCAACAAAACTGATGTAGGATACAGAAGTGTTGCTGGATTTTCAAGCAACACTCTCAAAGAGTGAACTGCTGTATTTTCTGCTGAAAGTAGATGTTGGCACCCACACATGTGCTCACACAGGCACATAAAGAGACCACAGCTAGTCCACATAGCAAGGGCTAACTTTTTATGCTACAAACTGTTTTAGAATTTGCAAGAAGGCTCTAATTACAGTAAGTCAGGGAATGTTTCTCTGTAAGACCAGAGCTTAGTAGAAGTGCATTTAAATGACAGATCCAGTTGTACTCATTTTCAGCCACTTCGCATTAAGAGATATAAATCGTCTTTTCCCTCATTTTCACAAAAACCTGGCAAGTGCACTCTCTCTTTCAGCCTACATGTCACAAAAGTACACTCGCTCAACCCACGGCTTAAAAGCATACATCACTGAGCTCCAAATGTATTTGGTTATTAACACTTATTGGCTTCGTCATCTGCAATAAAGCACAGGATGTCAGCTTTCATCTGAAAGTATGCTCATCTGTATCAAGTGAACTGCTTAGAAAAAGAGCACATTCAGAATACGAAAAAAACTGCTCAACGGTTTATTAGGCTAGTCTGTTCTGCTATATTCAATTGCAGTCACAAGGCAGCTGGTCTTAATTGAAGGTTTTTATTTTGCTCTCTGAGGCTGCTGTTGGTGTCTTGATGGCAAAAAGGGGCCCAAAAAAAGAATCAGGGCAAAAAAAGAAGCAGGCTAAGTGGAAAAAAAAAAACAAAACAAAAATCAGTAAACAGCTATAGAGCCCTTCAACCCCATAAGAAGACTCTTCAGACCTGTGCTTGTAGCCTGTTTAATAATCAGAGCACTGGTTGTCACCATTTACTGTGATTTAGTAAAAAGGATTAAAGGAAAATGGAACTGTTAATACATTAAGCACTGACCTCCCATGCTTTGTGAATGCGACACAAACCTACTGCTGGGCTATAGACTGTCAAGTCATCAGTTATTTTTGTGAGCATTTGTAGTCTTTTTAGAATTCTTTCACAGTTTCCAAAGGTCTGGAAGAAGCAACTGAACCCATGTCCTGAAATTATACACATCTAAATGTGACAGTTGGTAGTGAAATAAAGAACTACATGCATGTCTTATTTGCCATTGCTTATAACCAAGCGAATCAAGGCTATTTTGTCCATTTGGCAGAACATCTGTATTTGGAAATTGTAAATGTATAAATTATAGAATCAACAGAAACTAACCATGAAGCTGATGTAAACCAAAATGGCCTTTAAAATAGGTGAAATGTGAAAGAATCCAATGTAATGGTGACAATTTTCGAACTGGAACAATTTCTAAACAGCAGATTTTTAGAAGGATGAAAATAACAGCCTGCCATGTTAAGATGACACATAAAAGAACAAGGTGAAATCTCACATTAACTTCAAAGTGAAAAACTTTTCCTTTACTGCTCACGTGAAAGACATATTAACACACTATAACATAACCAAAGATCTACCCTGAAGATCTTGTTTTATCTGTTTAAACCTTAAATATATAAAGAAGTCATTAACAACTGCTTGCTTTTTTTCTTCAACTTGCTTTTTTGTTCTTGAACAACACCATAAACCATTAAAACTAGAACATAAAATACTACCAAAATGAACTATTCTTTCTGTTGTAGTATAATTTTTAGCTTTCAAGTGAGAGGAAGTAGTCATCATCCAGGGCTTCAAGAGCAGACAATCTTCCAGAACATACCAGCAGCTTTGAGAGGAGGCATTGGAGTTTGTCATCCTATCAGAGGCACATTTCATGAGACTTTTATGAGCAAATGAAAGCTCTCTATGGAAAAAAAATATTCTTGAGAACATATTCACCTACCAGCTGCAATCCAGTAAACTCTGGGGCTTGTCGCTCATTCTCCTCAGCTCCACTGAAGTCTGGAGCATAAAGCTGCGAACAAAAATAGGATTTTTCATTCACACGTAAGTAAATTTGCAATAATAAACAACAAAACGGGTAAGTAAACCAAGAAAATTAAGAATAAAAAGCAGCTGATCATTGCACCATCCTACCCATAGAATGAGGCCTCCAAAAGCGTACATGTCACTGGCTGGGGAGGGCAGCTGACCCCACCTCAACTCTGGGGCCATCAGACTGATAGAGCCAGCCACCATGCCACTGTCCGCAGCTCTCTGCTCCTTTAAAACAAAGAAAACAACATGCAGAAAACACACAAATATGCAGGAATCCATAGCTAAACAGTCTTAACAATGGAGATCATGTACATTATATTAGGTCTACGTTTCCATGTTACAACCTCCTAGTGATGCTGAGAAAAATCACGTTTACTATGTAAAACTGAGCTGTAAAGTTAGTTGTGATGAACTAGGGGTGGGAATCTTTAGGCACCTCACGATTCGATTCGATTATGATTCAGAGGGCTGCGATGCGATTATAAAACGATTATCAATGCATCTTGATGCATCTTTTTTTCTATACAGGATTCCTATTTTCCCCACTGTGCGAGGACTCTGTAGTTTTAAAGCAAAGTATTTGTGATGATCCATAATTAATTTACTTCCAATATCTTTTATTAATAAATCAAATGTTAGTGATCTAAAAGGCTCTCATTCACTGCTCTTGTTTGAGACGCTGCTGCCACTCATATGTGATAAAATGCGCTGTTAGGGTGAAGTAAGATCCAGTGGTAATGGATGACCACGCAGCACATTTTACAGCCACCCTGCCCGTTTAATTCAGTGATTTTATAACTTCTGTTCTGGTCTCGTTGTAGAGAGTCAGGGGTCACGGTGTCAGTAAAATATCTTCAAGACTGGACGCTGAATCTCGGCTCCAAAGTGTACAATATAGCGCTAAAGCCCTGGTTCTCAACGACTGAGAAATGATGTGCAGACTGCAGGTCACGTAGCAGCGAAGTCTCGCCTCGCTAGCAGCTACGAAAAGGCAAAGAGAGAGAATTAGCTAAGACGAACATTTGGAGACGAATGAACATACTCCAATTTATAAGCGGCACACTTTCCTAGAACGTTAAATTTGCAATGAGAGACTGTCAAACACTAAAAGGTTGCGAAGATGAAGTCACTTCTCTTTCGAATTTTCCCGTTCCACCTTAAATGGTGCAGCAGCTACATTCGGCGCCTCAGGCAGAATTTAAGGTGGAACGGGAAAATTCGAACAAGAGGCTGGAGAATGAGAAGCGACTTCAGCCTTGTAAAACAGTCGAACGTTAAGAGACATTTACAATAAGCTGCTCTACATTTGAGGAAAAGTTTTCTGGCGGAGATGGGAGGAAAGCAGCTACAGCAAACCTAAAGCTTAAAGCAGAGCAAAGTAAATCAGTGTTTTCGTTTATATTTTTTTGGCCTGTACTAGGACATCAGCACACACTGAGACACACTAGACATTAAATGTTGTGGCTCCCAAGGTGGTTTGAGTATTGTTGAATGACAAGTGAGATAATAAGTATGTAGATTCATGTTATAGCTCTTCAGACTGCATCATCATTTAACCGGTTTAAACATTTTAATGTGCTAGTTCACTAGACAAGCGCTATGTGTGAATAGCTTTCCAGGACAAAAGGATGGATTTTTTTCCACTTGAAAACTAAGTTTACAAAATGACTTATATTTTAAGGTAAGTAATTGTATGTTGTTAGGTAGCTAATGTATGTAACACTGTGATAATACCAGCTGCCAGACATTCAATAGTTTTTTGAAGTAGTCTGCTACTGATTTAACAGAAATGCTTCTGATTAACAGAAAATGACACAGCTTAGAGCTTAGTTACATAATGGGATAAGATTCCAGTTATTTTTGTAAGTGTAATGTTACCTTATTCTGAGATGTCAATTATGGTGTGAAGTAAGTGGAGTAGTTTGGTTTGTTAGCCCACCGACACGGAGGGAAATCCATTATTTACTGACCATTCTGCTGCTTCAAAATCAACAGCAGCACATCTTCTTTTCCGGTGGTCAAAGGTAACAGTGTACTTACATGGAAAACTAAATCAGACTTGCATATCGTTGTTGTCAGAAGAAAACCTCTTATCTCCAAAATGCTAACTTTACAGGAAAAGGAAAAAACCTACTGAATGTAAGTAAATGGAACCAGAATTTTTGGAAATGGAAGTCATTTTGAGTCATTTCTTTTGGTCAATTCATCATTAACTTTATATACAATGTAAAGGACAACAGGCATTCTCAAATTGTGTCAAAAACTGAAAAACGACAAAAATGGAGATACAAGGTTTTCTTCCGACAGCAGTGATATGCAAGTGTGGTCATCCTTCATTTTTACGAAAACGCTCCCTGACGTCTTACTTTTTTTTTTAAACTTTTAGTGATAATTGTTCTTTTTCTTTAGCTATCTGCTCACACTAGCAATGAATTGCTAAACTCCACAGGTTAAGACATAATTCACGGACAATCACTTTGAAAATGTAAACAACAAATCAACAGCAGATATGTATTTTTTGATTGCCAACATTAAAGATTGACAATGTTGAATAGTTCATCCATACTTACTAATACTGTCTTTCACTCAGAAACACATCATGGAAAGCATTCTGAAAATGCATTATGGTTTCTGACTGATGTACACTTAAAACATGGATGCTAAAGTCCAGTTCTGGTGATACATCACCCTGGAGAGTTTAGTTCTAACCATAATCTACTACACCTCATCAAAGCCTTCAGGAACGTCTAAATATTAGATCCAGGTGTGCTGGAACTAAACTCCTCTGGGTAGTAGATCACTGGGACTGGACTTGGGCACCCCAGATTAAGTCATTTAACAAATCCATTTGCCCAATTTGTTCTCTGCATGTGTTTGAGGTTCAGATAGAGAGACAGACATGAATGTTACTCACTGGTGTCCTTGTAAAGTCATAATCCCCTACAATGCCACGCTCTCGGTTAAGGACAAACACATTATTGGGGTTCAGAGAGGCATGAGCGATGCCAGCTGCATGCAGACTCTGTAGTCCCACAAGTACTCCTCTCATCACCTTCCCAATTTCCTAAACAGGCATCACAAAGATAAAATACTAGTTATTATGAGCTCTTTTTTAGCAACAGACCACCACAATATCTTAAGTGTTAAATGAGTGTTTCACCAACTGTTTGTGTATACACCAGGCCATTAGAAACCCAGCACTTATATCTAGCACAAATTGTTCTACAAACCATTACAGTACAAAACCATCCCAACCAATCTGACAATGACAACATACTAAAAAATTATTTAATTTTGATGTTCTAATTGTCTCTTATCTGGGAAAAAATGGATGAGGTAGAGGGAAGGGAATGAAGTCACTGGTTACTAAAGGCCTGATGCATATAGCACCAAACCACAAGTTCAAATAACAGCTTTGCCATGCTTCTTTTCTTTCACTATTTCCTGTACTCCCTGTTCATAAACTTCAGTGATCTCTTTTGAATAACGTTACCTGACCACTATTAGTTTTCACTCATTATTTACCACATATTTCCTTATAATTTGACAGTTCTGCAGTTGCACATTCACATAAATGAACAGAACACTTACGGAGGGTATCAATGGGTTGGTTTTCTGCATAGCCCTAAGGCTTCCAATAGAGAAGTAAGGCACCATGATGTATGCTAGAGGATCCGACTGAAACACACATTCGGTTCAATTAATGACAGCTCTGCACACACAAAGCACAAACTTAGTGTTGACCAATCAGGGTGTCACAAGTCAAGATGCACATGCACATATGGGTGGAGATTATTACAATGGTTGAAAAAAATGTATGCAAGTGGGAGATTATATTGGATGAAAATATTAAGCTTTTAAAACATCAGGCTGCAATGGGAGACTATAGCTCCAGCTTGTGTTTTAGCAACACAGCCCCAAAACGGCCAACAGGTGGCATGGGAAGGAATCAACTTCACTCTAAAATGCAGCTTTACAGTGCATGGCTACTGCAGATTTTGATATATATACACACACATAGGATATATATACAAATGAAGCCAAAATATATACTCCACCCTACAAAAAGCACACAGGTATCTTTGCTCTGCTTGAAATATTTTAAAGCTCTGTTCTTCTGTTTTTTTTTTGTTTGCTTTTTTTAGCAAATGCAGTTAAACAATCCCACCGCCGCCCACTTCCCACGTCCCTGCTGTTGACTTAAAACACCCTGACAACAGAAGCCACTGAACAGTGAATTCTGCCAGTAAATGCTTAAGTGAAACATTTAATGAATTCTTCAATCTAAAGTATTTGGGACTATTTTTTCAAAGGAAAGAATCTGTGGAAAATTGTTATCATCATAGTGGTGTGGCTGAGGTTTTAGTATACTCCTGCATGACTGTGCATGAATGCCCTGTTAGAAAGAGACCGTAACTGTCACTTTGTACTGTGTTGCACACATGAAGCACCTTTATTTCTCAGTAGCAGTTAAAGGAGTCAATACAGAAAGAGTGTATACTGTGAACAGAGAGCACCTTGCCAAAGAACAGGCCCAGCAGAGGCACGGCAGCAGAGGGATTCTGACTCTGAGCTCTGTGATACTGAGCTGCTTGCTCCAGCATCCTCACCTCTGACTCCTCATCCACAGAGTAGCCCTACAACACAAAAATGAAGAAGTGAACATGGGCCCAAAACAATCTGATTCTTTAAGGAGACAGCCAACTACAATATAGTTACATTTTAACAACAGGTTAAGGTCAATAATGGCTTGGTAAATGCCTGCAAAAAGGAAAATAATTTTGTAAAATTATTCAGTATTGATACTCAATATTATTTCAGTACTTCTTGAAATATTCTGTTAGCATCATCACTGAAATAAGGCATTCCTACTTTTTATTCTCCTGATATCAGCTAACAAGCTTCAACCTGTGCACCAACTTGTTACCTTGAGCACCACCTTCTGGCCCTGGAATTCAGTGCAGACCAAAGGCCTCCGCCCACTCAGCTCCCTCATTGGCTCAGCGTCAAATATGTCTCGGTCCAAGCTCTGCATTAAGAGCCCCTCAGAGCTCTGTCAATACATGAGCATATATTTTAATCAATAACCATAATCAACAAAATCAAAACTTAACAATTTACATGAGAATCTGTATTTGGTTCATTTGGTGAAAACAACAAAGGCAAAAAAAGGCAGGAAAAAAAGTAATGATAACAATCCACATCAAGAAATGTGCAACACTGCAACACATTTTACAGTTTAAAAGACAAACACTGGTCAAGACCGTTTTAAATTCCAAACTCAGAAACTAAAGTGTGACTGGCGATACACAGCAGCTGATGAGGCTGTGAATGCAGCTGTAGTTGTCTCTACAGCAGAGTTCTCAAGTTCCAGTACAGATGACTTCAGCACAGATATTTTTCACAGTTTTCAACCTGGCTGGCTGGTTTGGGCAGGCTTGGACATTTACTGGTTGCTTGGATAGATAAACAGGCAAGCAACCTAAGCCGACTTGTCTTGTAGAATAATTAGCTAATAATATAATGCTGACACTGATTAAAAAAAAATAAATAAATAAATAAATAACAACATTAGTTGCGAAGCCAAGCTGCTTCCCTGCTTTGTACTGTTTGCCTAGCTGTGGTGTAGCCTGTTGTCCATCAACAGAGATGTCAAGCAAAATGACTTGCAGCGTGTGCAAGTTCACGTGGCTTTGTTTAGCCTAAAAATACACAAAATATTTAGTTCTATTTTGCAACACAAACATTTATTTTTGCGGCTGGGTGCATGGAGGTATCGTTGGTTCCACCGTTCCGCCGTGTCGCTACATCTGTGGAGCGGATTCCAGCAAATGCAGGTGGGAGTAGACAAGGACCGTAGGTGTAGCCCAAAGTAGGCGGGTGTGGGTGGGCAAAGGTGTGTGGTTGAAGCAGGCAAAAAAATGGTGCCAGGCACTGGAGGCAGAAGTGGGTAAGAATGACACTAGATTTTACAGTCCAAGGCAGAACGATCAGTGGTTGAATTAGGCAGGTGCGGGCATTAATAATCTAGTCTGTGCAGACTTCTACTACAATGCGGAGGTAAGACAGCCCATCAGAAATTCTTAGTACAGAATAAGTGAATGAACATTTAAGCAGGAATACATGACATGCAACGACAAATACGATTTTTTTTTTTTTTTTACATTATCTAGGGCTAAAACATCAACCTGTGTATATTCACTTTTCAATTCAAATAAATGACAGAAAACAAAAACAATATAACTCACCAGGTAACTGCTGATTTGTGCCTCAGGATAGAGCTGCACAAGTTCAGGAAAACCTCCCTTTACCAGCTCACAGAGTTTTATCTACAACACAATATTCATTTTGACACACCTTATCATTTCTTACATCATCTGCCCAAAGACTATCACTCAACAGGTGAAACACTTCCTATGCATTAACTACCAGCAGATCATTCAGGTCTCTTTACTTCAATGATATGACCATTTTTCTTCTTTTGGATTGAGAGATATGCATTCCTGTAATTTATTAGTCTAACAATGGGCTCTATATTCATTTAAATATTATTACATAATAAAAAAATTCATACTTGTGCCTCAATGTATCAACACATTTAAATCCAAAAAACACATTATTTTTTTTGTCCCAGAATTACAGCCCTTTGTAAGCATAGTCCCAAACACATTTCAGGAGGACTGTAAGCAACTGAACAAGTGGTTTCTTGACCAGCTGTGTTGTTGTTGAATCCTTAGGTCACACACAAAAGAGCTAACTAAAGGTCTTGAGGTGATTTCACAAGGGGCATTTGAATCTGCAGTCTGTGAGGACCAAAAAAGTGTCAATACCAATAGGCCAGGTTATCATTAGGCTGAAGAATTAAAAAGTCAATATCAAAACAAAACATTAAAAGTTTTGGAACATGCATGGAGAAAAGTGTGGAGAGCAACAGAAACTGCTCATGATCCAATCTACTTGTTACTGAAGAGAGCAGCAGCATAAATTCTGAAGTGTACATAAGCATCCTGCTCAGATCCAATAAAATTTCTCAAAACACACATACTCACAGTAAAAGCATAGTACTAAAGCAACTATTAAGTTTTTCAGGGCACAAATGAAGAAAGCTCTTTACTGGCCATGCCAACCTCTGAGCATAGACTTCACTTACTAAAGAATATAAGCTCTTGCAATAAGCTTAAACGTGACGTCTGTGGGTTTCAATTCAGGCAGGCGTCAATTACAAAGGATTTACAATACTTTCAAATATTGATTATGACACTTGCGTATGGTCACCTATAATGAAAGGGCTATGAAAGTCTCCCATATGGTTCACCCAGCACAGAAAAAACTCAAAGTTGATATTCAGCATGAAACGTTTCATATTTGCCAGTAACAGATTGAGACTGATCTACGGAGCAGTCCATAGATAATCGGACAGTGACACAATTTTTGTAGTTCTGTGCTGCATTACAGAAACTATGTAAACTGTGTTACTGTCCAATTACCTATGGGCTGCTTCATAGATCAGTCTCAACCTGTCAGTGGCAAATATGAAACGTTTCATGCTCAAGCTTACATATTCCTCTTTCTCGTGTCTAATTTCCTGAAATAGAGCATTCCTTGTCTCTGCAATTTCTTCTTTCTTCTTTAGAATCTCAGGCAAATCCAGCTCATCAGCCTGTCAGAGACAAAGTCAAATTGATTAATACTGCTCAGACAAATTAATACAGACTACATACTACTGCCAGTCACCTGGGTCAAAATTTCCACAAAGAAGTAGTGTTACTGCTGCATTGCCTAACAGCTCTCAAAAATACATACATCATCTAACATCATCTAAACCGCTTATCCTTCTGGGTCGCGGTGGGGTGCTGGAGCCTATCCCAGCTGTCATTGGGCGGAAGGCAGGATATACCCATCGCAGGGCAGACAGACAGACATACACAATCACACACACACACTCACACCTAGGGGCAATTCAGCAAGTCCAATTGGTCTGACTGCATGTTTTTGGACCGTGGGAGGAAACCAGAGTACCCGGAGGAAACCCACACAGACACAGGGAGAACATCCACACAGAAATGACCCTGGTCGCCCGGCCGGGAATCGAACCCAGGCCATTCTTGCTGTGAGGCGACAGCGCTACCCACTGCACCACCGTGCCAACCCCTCTCAAAAGTAGCTCAATTTGAAACATTTGTTAAAAAAATGTAATCTAAGAAACAAAGGCCTAGGGTAAAACTATTTCCTTCAAAATCCAATATTCTTAAGTGCAAGTAAAAAATGTTTATCTAATGGAGAGATGCTTTATACTTATACCTGCTGTACACTGTGCAATGACAGCAGTCTTATATGTTCACTGCATGTTACACTGCAAGACGTGCTGCAATTAAAATCATAGCCAAATTCTGGGGCTGACTGTGCAGCATCCATTATGTTCATGTGTGCTTGAAAAAAAAATTTTTTACAATAAAGATTTTCTGGTGTTCTTACTCCTTTTTTGTTAGCGTCAATGGCTTTTTTTGGTTGCACAACATAAGTGGTTGTGTTTTTCCTGGAAACAAATACCTATTAAACACCAAAGAGGGAGAGTTTGGATGCATTCATGGCTGAAGAAAAGAGGACAACATGGAATGCACATTCTCCAAAGAGAGTCTGAGGTTAAAAATGCAAATTTTCCTGTTTATTACATAGGTAGCTCTGTATGTGCACTCTAAATATAAGGCACTCCATATGTGCACTGAAGGCTGTGACAGACTAATGTATGTAAAGTTTTTTTTTGTTTTAATTCTCTCTCTCTCTCTGTCTCTCTCTCTTTCTCTCTCTACCCCACCAAGCCGCTCTTTCTGGTTGCTATTCAGACATGCTTTTTGGACATTGAAGCAGCGGTCACATTGTGAGATTTTGGACAATATCTGCATGATCAATTTGAAACAACTGTACACTGTAAAAGTGCCTTTATGCAAGAAATTAGTAGCCATAATCCCCATACAAAACAATTATCTTTTAAATGGTAAGAAATAGAAGCGTTAAGTCTCTTCGGAGCAAAACTTTCAGTAAAATATTTTAGCCAGCCACATGTCAGTTATATCTCTTTGTTTGGTTGTGCCATAATACATAACATTTATAAATTATTCATGTGGTTACCTCTTCTAGGCAGCCCACCTCCACCAGCTTCCAGCGCAGCTGTGAGCGCAGGCTCTTGATGCGTTTCTTAATGCACAAGAGCTCATCTGCTTTTGGAGTGCTGTTTGGCCACTGCAGCATGTCCTGCTTAAACTGGTATCAAACATTAGAAAAAAGATTAAGCTGTAATGTGACACTGCAGTACTTTTGTAGATACAGAGAAAAATACGCTGTGAGATTTGCAGAAAGTAACACACTATTATCTGAACTATTACATGACTTATGCTTCTGGAAGAAAGTAAATTGGGTTGGGCAACATATCATAACCATTAAGAGAGGTAGGAGAAAAGGAGATTTGAAGTCTTGGAATATGATAACTACTGACTTAATTTGGCAGACATCAGGTATGCTCTTCTTACCTTCTTATTTATCTCATATTTCTCTCTGATGCCACACAGCAGGTGCTGCTCTTTGTGGATGTTCTGCATGACTTTATGAAAAGCATTTGACATTATCTTCATCTCCTCATCATCCTGTTCCTGTGAAATGCAGTGAGCTGTTAATCTGAAACAGACCTAAATCAAGATTAGAAATGTTTCATAAATTTAATCTACACTGAGTGACAGCATTCAATATGCAAAAACTTACATACAGTGGATAACTTGATTGTTAGCTGACATAAATACCGATCAGGACAGAACATCCAGTGCACAATCTATATTGAAAAGTCTGAAAAGTGAGGATATTAAAAGACTGACACTCACAAAGAGATGAATATTCAACTCCTCACACACATTGGACTCAGCCTGCTTCAGAATGTTGTCCAGCCCCTCGGCAACAGCCTCCAGGGTCACGCCACTCTTCTCCGTCAAACAGAAAAACTACAGACAAATTGTTATTTATATACAACTCCGTTTACAAAACATTGGTATGCTGTGCGAAATGTAAATAAAAACAGAATGCAGTGATGCGCAAGTCATTTAAACCCTATATTTATACTGAAATAAGCAAGGCCTTCCCTGAAAAAGACGTTGCCTGGATGGAAGCATATGTTGCTCTCTTTGCTATTTTATGTTGAGAAATGTTATTCTTGAAGTGTTGGTGAACCCCTCCCCATCTTTACTTTTGAAAGACTCAACCTCTCTGGGATGCTTGTTTTCAGAGATGGAACCGATCCGATCCTCCTTGCGCTGGACCATGAACCCACCGTAACGTAACGTAACATAAGACATGTCACCGATTCAGATTCCATCCCACATCTTATCATGAACCCACAGCAACTTCATTCTGTAACTGAGGGAGCAAATAACACTAGCTGTTGGTTTGACTAAAATGTTGTTTGTTGTGAGATATTTTAGTCTGGTAACGCTGAAAAGCAAGACTGCTGCTTGTAATGTGTGTAAAGCCAGCGTGCTGAGGGGTGGAAGTATGGCTGTGTTGTACAATACAACCAATTTAATCACCTGCAGAGGATTCACGTGAAAGAGTACCAGGAGTTCATGCTAACAGACAGGAAGACAACCGGCAGCGACTCTCACTGATGCTTTCCAGAAACGCAATAAACTTCCAGCACACAAGAGTGCGGTGCATCAGGTGAAAAAGTGCAGGTGGTCACACACCAGCAGTTCAGCTGCAGCCTCCATTATCTGTATTGGTATCGGCAGTTGTATATCAGAATCGGATCGGAACTGAAAAAATGTGGATCGGCCCATCACTACTTATTTTAGACCCAATCTAGCATACTGACCTGTTGCCAGATGATATTTGATTTAATGAACTCAATAAGATATCTAGTGAATATGTTCTTTTAATAAAAAGTATTGATGTGTACCTTACTGGCGTTGGCTGCCCAGTCACTCAGAGCACAGAGGGCCTTATCAGTTGCCTGTTGCACACTTGTAGAGTTCTGATGCTTTTGATTCTTCCACTCACAAAATTTCTCAAAAGCCTGATCCTCAACATCTTCTGCTGACACTGACTCATTGCTGTCATCAGTGAACACTGCCGTCAGTGACGAGCTAACTTCCTATTAAAACAATAGAGACAGGTGGGGCGATAACAGTGCTCTTCCACAAACAACATCCCACTGCGTACAGGAGATATCACATCCACACCCATTTGACATACAACATACTGAAGATATCAAATCCAGTCATTTATGGACATGCACATCTGTTTGTGTGCATGTGTACAAACATTTATTTAACTGTATTTATTTAAGCCATATCATAATGCTTGTATCTAATTAGTAAGTAAAAACCAATGACTATACTTCCACCTACACACCTTCAGACTCTCCAGGCGCTGACTAATTGGTAGACTGTCCACTTCCAGAAAGAAGTCATTTATGGCGGTTAAGAGAAAACCACGAGACTGATTCCTGCTCTTCACCAGGTCCTCCAGCTCCCCCTTCTGACAAAACAAACAACATACATATACTGACAATATTAACCCATAAATCTATCCAGTTTACTGTAATGTTCGCCACATTACATAAATATTTAAATAAATAAATAATTACTATGATTAAATTAAGAGTCTATATAAAAGCCAGTCATCTCTTTAAAAAAAATTGTATATTTTCTGATTCACTCACAGCATTTCCAGGTGTTAAACAGTTTAAAATAGTGGCATTTGTCACCCACAGGTTACCTTCCATACTTTAAGACTTTTTTTAATTTGATCACATTTGCAGAGACAATATCAATTATATCTTCATTCACAATCATATCAACATGTGTGTGACATCATGTGGAAAATTACTGTACAAAACTATAACTGTATCTTTAAATTTCTATCAGGACAATATTTAATAAGGCCTTTATTTGTAAAATTTCAGACAAATTAAAACTTTTTAGGACCCACAGACATCCTGCAAGAACACATGTTGCATTTAAAAGGACTAAGTATTTCTTTAGGTCCTCCAGTACAAGTTGTCCACTTTAGGAAGTACAAAATTATAACTAAGGCAAAAAGCAGCTGCGGCCACAATTACTATTACTTACTGTTTGACAGGCTCTAAGCTTCTTTAAAGCTTGTTTGTAGTCCTCCCATGCCACCTCAAGTTTGTCTGATGTAAACGGCGTAATAATTCTGTTGTTCACCACTAATGTGATGGACTCCCAAAGGCGATCCACAGCAGTACTGCATGAATTACTCTCCCTAGTGTGAAAGCAATACCATCAAAATAAACCAGTCATTCAAGTGAAAAAAAGATACACACAAACAGAATTCATTGCTAATGCAAGCCAGATCATCATATTAAAAAAAAACAAAAAACTTAAGAGCATGCCTTCAACTGCACAGTTTTCTGCTATCTAGCATTAAAGCCATTATGTAGGGGTAGAACTTTAGAATTAGTTACATGGTGCAACGTCCCATGGGTCTTGGACTTCTGTTGGACATTTAATTTTAATTTTCTGACTACACTGCACCAAAAAGCCCCTGTGTATAACAACTTATGTAGCAGCATCTCCATTTTCGAAAAAAAAATACTATCACGTTACAGTTACAACAATGAAGGCTTACCTATTTTTTCTCACTGCTTCTACTTTCTGAGCCAGTTGAGAGAACCTGTCACCTACTGTTGAGTCAAAGTGAATCTCCAAACTCTTTTCTTTCTGCTGACACAGCTCACTCGCTTTCTAAAAAAAAAAAGAGAACACACCGAGCATTGTACATTGTATGCATACATGTTAAATATCTGAACATAATACAAAACTGTCAGAAAATGAAGAAATAACGCTGTTTTTTTTAAACAAAATCAGGCTGATGCATCTGTATCATAGTGTCAGTTATCATGTACAACAAATTCCCTGTACTAAGAAAATAACCTATAATGAAAGCCATAGGGCAGGGTTGAATTCTGCAAATAATAACATTTCATTCAGGCCTACGTAACGCAAATGCTACAGTACTCTCTACAGTATGCTGAACTAACAGTGTAGGCATATTTTTGTGTGTGAAGGATTTATAAATATATTCTACTGACCAAAATTGTTTTCTATTTTCAGTTGTTTAAAAGATTTTCCTTTCTTTATTAGTACAGAGAAGTATGTCTAAATTATTGTTTGTGATCAGACTGAAAACCACTGGCCTGATTTAAAAAAAATTTATGATTAATGATTGGTAGAGAATTGATGTTACAGTGCTGGCTTTCTTCTAACTGAACTAGCACATTCTAACCTGTAGCTCCAGTCTGGCCTCCTTCAGTTCCTGTTCTAGGTGATCTGCAAGTTTCTGGAAGGCATTCTTCTCCTCTTCAAGTTTCTCTGTCTCTCTTGTTTTCTTCTTTACTTCCTCTTTCAGTATCTACAAAGTGAAAAATAGCACAGCAGAAAAAAGTAGCTCAAAACACAGCGCATAGTGGACCAGGAGAAAGCTAATAATAGTAATGATGCTGATTTAAGCATTTTGAACAAATCTGTAGAGGTAAGTGTTCAGGTCAGCAAACAAACCACTGTGACAGAAAAACACCAACAGCTCAAACCACAATTGACATACATTGCATGGTCGGAGAAATGGTATTTCATTACAGTGGCATGCTGACGTAGTATAATCCATTAGGGATGAGGTAAAACTTACTGACAGGAGAGATGAGAATGAGTGATCACCTGTAGCTCTGATTTAACTTCATTCAGCATCTGCTCTGTGACCTGACTACACAGCTGCTGGACCACCATTTCTGCGTTGTGCGGCCGGTTCTCATTTACCACCTCTCTCTCCGTGTCTGCTATGTTTGGAGCCATTGAGGTTGCACTGGTGCTTTGCTCCCTAAGACAATACATCAAAGAATGAAGCAGCCTGAACACTTAAATTATGATCAGGACCCTCCTAGACAGAAGTCAACACCACTTTCTGTATCCTTACACTACATTTACAGAGTAAAGACACAAAGCTATCCTACATTTCAGGATTACTATAAATTGTATATATATATATATTGATGTGAAATAAGATATATCTTACATCAGGCCTCGAGGCTTTTGGTTGGAGAAAGCTGGACGCAACTTAGGCATACATCCTAAAGAGCCAGGGTTGTCACCGTCTTCCTGAGGTCCCCTGGAGGACCACAGTCCAGTCTGCTTTTGGAGGGCCTTAGTTGGAAAGGGGCTCTCTTTGTTGCCTGGTGAATTCACTTTGGCAAACTTAAACTTTAACACCTCTTCGCCAATATCATGATTGCCCTGAAATGCCTGGACCAGGATAGTTCCATCGAAGCACACAGACTTCTTGTTTATTCTTAACTTCTTTCCATATATCAGATTCTGAAGGAAGGACTTCCCCTGGAGTATAACATTTGAACACACAATATCAGCAGTGTGGGGTACTTGGACAATGACAACATTGTCTATTGCACTAAATTTGAAATGAAACATTAAATTAAAGAGCAGACTGTCAGATTTAATTCAAGGGTATGCACTTCCATATGTGGTGAATTGGTTTTATACAATCATCCCATTTCAAGACACCAAATGTAATTAGACAACTGGCTGATTAAGTGTCCTCAGTCCTCAGTCAGCTGTCCGTCGTTTCATGAGTATTTCATACACAAGACATTTAACTAAAGGAATGAATTGATTCTAAATATGGCATTTGGTTTGGTGTCTGCTGTTGTTCTCTCTATGAGGATCAAAAAAGCATTAATGGCAGTGCAGCAGGGTATGAGACTGAAAAATCTGAATGAACTGATGTGAGGCACAGTCAAAAACATGAGCTTCATCAGTTGTTTGGCATATTGTTAAAAAGCAAGAACTTAGCAGGGGACAACAGTGGTGAATAACAGAAGAATCCTTTTTGTCATGAAGAAAAGCCACTGAACATATCAAGAACAAACTACACCAGCACTATCTCAGACGGTTCACCACAAAATGCAAACAACTGGCAAGCCTCGGGAACAAAAAGGTCGCTTACTATTGGCTACAAAGTAAATAAAAAACGAAGTGTGCAGGGGTCTGGGACAAAGTCTTATGGACAAATGAGGTGGAGACTGACCTGCACCAGAGTGCTGTTAAGAGGAAGATGTAAAGAAAGAGAGGAACTGCTCATGATTCAAAGTGTACTACAATATCAGGGAAATGTGGTGGTGGTCTACTGCTGTCAGTGGAACTGACAAAATTGCCTTTTACTGATGAAATAACTGTTGATGGCAATGGCAGAATGAATCTTCAAGAGAACTAAAACACTTACTAGCATAAACCCAAACATAAGCCTCAAAAATCATTGGACATCACATTGCATTCCAGGCGGACAGTAATTATGTTCACAATAACACAACTAAGCTCTTATTTAGTTTAAGAAATTGGACCAAACCAAGATATTTACATGAGTTTTTTTTTTTTAATCTAGTCCATTTACAGTCCCATTTCCATGCATGCCAGCACAGTCAGACTTTACAACAGCAACTGTTCCCTTCATGACACACAATTCTACAAAGGTATGAGTTTCCGGCTGTTTAAATATATTGGTATTCCTTTTCCACCCATAATAAATTCAATATCTGAAAATGTCTATTTCTGGCAAAATGCTTAACATGATGGACATATCTTCCCCACTGCACTCTGAACGCTTTCACCTTTTGTCGCTCGTGTTTGTTTTTAAAATTTATGCTTTAGGACATCAACAGTCCAGCCAATGTCAGCCAAATTTCAGCCAAGTTAAGCTTAACCACTGTCAGACTATGACAATGTAAAGATAGTTACTGACATCAAAAATTCTGCAAAAGCAACTATGGATCTCCTCAGGGGACAAAAAGGTAAAGGTTGTTGACTGGTCAAGTCAGTCACCTAAGCTGAATCCCTCTGAGCGTGCATTTCACTTACTGAAGACTGAGTGCAAAAAGCCCCAAACCAGCAGGAACTGAAAGTGCCTGCATCACCAGATACATTACCCACGGTCTGGAGATGTCTATGGGGCAAATACTTCAGGCAGCCACTGATTTCAAAGTGTTTGAATTCAAGTAATAAATGATAGTTACATTTAATAATTGATTACTGACTGATTACCAATTAGTATGAAAAAAGGACCATGATTCATATGGAGTCCTCCCAATAGTCTACAACTGACATTTGGATTTTTACCAGTCATTTTCATTTCAAATTCAATGTGCTGAAGTACTAGACCAAAAATACAAAAACTGTCATTGTGCAATGTTCGCACATTGTCTTATGAATCATTAGCTGAACAAAAAAAATGACCCGGGACTGGTGAACAAAGTTTCAGCTGAACAAAAATGTATGTTCACTTTTGGCAGCTGGCCTCTGCCGGAGATCAGGATAGCAAAAGTCATCATAATGATTTTTCTTGGATGCCTACAGTATTTTATAGTTACCTGTAAATAATGTGGAGAATCCTGCTCACTTGACAGATGAAAGCCCCAGAACTTGTATTTTTTGGCAAGTGCAGGAGACTGTAAGCTTTCGGGAAGTTCAACTAGGTCAGATCTGCCTACAACCTCTGTATTCCCGTAATCAATATATGAAACATGAAACTAAACAAGAGAGAAAAGAACAGCACGTAAACAAAAGAACACTTTCTTGTAGCAAACATGCACTTTCTGCAGTTTAAAACCAGAATTTATCAATAACGGTGTTATCTCTACTGTTACGAAAAATATTATGCCTAGAACTTGTAACAAGGAAAAAAGAAATCACTATTGAGAAACACCAGACTGGAGAGTCCAAATATTTCATCATTTGAGCATCTGCTCACCTTGTCGTCTACCTGCTGTTGCACTTTGCACCTGTACCAGCATCTGTCCTCTGAGTAGCATGCCCCATAAAACTGCAACACAGCAAAGAGACAGAGATGAGCCAAGTGTGCTGTGAAGTCTTCTGTCCTATTTGTCCGGCTTATCCTTTAACCTACCTTCTGTGGGTTTGGCCGTCCCGTCAATCTAGCTGCAGTAGGGCATATTTCTGAGAGGACGGTATCCATGTTTTCAGTTGTTTTATCTTCACTCACATTCTTAAGTGATATAAGTGAAATAAACAAAATTAAACCGTGTTATACATTCAAAAAATACGTGAGATTTCTTTATTTTGATGATTTGTTGTCTTCTTTTTCATCAGCTTCTTAATCTCAATTTTCCACCTTAAATGGTGCAGCAGCTCTACTGTGGCGTTTGTTTGTTTGTTTGTCTGTATGTAACTACTGGACCATTTAAGGTGGAACGGAAAGAAGAAGCTGACACAAATATTACCTGAGCCCAAAAGGTGATGGCATCCACAACATGGGTGACAACGACCAGCTCCACTGAATCATTAGAATGAGAAAAAAACTTTGCAGTTGATGAGAGCATTTATGAACACCAGGCAACTCAAAATTTGTCTGACAAACCATGAGCTACTTGCGTACGTTTTTCAAGCTCGGACTCCCAAGATTGCTCCATAAAGCCTCGTCTCTTAAAAAAAACAATATGGCGTCCCAGTATTAGCGTAATGGCGGCATCGAAAGCACACAGTAGTCATACAAGCACACATTTATCCTGGCTACAGAATGCCTCTTTTTAGGCTACAAAGAAGGATTTTTAGAAGCTTACCTCTTCCTCTCGCAGTCGGCATGCAGTGTGGTACCGGTAAACTTTGGCAATGTCTTGCCAGCTAGCTAACCGTACACACGAAGAAAACTGGTCTAGCTGGTAACTAACAGCTTCAGTAACACATAACTCATACAGGTATTAACTTATTAACGCATGATAGCTTTTGAATACCTATGTATAATGTTTTTTTGATGGAAGTTTTTTGGCAATACGAGAAGCACACACTTCATGCTCACTCTGGAAAATAGACCTCCAACCTGGCTTTGGTCAGTTAACCCCTTCATGCTCGTTTAATTCAGTTCTGACTAGCATCAGACTAAATTACATTTGTTATTATTGGTCAATGTAATATTTGAGCTTAATCCAAAAAAGTCACATCCACAATAAGTTTGATACACAAATATGTCCAAAAGTTTGAGGATGTCCCTTCAAATTAGTCAATTGAGCTACTTTAAGTTGCACCAGTTGCTGGCACAGGCGTTTAATTGCTCACACAGCTTGTTTTTATCTCCATAGAAGAGCAGTGTCACTGGAATGGGATGCTCTGAAGCAGCCGTACATGAGCCTAAGATCACCATGCCAAACGCCAAGCGTCAGCTAGAGAGGTATGAAGTCCCCAGCACCGCTCTGTAGAGCAGTGGAACTGCAGTCTCAGTAGTGACAGAGCACCCTCCAGTACCTTTGGCATGAGCTGGAGTGCCGTTTGTGATCTAGAACTAATCATCCAACATCAGAACCTGACTTCACTAATGCTTCTGTGACTGAATGCAATCAAATCCTCACAGCAATGTTCCAATATTACATGTGGTTAGGATTCTGCTTTCCATAGCTCACATTAGAAAAGTTACCAGAGTACCCAAAAAGCCCTTCACTAGTGAGCTGCTGATGAATGACGAGCTTAGCTAATGATGAATTACTTATGTGTTGATTTGGAAATGTTAGCTATTTTTTTTCAATGGAGCATCTACATAAAAGAGACACTTTTCATGACTGACAGTGTAAATAACTCTTGTTGAGAGTATTTCTGTCCTTTTGGTCCCTCTATTTCTGACCGGAGAAAAAAAACATAAAAAGAGCATATTATAAATTTGTTAACAAACCTACACTTTGAACCTTGCCACTGCAAAGCGTTCAGTTTCAGACTCTGTGAAATTGTCATCAAACATGAATCCTTATCCTAGAAAGTGTAACAGCACCATCTGAGTGTGAGAAAGTTCATAGGTGATGAAAGCAGCTGTGGCAGAGATTTGTCCCACTATGCAGGATACATAATAGACCTTTTGGATTGGAACAAATATTTGCCAGTGTTTACAGTTTATTGTGCCAGACAGAATAATAGTAATTTTTCATGACCGTGTTTAATACAGCCCTGCAAAAACAAACGTAACGTTGCTTTAATTGTTTATCAGGAAAATAAATATTGTATTAAAAATAACTGCGGCCAAAAATAAACTTTCCATGTGTTTTTCCCTTTCTAACAACTAAATATGTTACTGTGCAACAGCATGTTTCGTTGCCACCATCTGTGGACTGCTTTTCCTTCACGCAGCAAAGCTTCAGTTCTAGCCCACTTAGATTTGTTAAATGTCAATATGAGCAGACTGGCGTTAGCAATCTAGCTATGTTTAATCAAAACCATGCATGTCCATCTTATAACTGCACTCAATGGCCATTTTATCAGGTACACCTACTATATAGGTGCACTTTGTAGGAATACAATTGCTGACTGTAACCCATCTGTTGCTGCACAATTTGTCAGCCACCCTCTATCATGTCCAACATCAGAAAGGGATCACCACTGACCAGATATTAACCATTTTCAACGCAGCTGAGAATGTCCACACCAACATGCTAGTGGCATGTTAATGTATGTCATCCTGGCACAAGGGTGTCAAGTACAACAATGTTGCTGCAGACAAACATATGCACAGAATTCTGCCCAATGATTTGTCCGAACTCAATTCAAGAGTTTGTAACATCTCAGTGGTATATCTCAGTGGTATACTCCTATGCCTGGGATGTCCACTCTTATCCACAAAGGCCCACTGTGGCTGCAGGTTTTCGTTCCAAACTGGCTGAAGCACACTTGATTCCACTTGTTTAATCAATTGGTCTCAGTCTTCAAACAAGTGATCAGTTGTGTATCTGCTTTGTTGGAATGAAAACCTGCAGCCACACTGGCCCTTTGTGAATAAGTTTGGACACCCCTGCCCTTATGCTGTCCGCAGCTGTGCATGCCTGTCTTTGAAGAAAAATCCCAAAATGAAAACAAGCACAAAAATGTCATTATCACCTACATAACTCATTCAAAAGTTTCATTACTCCAAATATATTGATATGCTTATAGAACAAATACATTTTTCTTTACCATTGTCAAAGTAACAGGTGTTGACTACTACAGAAGTCTTTCTCCACGCTTTGTGCTTCTGCAATGTGTGTGGCTCAATGGAGTTATAGTGTTCTGAAATTCAGCACTGATGTTTTTTGCCAGGAGTTGTATTAGTTATAAAGGCCCAAACGCTACATTCTTCTTGTAATTTATGTGAGGTTCACTTATGATGTTTGTTTGGTTTTATGCACCAAAAACAGTTGAAATTAATTTTTAATCATCTTCCAACTTCTCTTTATTCCTGATTTAATTAGACTGATTAGTGCTTTTAAGACTGATATATGCACTGTGCTTTTTAAGACTGATCCAAATAAATGACCTCTGTTCTGATTGGCTGTGCTGTATTGTGCCTCATTCAAAAAAAAATTGAATGTGCAGGGGTGGAGCTCAACTGTTGAAGGGAGATATATGTAAGTATGTGGGTTTTTGTGATATCTTAAAGACAAATTGTTTTGGCAGATTAGTTTCTACATATGGAGCATAGTGACTGGAGAGTGGATGGTACATTTAGATTTTTTGAACAATGTTTACATACAGCACCAAATTCTTTTATATACGGCGAATGCAGTTTTCCATGATATGGGCTTTTAAACACTTGAAAGATCCAAATGGGAAGTAAATCCTTTTAGGAAGGTCAGTGGACTGCAAACCAGGTTCAGTAACAATTTGCCTGTTTTAACGTGGAAAATTCAACCATGCTAGCCTAATGTATGGCTATGGCTATACAGTCAGTCAAACCTGCTCTGAAAGTTTCTGGTCAATGTATTTTTATCATAGTGCTTCCTAGTTTCCCTCCTGCTGAAAAGCGACCATTAGAACCATTGGGATTACAATATGGTGGTGTTGCTTTCTAAAGGGAATTGGCGTAATGGTTACCATTTGAGGGAAGGAAGCCGTCAGTTGAGTCTGGGATCAGACCCAGAACGTGTAGTTTCATCTTCAGAGTCTAACCAAATCGGACTGATCCATAAAACCGCCGCAATAAAAAGCAAAAAGCTGCTCAGTGGTGATGGTAGTTTCTGAATTTAGTGTAAGGAGCTGGAGAGCGAACTGCCGGCTGTGCAGCGAGTGAGCGGAGCTCGTTACTGTGACGTAGGAACAAGCCGCTTGTAAAGGAACTATAACTTGGCGGAAGGGATTGCTAACATTAAATCATATTAAATGCCACGTTCACGGCCCAGTTTATTAATTTCTTACTTTATATATTGAACTGTAGTATAAAAGCAATAGAACAGTCGAGGTCGTGTGCAGTCGTGTGTTATCACGTATTTCCCTCTCGTGTTCTATTGCTTAATTAGAAAACACAAAATACCGTTAATGACTTACTATACAATTTTAGTAACCAACATAAACTTTCAATAGTTTGTATGATTGTTTTTTTCAGCATGCCCATCTTCCAGCAACATGATACACGAAGTGGGTATTGTGAGCATCCTTTAGTGAAGCAGGTCTTAAACACGCCCCTAGATGGCTCACACTAGTTTTCCACTCCCTCTCAGCCCTCCCTCTGCTAGGCAGATCATTTCGGGACGGCTTGTATGTTGAAGTCGTCGGGTTGTAGAAGATGTCCGCCGCGGGTGCTGGAGGTTGCGGACCCGGACCAGGACCCAGCGCCGGTCCTGGTTCCGGGGCCTCCAACCCACGTAAGTTTAGCGAGAAAATAGCTCTGCATACTCAGCGTCAGGCCGAGGAGACAGCCGCATTTCAGGAGGTTATGATGGACATTACCTCGACACGGGTAAGTGCGGAGAGAAGCGGGGATGAGTGTCTCGTAGGAAAGGCCTGTCATTCGCAGAGAGAGCTGTAAGAATGAACTGAAGTGAAGAAAAAATACTATTTTTAATAGTTATTTTGTTATATTCTAATTATTTAGGCCATTCAAGATTAGCTGTCTGTGCTAGTAGAAAGTAAAGTTGTTTTGTGGTAGCCCCGAGAAACTCGCACTTTCAGAGAGACACTAGCACGTTCGCTAAGTAGGTGGGTTAGCTAGCCAGTAGCTAATAAGAATATTGGGTGATACGGCTAGCTAGTTGAGTTAGCTAAGATAGATGACTAAATATCACTCGAATATTTTTTACAGACCACAACGAACGGTATACAATCTAAAGTTATCGTAATAATAATTAACAAACTCCTTTTTCAAAAATGCTACACAAATCTCCAGCGTTAATGCCTACAGAAGAACAGGAAGCTAACGTTAGCAGGTTGGCTGTCTGGCTAACAGACTCTGCTAGCTGTCTTGCTGCTGTTAAGTTGTCACTCAGTGCAGTGTAGGTTAAGTTCATACTTCTTCAGTTTTGAGTGCCTGCGTTTTTAAGTTTAGCACGTACATAAAGGACCTAGCTGGATTGAACTGTTTTTGTTGGTGGCTCGTTTGATTTGTAACGTTACGCTACAATGTTTACGCAGCCGTGCTAACCGGATAATTACGCTAGTTAACAAACATTAGACTTGAAGTTGCAGGCGGGCTTGCTAACCGATATGTCGCTAGCCTAGCTGCCTCATCAGCCGACCACTCAATACATGACTAACCACTCACCGGAAAAGATAAGCAAATCTGACCTATCAGCCCAGTTAGATGCGTTCAGGCGCTGCTTAGAGCTGTAGCAGCAGTTTAAGGAGGTGTGTTTATCTTCGTCGTTTTGGTCGGTAGCCTTGCTTGCTAGCAAGCTGTCAGAACTACGGCGCTCAACCTCCTCACAGGTACCCGAGTTAAAATTATGGTTCCTTTCTTGCTACATTTGGTGGTTAAAAAGTGGGCAAATTCTCTCAGTTTAGTGTGGGCATTAATATAAAGAGTGTGAACTCTCCCTACTTTCCGGCATATGTGGGTTTTACAGTAAACCATGTGGGGTTGTTGGTATTCTGTCATGGTCAGAAATAATCATTTACAGGTGTATGTAAACACTATGATTTTTTTGCTTTACTTTCCTTTACTTACTTTAGATTCAGTAAAAAGATCTTCCCGTACAGTTTTATGGACAGGTACAATGCAGTATTTAGGTTTTACTGGGTTTTAAAATGTAGTGATCTTGGGTCTTATTCTGTGCCGGATTTTCAGGCAAGTCCCTCCTCCTTTGGTAGTTATCATTTAATGAGCTTAAGACCCACCAAGTAGGGGATGTTTGTAGTGCAGCGGTAAGCAGATGCCTAGTGCTGGCCTCATCTCTAATGATGTAATCGTCCCGCTTGCAGATGTCCTGTTACCATAACTGATCATTTGAGGATCTCCTTTTCCTTTGCCTGTGTCTTCCCTGCTCTAAACACGGTTTCACTGCAAAAGTGTGGAGTGGTGATTTTCTGTCACTGAATCCAATCAGGTTAAAAGCAGCTGTACGCCTGGATGAGCCTGTGATAGATGGTGGTTAATAGTGGAGTCTGGCTGGTTACTGAAATTTGCATGTTAGTGTTGTGATCACACCAAATTGTGACTCCTGAAACGTATCGGTAGCTGTATGCTGAACTAGGAACCTTCATCCTCCACTTGGCTGTTAACTGCTGTGAACAGCATCTGCAGATGTCTCAGTAAGGCTTCTGAAAAGTAGCTCATGTCCTTGCCTTTCTTTCACTTAGTCAGGCACTGTATATTGTAGGAAAATGAAGATGGCTATTAAATTGGCTATTTATTTGGTCCATATATATATGGGACAGCAATTTTAATACATGTTTTGACTTAACAGTGTGTCAGTAAATGGTTTGACTGTGTGGGAAAATGTCACGCTTCATTTCCACTCAGTGTGTGTGGGGGGTGTCTCTGAACAAAAATAGTGATGGACAAAATGACATTATTATTATTTATGATTATTATTATTATTATTATTATTATTGCTGCCGTTGTTGTTGTTACTTATTTAAAATTTTATTTAGGGACAGTTTCCATATTTGAAAGTTGAAAGCAGGTTGTCTGCAGATCAGTAGTTCAGTTGAGCAGTTCTTTCATGGCTCTTAGTCTTGAGTTTCGGGGACTGGGTTCACATGTTACAGATCCAATAGTTATTAAATAATAAGTATGTCTTGAAATACAACATTATGCTTGTGAGAGAAAGTAAATTAAGATTAGCACTAAATAACAGGCTTTCTTGGATAGCTTAAAATAGATAAATTAATTTGGACAGGCTATTTTCCTTTTGCCAAAAGGCAGTAATATTTTAAAGTTTCCTATAAAGTGCTATAGTGCTCCCTGCGTCCTTCCACAAATACACTGCGTAAAGTACAGCCAGACCTCTTTCTGCTATTATTCTTCTAAACTGTGGAACTTGTTACCTTTAAAAATACACACATCTTTTTAATTTAGCTTTTATTAAAACTTAGAATACACAAAATTTTTAGGTCACTTTATCTTTTATGTTATTTTACTTTGAATTATTATTTTCTTTTTTTTTAAATTAGGGACACACTGATGTCTGAATTATGGGCTGATACTGATCAAATATTTATCATGTTCTTGTGTACATAAACATTTATAAAATGTAGAAACTGGCACTACATCTACCTGCATTGGGATTATAGAGAAATATAACTTATAATTTATGATATAAATTATACCTGAGTCTGTATTATTCAGTAGGATTACAAATATATTTGAATGAACCAAATGCAGATATTTTAGCACAGTTGCCCAGCATCATCTGATTGTTCTGTTCTGCCAGAGTAAATTAAATACATCATCAAATATTGGTTTGAAATATTAGTCAAATCTAGTCATCTGTTTGGAATGATAATATATATTTTTAAGGCACATATTTATAGATACCAATATGATTCCGGTACCTTTGTGCATCTGTTATTATTACTGTGATTGTTCCTATGCCCCTGCAACTTAATTTTATAATGCAAGTGCTACTGCTTTATCAGTCTTTATTTTTTGATGTATTTATTTTTTTTCTTTGTTTCTTATTACCTGTTATTGAGTAAGAAATTTATTGCCTAGATTTAACACATCAATTTTGTAGTGCATTACTCACAGGGTAGAAAAGACTTGCATTAGGAAAAGAACCCAACTACTGCGCTGTTAGAGTATTGGAGTACCCAGTATCAGACCAATACAGCAAAAAAAGTAAACACAACTGCTGGTTTGGATATCAGTGTTAAAAGAAATTCTACGATCCCATTCTGTAATAAGTCTGGCCTTGAAATATCAAAGAATTACTTGTAGTGCACATAACATAAAACGAAGAAAAGTAGATCACAGAACAGTAGCTACACATAACCTAACATCATTATATGAATGAGTTCCTAGCTAAATATTATACTAGAGTCACAATTTTAGAATTATAATTTTGCTTATGTGTGCTGTAAGTGATTTTATCTTTTGTGTGAAAGAGCTTAACTGTATTTAGCAAAAAAAGCTACAGTTTTTGGTGAGTGCTTTTAGATAGTCATCTTAAAATGAAGTATTTTTTTTAAAGAAAGTAGATCAGTGTCAGTGCGAGCTGATATAAAGTTTCAATATCAGTATTGGAAAAAGAAAAAAATATTGTAGTTACATCTCAGCAATAGATGTAACTGATAGGTGCCATGCTCGTCGTGAATCTTAGCTGAGCAGGTCTTCGTGATTGTTGTTCTTGTCAGAGATGTGTTAGCAGTATTATGCAGCACTCCTGTTTGTAGCTGCCGTTATGAGGTGATGAACTTGGTAACAAATCTGATGAATTGCCCGTTTTAAAAACTGGCATACATAGACCTGGTTATAATCATCAGTATAATCAACATTTATTCTGTTTATGGTATAAAATGGGGAATAAATGTGTTTTCTGATCAGAAATTTCATTCTTTGTCAGAGTGGTTTATTTGATTTAATAATGAAACAGCTAAAGATGTGAAGTAGTCTAAAGACGATTGTTATTATAGCTATTGTAGTTTTTTTGTTTTGTTTTTGTTTTTTTAAACTGATAGTAGTCACAGCATAAAAATCCTTTAAGCTTTTGTTCATGTTTAATGAGGGTCATTCTGTGTGTGAAGAGCTGCTGCACTGCTTTATCAGTTTAAGAAGTATAACAACGAGTGGGAAAATAGCTCCACCTTGTGCTGCTACACAATGTTCTAAAGCCCGACAGCATATCAGGACATATGTAGGACATGGATTAACGTTACGCTTTAAAAGAAATCTCATTAAAAGAAAACAGATTGCGAGACAGATGTAATTACTTTTGTACATCTTAAAGCAGTGCATGCTGTTTTGAGACATTTAAGTCATCGAACATGATTGACAGTCAGCTCAACTCTAATACACCAGGAAATGAAATGACCATAGTAGAATATCCCAAGGTTACCATCTGAAAAATATTGCCATGAAACAGTTTTGTGTTAAAATTTACACTTTTCTGCATAAAAGAAGAAAAATGGTAATTGTAAATGTGTGCCCTGATATTGGAATTGAGAATTCTTGCTGTGTACGTTTATTAACTCATAAGCTCTTGATGAATTTGAGTGAGAGTGAGGTTTTTTTGAGGCAGAGCATGTGGTTAGTGCTGTTGGCCTGAGGGTGTGAATACAATGGTTTGGTCCAGGTTGCACCATCCTGCCAGAGGTCGGCTGAAAATATACCTAATTTTTTTTTATGTTTTTAAATGATTTTTGTAAAAATTTTGTCTTTGGTATTATTTCAGTGTTTATACTGTGTACAATATCTGTACTGACTGGCACAACTGGATTATACATTGTTGAAAAGGAGCATATAGTTTTAATTTAGTGAGTAATGTTTTAAAACAAACTTATACCCCACCCTCTTTCATACCTTCCTGATCATGTGGACTCTTTGAGGGAGAGAAATACTGAAGCTTTTGTTTGTAATTAGTGTGTGTCATACAGAAATCCACTGCTCAGGTATGAGCATGATAACTTCACTTAGCACCTGTGCTACTGCAAACAGTTCAATGCAGCTCTGGCCTGAGACTCTGTCCTGACTGATAACGTTAGTAGTACATTTGCACCTGTGTGTTGACTGCAGGGGTCGACGATATGGCAAAAATAGAGCATCGCGATATTTTACAATAATACGTTTTCATGCTATGTATCATGTTGTTTTTTGTTTTTTTTATTTTATTAGACAGAACAGACACAGTGCATTAATTATAGGATTGTTTTTTTTTTTTAATGCAGCATGCATTAAAACTGCTGTAGATATCTACAATATACTCAGAAAAGAATATTTTGATGAAATTTATCACAGTAATGTTAATGTTGTCATATTGCCTGTCCCATTTGACAGCTTGTCAGACAGACAGACACAGGAGTGGTGGAGCACCATTCTACTTTGTAGTGTTGCTTGCACAAATATGAGCTGCATGCAGTCATTAGAAGAAGACCTTGCTTGTGACCTCAGTGCAAAAGTTGTGTCCGCAGTCTGCAAAACAAGATCTAAAGAAGGCATTTTTAAACAAGTACTGTGAACTAATGAAGTAAAAATGAAACTTTTTGGCTACAACCACCAAAGGTATGTTTGGAGAAAAGAATGAGGAGCATTTGGTGAAAAGAACACCTTGACAACTGTTAGGCATGGCGGACGGTGGATCTGTTATGCTTTGGGGTGTGGCAGTGAGTGGCATTTAAAACATTGCACGAATAGGTGAAAGAATGGCTTTCAATATAATATCTACACATTCTGGCAGCACATATGATATAGTCCCCAAAGTAACTGAAGTTGAAAAGAGGTTGGCCAAAGCAAACCTTAAAGTCCACAATGAACTGCTTCAAGAAATGTAAACTGAAACTTTTGGAGTGGCTCTCTTAGTCCCCTGACCTGAAGCAGAGACGTTATAAAGGACCGGTCACTGGTTGAAATATGAATGGGAAAGCTTGTAACATTAAACATGGCATCTATTTACAGGGAAAGCCCTGTCCTTCAAATGAAAGAGCCAGTCAGCTTGCAAGCTGCAAGCAGGGAAAGCCCTTCTCAGTTTTGGAGATCTGCACAAGCACAGTAGCCAGAACAACCTGGAAAAACACATTTTTTTTTTGTCCATTATTGAGCCATTTATGAGGTGTTTTCTTGTCAGGTTCTACCAGTGATTTCAAATATGTTTTTGAAAAGATAATTTGACCTTCAGTTTTGAGTAATTAGGTCTCTCCCCATTCAATAAGGTAGGAGCCTGGTCTTGTATGGCTGGAAATAACAGCCTGGTGGTGTTGCAAAGATGGCCGCAGAGCAAGACTTTGCCTGTACATCATTGAAAATCTCTGGGTAAATCTTAATCATACTGTGCATGCAAGATGGCCTAAGAATGTCACAGAATTAGAGGCGTTCTCCAAGGGGGAATGGGAGAAAAATCCTTAAACAAAAATAGACAGACCTTTGCTAGCTGTTATATCTTCCAAAAGGAGGATATAACAGCTTTGTGCAGAGGTAGTTTTTACTTCTTTTCACTTAACCAAAAATCACCAAAATATTTAAATTGGCCAACTTTTGCATGCAAGTGCATGTAAGTAAAACTGGTCTACTGAATTCAAAAGTGGATCCTTTAAGGCAGGGGTGTCAAACTCAACCAGTAAAAGGGTCATATTAAAAATGGCATCAAATCTGTGGGCCAGAGGAAAAAATGCTTTTATTTTATTTTAATTAATGTGGTGCTATAACCTGAACTGGCCATTGTTTATTTAAAATATGAATAAACTTCATCAGTAAAATACAGACACTTTTAGTAGACCTTGAAATAGTACATGGACACTTAAAATATTCTAAATGTAAGTGTAGGTTTGCCTATTTGCTTGGACTAGACACCTGGAGTCCTTTCTTTGCTGCAAGTTCATTAAGACTTGGGTCAATTTCTGCTGCTGAGCTAATGTTAAGTGTTTTTTATTGGTTGAACTGCAGCTGAAATGCATTTGGTGATATGACTGGTGTGGAGCAGAATTGAGTATAATTGTGGTGTAACCGCTGTCCCATAGACATGTTTTTGGGGTAGGAGAGTCGGAGCACATTACGTTGCAGTGCATGCTGGGGACTGTAGTGCAGCACATTGTGAAACGGGCTAATACTAAAAGAAAATTCAAATACTTTTGCAGGCTGGATAGGATTGCTTGGCAGGCCTGATGTGGCTGTGGGCCTTGTGTTTGACACATGGGCTCTGAGGGGTGTAATTAATGTCAGTCTGTGTATTCTATATTTTCAGAAATAATCTGTAAATCATGTCTGATTTATCATATCGACTTTGTCTGTACCAGGTTAGCAACAAAAAAAAACCCTGCCTGGGATTTTGTCAACTTCAGGCATGACTCTAATGATGCTCCATGTTATGGTCACTAATTTGTCATGAGAACACAGAGAACTGTGCTGAAGTGAGAATGCAGTGTGCATAATTGATTAGACACCACAATCTCTCTGAGCTGTCCTTGAGGGTGGTGTATCTCATGTGGCCTTGCAATTGCGTATTCTCATTTTATTTGATTAGTAAAGATTGGTGCAGTGTCCCGTTGGCTCCAACACAAAACAATATTGTCACTGTCAGTTATGCTCATAATTTAAGCCTTTGAAAGCTCTGGAATGTGAATTGCAGTTGGTCTGGGCGCATGAAAACAAAAGCTTGTTTGTAATATTTGTAGTGGGTTAGAACAGTGAGGCGGAGAAACAGCACTGGTACAATAGAGCTCATTGCAGCCTGCTGGAGATGACAGATAATGATTGCAGTACGAATAAATGTATACTCATTCTGGAACATTTAAAAAGAAACAGGGTGACAGTATCCCATGTTGTCTTTTTCTGCATGCTGTAATCTTTTCCTCTCAATTTGGTCTGGGATTTGCCTCTAATCTGACTGAAACAAATATTTGGAGCATTAAGAACAGTGTATAGCAGTTGGACACTACTTTTTATGTGCATATGTGTGTTTATGGTGTTCTTTATGTCTTTGTAAAACAGTAAGGTTTTGATAACTAGGTAGTACAAAGAGAGAAATCTATCTTTAAAATATTTGTCACTCAGTTAAGGTAGTGAATTATTCTATAAGCATCATAGCCACAAATCCATGTTGTCACTAAGATTCTACAGAATTTCTGTAGATCTCTGAGCCTAATTGTAACACAGCTATTCATTGCCTTTACCATCTGAATCTTAGAGCCAGGTGTGTTGCCCTTGTATGTGATGGGCACATTCACTAAAACCTCATCGTGGTATGATCATTACATGACAGAAAAACACCTAGGGAGGGAGGAAAGAAGGACAATATTCTTGCGTGTGAGATGCTGCCCAGCAGTGAAATGGCAAAAGGAAGGGTGGAGAAGAGACATGGGAGGAAAAAAGGCACTTAAACCATAGAGCATTTGCTTATTGGTAGTGTCCAGTGCTGCAGCTAGTGTTTAGTCCTTTTAATGAGGTTCAGTTATGCTTCTGTATAGCGATAAAATACTGGTAAAATATCACAATATCTTTTACATCTAATGGTATCAGATAATATTTAGTATGATACATTTTGTAAAGTAATGAGGTACACAATTTTATGGGCATTTATATTGTAAATATAGTACTCATCATTAAATACATTGCGAAAAAAAAAAACTGAGCAGTAGTATCACAATGTGTCAGTGTTACGGTATATAAGTAAAGATAATATTGTTCTTCTGTAATGTTTCTTCTTCTTCTCCTGCAGATTCAAGCTCAAAAGGTGCGGCTGGCTAGAACGCAGGGGCCTTACTATGGTGGCTCTCTACCAAACGTCAATCAGATCGGCAGGAACGCCCACGACCTCCAGGTGTGTCATTGCGTGTGAGCGCATCAAATGATTTTAAGCTAGACCTGCTAGTTTTCTATTGAACCAGCCACTGTAAGTAGATCAAATTGTATAACCAACATGTTGGGATGTGAACTTTAACTGTTTGTGTTTAAGCAAACAAGGCATGGTAAATGTTTATTAAAACTGAATAGGTGGTTATACAGTTCCACACATGCAAGGGACACCAATTTAGAAAGACGCCAGCTGCAAGAGATTTGTGTATGATCGTTTTCCTGTGAAAAGTGCAGCAAGGCAGAGGAAGATGGCAAGCTGTATGAAATACAGCTTACTCTGTAACGTGAATCATGATATTTCTGCTGTTTTAGTTGTGAAATGATTAAAACCTAATTACATGGTGCAGCAGCATTACAATACCTTGTTATTTGTGGAGAATTCAATTTAGCATGTATCATACACATATGCTAAATTTATATGCTACTTTTAGCATATGCATCATGAACTTGCCATTGTAATGCATGTAAACTGACATTTTTCCCCTCTTCGTTTACAATGTATTTATCAGTGTTTGGCAAATGTGTGGCATGTTCTGTTCTACTAAACTCTCCTTTATTATTATTTTTTTTTAACTAGACTGTTTATTTTGGACCTTAATTTTATAGCCTAGATCTCCAACACCCAGCTCTATTGTAGCAAACCCGGGCCAGCTAATTAAGGTATTCAGTAGCTTCTGCATATTTTTGGAACTAAACTCTCCAGGAGCATAGTAGTAAGGAACCTCATAGCTTGGCATTAAAGTTCAGTACAGTTGTGCAAAACGGGGTTATTAGTTTAACGGTTTTGTTTTTATTTAGTTTCAGTAGTAGTTTTAGCATTATGGTGACAGGGGTAGACTAAACAGTTCAAATTGCATCCAAATTAAACTATTAACTAACAAAAAAACTATTCACTTATACTGAGATTTTTGTACTTAAACACTGACAGGAACTTAATGCATCTAAGTGATAGGCTGTTTTTGACATCCGTCTCTATGAACATATGCACAATATGTCTTGGCACTTTTGCTATTGACTTACCACTGGCTATCAAGTCCTTGAAAGCTCTGAGACAGCACACTGCATTTGTGCTATACGTAGGGAGTGAGTTAGTGTGATTTTCATTATTCTCTTTTAGCATTACTTTTAGCATTGCTCCATTCCTTTAACCATGAGAACTGGGTTGTATTTTCATCCAGTATTTTTCCTGGGCTTGGTGTTTTACCACTGCTAAATTTGTTTGCAAATTATCATTTAAGACAAAGCTAAATACACAGGCTTCCACTTCTAAACATCCTTCATGCATTTAAAGTACAGAAAGTACATTTTTGTTCTCCATAATTCTGTTCTGCTTTTGTTTGTTTTGCAGTTAATGCTATAGTCCTGATTTAGTTTTTGTATTTTTGAAAACTTGGTGGGCAAATGAAACAGTATTGAAGGTCTACCTTACGGAATTGCATCAAGTCATGCAATAGCCCATTATATGCGCTCATGCATGAGCATGTATACATGTGTTTGTGTGTAAGTTAATTTGTTCGCCTGAGGGAGCCTAACCTTTATTTACTATGTGTGTGTCCCATTAGGGCCCATTCCACTCTAACCTTGATTCGAGTCGATCTACACGGCACCATGGCCTGGTGGAGAGAGTCCACAGAGACAGACGCTTCGTCTCTCCTAGCCGACCATACAGGAGACAAGTATCCTTACATTCATTATAATTACATTTACTCATATTTAATTACATTTAGTGTTCTTTTACTCAGTTTAATTTCATTTGCACAGGTAGGAGCTGCAGTTTCCTAATAATAAGCTCCTCAGCAAGACTTTGAGAAATTGTATTGCAGTTAAGTCTTTGTCGTCTGCTACTTAATGTAGTTTTGGTTGTGTAACCCCATGTTCAGCCAGCAACAGGTACGTGCAAAGATAGATGCCGGGGGGCTCAAGCCCCTGCCTTTTTTGGCCTGGGACTGTATGAGTGTCCTCTTGGTCAGTGTGTATCATAATTGTTTTATATACCTGCACCATTGTTCAGCTCAGCCTTGCCCCAGGATTAGAGGTAGTGGGCCAGTTTTGGTTCCATAAGTCTCACAAGCCAGACTTCTACCTTTTGTCAGAGATTTTAGTGCATTTTGTTGTTTAACATGGCCAAGAACCGTCTACTCTTACTGGTCTGGCATGCAAAACAAACCACTGGACACCACTGTTTTGGTGTGGCAAACAGGCAGGAGATTTTTAAAATGGGGCTTCTAACAAAGCGATACCACAGGAAACAAATGTGTTGGCAAACTCACAAGGATATCACAGTTAAAGGCTATTTAGTGCTTGAGTAGGAAATATGTTGAAAAACATTTTAACAAACCTAATTTCACTCCAGCAACTGTATCTCTGAAAAGCTCAGTCTCTGTGTGCAGAGTGGGCAACTACTTGTGTTTCTGAACTCATTGCATGATAGTGCTTTCACACTGACATGCATATAGCCATTTAGAATGGAATTGTCAAATCAAATCAAAGTTTTCACCAGCTTATCTGGCAGTATATATCAGATGCTCCGTTTATGTCTGAGCAGACTATTAAGGCTAAGACCAACATGAGATCTTGGGGCCCCCATTTTCTGGATCAGTAATGACTGTCTGTGGAGATTTCACCTTAGTCAACTTATAATTAAAGATTATGTTCTCTTGGAGAGAATTCTAATTCAGTTGTCTGTAGTAATTAGTGTAGTAATAATAATAATAATAATAATAATAATAACAATAATAGTAACAACAATAATACCAATAATAATATTTTATTTATAGAGCACTTCTTATACTGGTGGCAGCTCAGTGCTTTATAGAAGAACTATGAATATTAATTAATACTAATAAAAGAACCATAAATATTAAAATCATATAAGGCAATGATGGATCAAATTAAAAAGGTATGTGCCAAAAGAGATGTAGAATTTTAATGAAACACCAAGTTAAAAAGAAACATTTTCAAATGTTTCTTAAAAGTGTGCTCTGAACCAGACTGTCTAATAAAAGGTGGAATTAAGCTCCATGGTTTAGAAGCAAGAACTGAAAGAGGCCTCCACACTTTTTCTACAATTTCCAGAAGGCTTCGATCTGCAAATCTAAGGAAGTTCAGACCTTTCCCTACAAAATATCTGTGCACAAGTGTATAAGACGTGCTGGCTTTGTTGAGGTGAAAAAGGGGTTAGTACTGCAGTTGTCCTTAACCACCGACCTCAGATGGACAGCTCTCATTGCAGCTCTGCATACCTCTCTCCACCCCCTGACCCCAGCTGGAGAAGGTAATAAATACTAAAGAGCCGTAACAGGTCTCAGTCTGGGACCCTCTATGCTACATGTCTTAACTCTGCTGTCTGTCTGTCTTGTTGAATGTTAAGTACTGGTAGATGTGTGTGACGGCTGATTTTTGGTTCATGGCAAACTAACACTGGCACTGACAGGACTAACCCAAAGGCACTGCTTCAGTGAGCTCTCTTCCAGAGCTTTGTCTTCTGTTGCTTTACAGGCCTTTTGGGCAGATTTACCTTATTTTTTATTTTTTTTTTTATTATTATTATTTTTTTTTTTTATTATTATTTTTTTTTTTAAATCTTATTCTTTGACTGTGGCAACTTCTCTGCTTTTTTCATTTGTCAAACTTGGGGGATCTTCATTTCAACTTTTGTTCTTCTGTTCCAAAATCTCCCTCTTCTGGCTCTACTAAACGGAACAAACTCACCCTCAGTGAGTGGGATACTGACTTTTAAAAAAGAATCACTCCTTCAGGTAAAACTTAATCAATTGGTTTTTGACTAATTATTGTTTTCTTAGCAGAGTAGCAGCTGCAACGCTTCAGCAGTTCATGGGGAGGGTGCTGAGTTTTTTGGCAGTCTTGGCCATCGATTGATCAGCTTGAGAGTGGAGGAATCAGCAGTAAGCTGCAGACATGTTCCGCTGTGTCAGCAGAGTCCTCACACTCTGATCAACAGCTCTATAAATCCTACCTAGGCACACGCACACACAATGTAAAGCGGTGATGTAATCACAGAGGCACATGGTATGCTGCATGTTGGAGATACGTTTCAGTGGCCCTTTGGGGTAATGGCACAGTGTTCTTCTCTAAATTATTTTTAAAATTTTTCATCAGTTAGCTCCCTTTCTCATGGACTGGGGCCACAAGGCTGATCCCTAGCCCCATATAGAGAAAAGCCCCATGTGCTGTATATCGTCAGTGTCCCTCTTTCTGATTGTCTCTTGGGCTGCTTTCGGTTCTTTCGCAAGCCTGCTCCATTTTTTCCTCATGGTTCTGGAAATAATGGGCATTTTTCTGTCAATCACAAAGGAACTGGTCCAGTAATTTCTCCATGGACAAGAACCCGTTGTTCCGTCTTCCCACCACAGCACTCAACAGGTGAATTCACCTCTCTCGGTCGTTCCCTATCTCTCGTGTCTGTATAATACTATTATTATTGGTTTGTTTGTTTTCTTTTTCTCTCACTCACTTTCCGTCTTTCTTTCCTGCTTGCTTTCATTTTTTTCCTTTCTTTCTTGTTTTATCCTTTTTTCTCTTTTTCTTCACTTTCTTTTTCCTTCTCTGTCTCTTCTGGATCATCTTCTGATGATCTGGTCTTTTTTCTCAACTTGTCTGATAAGGCAAAAGTAGTGTGGTGAGTAGACTGAGTAGTGTGGTGAGCAAGGTAAGCTATTGTTCAAGAACACCTGGCAGCTGTGTATGCTTTTATGCTTGCCCTCACTGACTACTGTGAACACTTTGAATTGTTTTTGTATTGCAGCCTTGGAAAGGTATGTAAATAGGTTGATTAAGTCAGATGTCTTCTTCTGAGGCTTTGTTCACACAGAAGCTAAAAGTGGCCCAAATCCAATCTTTTTTCTTTATAAGTGACCGATGTGTTATCTGTGTGGCAGTGTGAACAGCAATAAACACATTGAATCTGACATTTTCTATTGCGATTTGGGACGCTTTCATACGTGGTACTGAAATCCGAATGACCTCATAAACATTTGTGCTGATGTTTCTGTACAAACAGTGTTAGAAGACACTTATCATGACCACTCTGTGTTCACAGAGATTGTGAAAGAAATGGCCTAACATGGCGAATGGAGAATGAGGCTGCAGCGTCAAAGAAAACTTAAGTCTAAAAGCAAAGTTTAAAGAAACCAAGGACGTGAACCTAAGAAGAGGCTCTGGGCGATTGACAAGCATTTTTACAGTGAGCTCGAACACGTTCTGGGTGACGAGCCCAGCTGTCGGCCATAGGAACTTCTTACTAGCTCCTGTGAAGATTAAATCGAAACCTCCTGGAGCGGCTGTTACCGTTGACTCCACTGGTTTTATCCTTTGGATAAACGTGCCACGTGAAGCATTGTTCTTTTGCGCATAGAGGCCAGTTTAGGAGCGTGATCTGTTCAGACTACTGTCACACATTGGTCACATTTAAAAAAATATTGTGAACTGACTAACAAAAAATCAGATATAGGTGGAGAAAATGAGACTTGGGCTACTTTTACCTGCTGTATGAACGTAGCTTAAGAGAGAAGCTGCAATTTAAGTGATATTGTATTAATTTGTTGTCATTTTATGCCATCACACCTGGACCGAGGACAACACTGCTTTCTTGCCCACAGGAAGAAGTATTGACAGAAATTGTTTCGACTTTTCGTAGTCTTTATTTCCTAACTGTAGGGTTGGGTTTCACTGATAAAATTCAATATTGCAGTATTTTCCAAATATCACTGTACCAAGATATAAAAGATGATATGTTTTGATTAATGAAGTTAATGACACCATTCTTCCTGGATACTGGTTCTCTGTGTTAAAACAATGTCTTACACATAGCACTGCTGCTAATGATTGTGTGATTAATGCATTGTTTAATCTAAATTTTAACTGCAATTCAAACAAGTGGGATAACCAGTTGCTAAAGAGACCGCTAAGCTACACTAAAGCCTTTCATGAATGGATCCTTTTCCCACATGAAATATGAACATGGACTGATTTTGACGTTCTTATGTCAAAGTTGTCACATATAAAGAAAAATGTTTTTATAACTCAGCCAAACAGCCTAATAAAATTAATAGGCTAAAATGTTAGTAGCCTTTCAGGTTAACTTAACAAAGTAAAACGTAAATTGACATTTACAGTGTCGTAGCATCCCAGCTTACAAACTTTACATAGATTGTTTTGATTGGATTATTACCAGTTTGTGAAATTTAACCAAATAGAAAACACTACATGATAACAAAACTGATAATTTAGTTTTCATGTATTTTAAACTTTTTTTAATTGAAGCAAATGACATAAATTGAAAGTAAGTAAGTTGAAATGAAGTTTCTATCTGTCAGTATCACAAAAACAAAAATGTGGACCGTCTTGGGATCCCTGAGGACTGGATTGACAACCAGTGCAATCATGGACCAATGTACCTCAAAAAATGACCTTTGCGCTCTCTCTGTCTCTCTCTGTCTCTGAACTCTTTAGAACGAACTCAGACTCTGCACTGCACACCAGTGTGATGAATCCCCCCGCTGGAGATCCCTTCAGTGCAGGACACAACCTAAACCCTCAGGGGCGTCGCAGTGGTAGGTATCTTTCTCACCAGGGACAAACGCAATCCTTGTTATTTTAATTCAGGATGGTAAATAATAGGAGCTGTTTCTAGACACTGCAGTGTGCAGACCTTTTCTGTCCAATTCATAGGTTTGACAGAGAGTGAGGGACGGAGGAGTAAGTCACTCATCACTTTGCAGCCCAACAGTCATAAATACATTTGTATTTGTTTGTAATGTGAACAGAACAGTAAAGGCTGAAATGTGGAGTGAAGCTAACATATTGATTCTTTTAAATATATATACATGTAGTGTTCCCATACCCAGTTCCTCCCATAGAGGAGAATGTGCTAGATGAAGGAAAACTCCTGAAACCATGGGATACTAAAAAGGTATTCTCAGATATCTTATTGTTTTGTGTTTTTCTTTTTAATTTATTTTCTACTATTATTGCACTTGTTTTTCTTTTTATTTACTTACTACTATTACTGCTCTCTCAATATCCTAATGTATTTTGTATTTTGACTACTCTGAACAAATGTTGATCTGGATAATTTAACTATGGCACACTGTTGTATCACACATTTTTATACACAAAGTTCTTGATGTGTTTTTTTTTATTGTAAAAGGTGAATACATGACATTGTCATTGTAATTTTTTTTTTTTCCTTTTACTTCAGTTTCCCATGCTGTCCTCGCGACCAAAATCTTGTGAAGTCCCTGGAATCACGTAAGTTAAATAGTCTCTGCCTACAGAAGAAGTCAAGTGTTTGAAGTCAGTTTTGATTGATGTGTCTTTCATAACCTCTAGCTCTCTTTATCTTAATGCTAATGCATTAGCTCTGCTTACACAGATGAGTATTTACACATCTCTCTCTCTCTCTCTCTCTCTCTCTCTCTCTCTCTCTCTCTCTCTCTCATTTGTTTGTGTGTGTGTGTGTGTGTGTGTGTGTGTACGTGTGTATGTGTGTACATATATGTAAATATATGTATATACATACATTAGCATTTTCCCCTCACCAGACCAACAGTCCAGTGCCCCTCATGTCCCGTCTGCTCTGAATACTGGGGGTTCCCTACCTGATTTGTCTAGTCTGCACTTTCCCTCCCCACTACCAACACCACTCGACCCAGATGAGCCTGGCTATCCCTCCCTCAGCGGAGGCAACAGCACTGGCAATCTGGCCTCCACCCTCACTCAACTCGGAATCGATACCACCAACGCCTTCCACTCTCCAGGTGTGTGTGGGTGGGCTTGTGTGTGAGTTGAAAAGCAAAAATAGTTTGTGATCAAAGGTCTAATCAACACTATAAAAGATTTGAAGTTATGAGAAGAAAAGTTTGATAATTTTTTTACACATGTAGTTAGTATGATACATAGAAGTACACAGAAATAAACTGGTGACTGAGGTGCAGGCCACATCAGAGCGTTTTGTCTGACAGAGAGAGGGAGGGAGTGGGTGTGCGTGTAATCGGAAGTAGCAGCTAGTCTTATCTCCATACAGCGTTTTGCTTACCACACAGGATGCAGCGTCCTCACTGCTCTCACTTGCCCTTTCAAAGCAGTATGGTTTACACACCAGGGAACCTATAAAGTGTTCGACTTCACCGTTAAACATTTAGAATGATTCTCTGTTTATTATGGGTTTTTTGTAATGAAACACAAAGATGGGCTTTTGATGCATTCAAGAGGCCAGCTTGCACCTCATAGTGGTTTTTTTCTTTTTTTTTAATTACACACACCTTTTCTTTCTCTCATTTTTTTTTTTTACTTTCTCTCTCCAGGTCTCCTGGCCTCTCTACAGGGCACACTCAGTAATCCCTCCCTTCAGTCATCACTTAGCAACCCAAATATCCAGGCATCTCTGAGCAGCCACTCTTTCCCCAACTCCCTTAGCTCCACCTCCCTGCAGTCGTCACTCAGCAACCCCTCCCTGCAGTCCTCCCTTAGCTCCTCCCCTTCTTTGCAGTCTTCCCTCAGCAACCAGTCCTTGCAGTCCTCTTTGAGTAACTCTTCCCTAAGTGGACAGTCCCTTCAGTCAGCACCTAGTGCCGTGGGTGGGTCAGGCTCCTGTTTGAGTTCGTACCCTTCGCTCTTACCTGGCCAGGTACAGCCGCAACTGAGCACCTCCCCCCGGAGACGAACCCAGCTTTCACCACTCAATCTGCCTATTGGCCCGGAGTCCCGCAGGCACCTCTCCAAACAGTTCTCCCCCACCATCTCACCCACACTGTCCGCCATCACACAGGTAAACAAACCACCTGTACTGGCACAGAGTCCTGCTATGTATTGAAATCTTAGAAGTGTGTAATAAGAGATTGGGTAACTTTCCTTATGTAGGATTCAGATTTATAGATGCAGTGCACCTCCTGAAACAGGGCTATAAGCTCTCACATACTCACTCTAGGCTGGAGATTCTCCACAAGCAAGAGCCATTAGCTTTTGTATGCATCAGTGAAAAGGATTAAACTGGCATAAACCCACAACAGAAGGACCTCACAGATGCCTGTATGTTCGCATTTGCAAATTGCATGTATTTGCAAATTGCAGATGAAATAGAAGGCCCAAAATACACGTCCAAAAGTATGTGGACACTCGAACATTTCGGTCCAAATATGCTTGCTTAACAGCTCACTCCTAAACCATGGGCTCTGGTAAGAGCTGGTTCCCCATTTGCAGTTATAACAGCCTTCGTTCTTCTGAGAAGGCTTTCCACTATATTTTGAAACATGGCTGCAGTGATTTGCTTCCATTCGGCCATAGGAATTAGTGAGTTCTGGCACTGATGTTGGATGATTCATCCCAAAGGTGTTGGAGCAGTTAAAAGTAAGAATCGGTGCAGGCTAGTTTCAAGCTCTGAAAAATGGAGTTACTGTGTATGTATACTGTGTGTTTTCAAAATTTGACATGCTTTTTTTTTGCCCTCATTTGGCAGAAATGGAAATGGTCCTGAATTTACTGAATGTGACTGTAATACACCTGTGGTTTTAAATAATACAAGTATAGATACATTTGTCACAATTTTTTTTCCAAATTTGCTTATCATCCCAGCCCTACTGCATTTAGTATGACAACTGTATTGCTTTGTAGCATTATGAAGTTCGCTTGATCAGAATACTGATAAACTACATGCAAGTGGAGATTCACAGGAAAAAAAGCACCAGGGGTGTTGGGTAAGAGTGTTATGTCATTGTTACTGGATTACATTGTACCAAGTGATTCATGAATCTTTTCTTGCCTTTGGCCAGGGTGTTCCATTGGATACCAGTAAGCTGTTGATGGACCAGAGGTTACCACAGTATCCCTACAGTCAGTCACAGCAGGCCCAGGGCACTGATGTCCAAAAAGGCTGCTCCTCGCCACAGTCAGCACTGCCAACAGGCCAACACCAACAATTACAGCCACAGCAGCAACAACCAGGCCAGCCACCACAGCGCCACACGCATCGCCCGCAGACCCAGATGTCATCGCAGGCCATGCAACTGCACATGCAAAACATGCAGAACCTGCGCAAAAGTCAGAACTTTCAGTTGCAGCAGCAGCAGCAGCTTCAGAGGCAGGGCTCCCACCTTCAGCCGCAGCCACAGCAGAACCAGAATCACAGCAGTGCCGTAGATACGCAGGGGCCAATGAACTCACAGAGTATCCAGGAGCCAGACACGCAGGCACAGGCCACCAGCCAGGTGGACGAGCAGTCTGCACAGCAAGAGCAGCAGAACCAGAGTCTCCCTCAGCTCCAACAGATCAGCCAGTCTCTAGCCAGTGATCTTGGGCTTTACAATGTGAGTGACCTCTCCTCTCATACTCTTAGAAGCCTATGTTGTGCAGCTAGATCGAAAAGATCTAGGGTAGGGGTACACAACTCTTGTCCTAGGGGGCTGATGTCCAACCCAGTTGGTAGTTTTCCTTCTCAAAGACCTCATGTGACTTCAGATGTGACTGAGCTGAGAAATGACCAGTGTTCTTGACTTGCACCCCTGATCTAGAGGGTATTATCTAATGTAGAGATCTGAAATCTGGACATTCAGTTTCCAAGTTCTTTCAGAGGTCTTCAGTTTCCAGTCCTGAATTTTGCACTCATTGGTTGGTATCAAACCAGTTGGCCAATCAGTTATATCAGCAGTTCGATTAACTACCAGCGGATACAAAATACATGACTGGAAACGGCATTCTAGGTCATATATATATATATGTGTGTGTGTGTGTGTGTGTGTGTGTGTGTGTGTATATATAAATAAATATATATGTATATATATATATATGTATGTGTGTGTGTGTGTGTGTGTGTATATATATATATATATATATATATATATATATATATATATATATATATATATATATATATATATATATATATAAAAATAATATTATTATTATTATTATTATTATTATATATATTTTTTTTCCCCCACACACACCGATCAGGCATAACATTATGACCACCTCCCTGTTTCTACATTCAGTGTCCATTTTATCAGCTCCACTTACTATATAGGTGCACTTTCTAATTCTACAATTACAGACTGTAGTCCATCTGTTTGTCTGCATACTTTGTTAGCCCCCTTTAACCCTGTTCTTCAGTGGTCAGGACCCCCATGGACCCTCACAGAGCAGGTACTATTTGGGTGGAGGATCATTCTCAGCACTGCAGTAACACTGATGTGGTGGTGGTGTGTTAGTGTGTGTTGCGCTGGTCTGAGTGGATCAGACACAGTAGTGTTGCTGGATTTTTAAACACTGTGTCCACTCACTGTCCACTCTATTAGACGCACCTGTGTTGTTGGTCCATCTCTTGCTGTACAGTAAGAGCTAATCATCCTATAGTCCTTCATTGGGGGTCGCAGGACGCTGCCCACAGGACGCTGCCAACCGATATTTTTGGTTAATGGACTATTCTCAGTCCAGCAGTGACACAGAGGTGTTTAAAAACTCCAGCAGCACTGCTGTGTCTGATCCACTCGTACCAGCACAACACACACTAACACACCACCACCTTGTCAGTGTTACTGCAGTGCTGAGAAATAGTGCACTATATGGTGAACAGGACACAGCTTCAGTTTATCGTGCACCGTTGTGTGTGTGAATGAAGTGAATGTCCTTTGCTAACTGTCTTTAGAGTCTGTATGATCCTTGTTAGTCATGTACTTGAGTTTCACTTTTGCAGACGTGGTTTTAGTGAATTGTACCTTTGTAGCTGCTGTGATCATTTAGCTTTTAGCATTTTGTTTGTGTAGTGCTGTTTAATCCTGAGCAGAGGATGTTAGCTACTGTGATATATGTGATCTGTGGCTTGGGATAGTGAACATACATACGTGTGTGTGTGTGTGTGTGTGTGTGTGTGATATGTATTTTTTTTATAGCTCTAAATGTCTCACATATGCATCATGGCAGTATATGCGTGTATGTGTGTTTAGTGTGTTTAAGAAGTTTTAATGTCTAAGGGGGTACAACAAGACTGCAAAAAGTTTTGCAAACACTGTTCTGTAGTATACATAACACAGGTATACAGCACTATATTTGTAGTGCGATGCAAATTCTAAAATGGTGTGTGATTTTCAGTTGGTTTGGTTCAGCTGTGGAGCTTACACTAGAATTAGAAACGTTTCTCACTTAGTGACTTTCATATCGCTGCTCTCTTTATCTTTGCAGGGAAGGCAAATGTTCCACTACCATGCAAAGTAGTCTGGTTCCTGCTTGAGTTGTGATTGTACATGAGACGGAAGACTGTCATAATTACAGTTAAGAAAGAGAGGGCTTCATTTTCCATCCACAATCTAAAAGAAGGATGTGGTCAGATTTAGGTTCACCCAGGCCTAAAATAAGGCTGCATCTTTACACTGTCATGTGGTGTTACGTCCCAATAAGATGCTTTAGTTAGACTGTGTTTGAACTTCAGTGTTTGAGTCCATCACCCCACCTCTCACCTGGGGCTACAGATAGCTCCTCTGAAGACCTGTTGTCCAAATGATCTTTTAAATCAGTGGATGAGGTCATAGCCTCTTATGTGTCCTCCCCTGTGCGGAATGCATTTGAGAGGAGCGCTGAGGTAATCCTGAAGTATAATACTTTACTTTTGTGTGTAGTGAATCTATTTATAGCTCTGTGCCAGGTAGAGATGAAACGATATTAAAATTTCATATCACGATTATCATGACCAAAATTATCACGATTATCGATATTATCGCGATATTGTTCAAAAGCGTTGAAAAGTAAAATAAATAAATAAATAAATAAATACTGATACACAAACTGAAACTCGTTTCACCAACTTTTTTATTAACACAGATAGAATTGGCAGCAATATGCACTTTTTGTTTGCATAAACATTAAAAAAATATAGTCAATACATTGGTAGTATTACTTTTGTATTACTTACAATACTCTGTAAACAAAAGAATAGCTAATGTATTATTATTATTGTTATTACTATTATTATTATTACTGTTGTAAATAATAATAATAATTATTATTACCGTTGTAATTATTATTATTATTATTATTATTAATTACAATAATTAGGGATTTCCCTGCATAGAGAATTAAATCTGGACCAACTCTGAGGTGGGTCTTAATGGAAAATTACTACTTCTAAGAAGTGTTGTACTCGGGGGATTTCTGTCCTAACTGCAACTGCAGCATTATTGTGCCGTTGTGGCACTGTACCCCTAATCAACACAGTGCACCAGGAAAAACAGCCAAAATCGCAGAGGAACTGCGTGACCGTGCAGACAGCGTAGAACTCACAGTGTGTCTTCACCTGTTGAGCAGTTTCTCTAAAAGCATTTTAAAACTAAAACATAACTTAAAATTAACGCGCATCTGAGCTGCGGCAGAAACACTCCTAAAGTTTAATCTCTGAAACTCTGCTTTTCCCAAAAGCGGCACACAGCGTTTACTCGCGCAAGGTCCCGTCTCAAAGCACACTATCTTCCCTATGTAGTGCACTTCGTGGATCATGAAATAGCAAATCCTTCACCCAAAGAGTGCGTGAAATGTTCACAATAACAATATATTAACAACAGGTTACAAATTCCCTATTTAAAACTCAATTGCTTGTTAATGATAATCGTGTTTGTTTGAACAGTAGCGCACTATGTAGGGGACACTGAGTGATTTGAGACGGTGTTATTCTCTTCTCAGACAGTAAACACTGCAAGCATGAAAGGGGAGCTGTGCAGATTGAACCTCTGCAGCGTCTCGTTCCAGAGCTTGTGTGACTGTTAACTTGGAGCTCATTTTGGAGACTCTGCTCCACAGAAATGTGTTAAAGGCTTTAGTTTCGATTCACAGTTGATTCACCGAATGTTTTTCTTTGACGCTTAAAGCTTCATTTTATATTATTAACGAACCATAAGCACAAGTTAAACCACACAGACCATAACATTTCTTCTATTTCGAAGTCCCCACAGATTTCTCCATTAAAGTTAACCTTGCGTTCTCTAAAAAGTAGCGGGTGGTGGTCGCGAAGATGACTCGTAAGGTTTGATGTGTTGCCCCCTTTCGCCGCTATTTTCTTTCGGCCTGTTCTGCAGACAGGGTGGTCATCTTCAATTAACTTTCCTTCTGCATCCTTATAAAACCCAAAACATGACCAAACGTCAGACTTGGTCTTCTTAGAAGGCTGAAATATCTCCGAATCTCTGTCACTACATTCCGCCATGTTCTCCCTTCTCTACTCCTCCCCCTCCCCCTCCCCCTTCCCCTCTACATACACACAGAGCTGCGTCTGAGAGAAGATTCTGCCTTTGTTTGATTCTGTGCAGCGAGTTTTTCACACCGCGGTAATCGACCGCGGTTTTAACGATACTTTAAAGTTCAAACGGTACTACTAACCATCATTAATTTTACCGCGCTTTACCGTGAAACCGGTAACCGTTTCATCTCTAGTGCCAGGTACTGTTTCCTGCCAGGTACAGACATCCCCTCCCTGGAGGGTGTATCATGCTAAATTCCATACTACACAGCCATTGTTTGTACAACAAAGTCATTAGGAAATGTTGCCACGTGTCAAATATTAATACTCTTTCATTCGTAACTCTGGAATTTTTACACAGTATGTTTCTTAAGCTGAAGAAAGGCCTCTGGACTGTTCCTATCAACACTGTCATGACTTGATTATTCTTTTCAGCTTTAGTCAGCTCTCTGGCGTACAGCATGTCTAGACTGGTTTAGATTCAAAAACATTCACAAGCTAAACTAAAAAGGACTTGATTGGATCAGTGCCTAAATTATAGAAGATATATATTTCTAGAATTGCTAGATTTTTCACGTTCCGAGAATTGTAGAATTCTGGATAAAGGCTCATTGAACGCTATGAAGTTTGGTTGAGGTTATAGCAGTGTGCTCTTTTTGTAGCAATTTGTGGCGCAAATGCGTCTTAAGTGTTGGCCCTAGATAGTGAGGTAGTGATTTTGATCCCTGGCAATGCCACAGCCAACCATGGGTGGGAGTCCAAGAGAGCGTATTTGGCCTCACACTTGCTGGGTGGGTAGGATGGCTCTCTTTCTCTTCACCCCGTCACTCAGCACGTTGATAGCCAATGCTGGTGACTGTTTGTTGATGTAACAGAATTGGCAGTTAGTGTTCAGCTGTCCAGTGATGTTGCAGTAGCAGCTGTTTGAAAAGATGCCTTGGGTGGTTTCGCGTATCTTGAAGCATGTGCTAGCCATCACCCTCCTGGCCTGGTATCATCATGTGATGGGGGAAGCCTAGCTAGTGGGAAGATTTGGTGATAGAAAATTGGGATTTGTGTTTTAGATCCAAAATAAGTCTCTCTATGCTGTTGCAGGACTCTTTGTTATTGAACTCTCTGCTGGATGATCCATACCTGGGCCTGCAGCTCACTGGCAGACAAAACCAGAACTTTTCTCAGCAGGTAAGACAACTTATACTGTACTGTACAGAAGTTGTTGGACTAAATTAAGGTGACGTTTTGATATAATTTGTTTATTAGTTTGTCCTATTTGCCTTTTATACATGTACTTACTTTTTTCTCTTCTTTGTTATTTTTTCCATTCACTTTTGTGTATTGTTTCATATTGTAGTTCAACATTGACTCTCAGGTAGAGGGTTTGTCCTTTAACCACAATCTGGGCTCTGGCACCGTCTGTAAGGGCCAGGATGGCTCATTCTCTAGCCACCAGGGGGTGCTAGACTTGCTGGAGTCTACAGAGCAACAGTTCCTCAACCCCAACCAAAACCAGAATTATGGCAGTGGACGCCACACTGTCCCCAACATCATATTGACTGGTGAGTGTGATGTGTGTGCATGCTGGTTCAGTAATGTTGTGTCTGAAGTCAGTATGATCGGTCATTTTGTGTGAACCAAAGTTTACATAAATTCAGTAATTATATAAGGTGTTAGTGGAAATTACAAGGCCCAGTTTATTTGTTCATAGCAGTAGAATACAGCTTCTCTCGTTTGATGCTGTGATCAGTGCTCAGGCTAAGGCCTCTGAAGAATGTGCAGTGGTGATTATATATGTAAAAAGGTTCAGAAAAAGCGATTATATATGTAATCGAATAATCTAGCAACTATTTTGACATTCAAGTTATCATATTCACGCAGTTTATAACTGCAAACATTTCCTTTTACTTCACAAAACCATCCCAGCTCATTATGAAGTTGCTTGAGAGAATACAAAGAGTGTGTAAATATTTTAATTTGTATAATGCTGTTTTTTGGTCTCTACACAATTTAATGTGTTATTTTACGGCTTTAATATCTTCACTGTTATTCTAAAATGTGGAAAATGTTGTAGATTGATAGACAGAGTGTCCAAAACTATTGACTGGTAGTGCATATGGCTTTCAGATGAACGCTAGGGACATTTTTATGTACTCTTTTCTGAATTAAAAAAAAAAGTAAAAAGTAGTAAGAAATTATCAGGGGTTTACTCTTACCATTGAAAACTCCGCAGTTGACACTTAAAAGCTTGTCAGATGTACACTCTTAAAGATGTTTTTAAAGGGTTTTTTAGTAAAGAAGATGGTTCTATATAGAACCACGAACACTGAAAGAGCCCTTTGCATGATTAAAGTGTTCTTTGCAGAGGGTCAATTAATATTGTTCCTATAAATCTTTTGAGGATGTCTCTTTCAGTCATGAATTCTGACAACACAATAGCAATAAAATTCATATGTGGTTGAAGAATATGCAGCCATCTTGGCACCTTTAGACTATTTTTCATGCTTCAGGGGCTGTATTACAGAAACTTCCTATCCTTTTGTCTTAACCTAAGATCTGATAGGTCAAAATAATTTTTTTTTTTTTCTCTGTTTTACAGAAGCTAATCTTAATTTAAGAATCTTACTGTATCTTATTTGAAGTTGGGAAATCTTATCCCACTCAATCGAAGTCAGCAGTCAGCTGTCCTGTCTTTTACCTAGAAACCGACCATATGCACACAGCTGAAACTTAAAAACAAAATAAAAATAATCAAGTTAGTAGGCCAGACAGCTAGCTACAGTTATAAAAAAAAAAAGGCAAACAAAACTAAACTTGATAAACTTGAAGTCAAGAATATTGTGACAGCGCTTCATGCTGTTTATCAGAGTGTGTCCGCTTTCCAGTTTCAGTTTTAGTTTCCTAAACACCTTAGCCGAACGCACTAACATGTCATTATGCTAGTAAGGAACTGTCCTGCCTGTCACTGTATAGAATGATAGAAACAGACAGTTAAAACAGTGTTTAGGAAATTTGGTCTAGTTAGGACGCTTCTGTAATACTGTTTTCTTATCTGGAGTTCTGTAATAGCTTCTGTCCTCAATTCAGTCCTAACTAAGTTGTCACTGTGACTAAACAGATGTAAGACATAAGAAGAGAAGAAGTTTCTGTTAAATGGCGCCTGGTCTCTTAGAATAAAAAGTGCCTGCATGCTGGCTGTTATGTTGCTGGATCTTTTTTCATATGACATATAAGCTACAAGAAATAATCCTTTATATGAAATGAGATGCACATGTCTGTATGCATAGTAGTGCACACGTATACTAAGCTCACGCTTCTAAAATCTAAATTGGATGAGAACAGAAACTGCAGGGCTGCACACTCTAGGCTTTCTTCCGTATAATCCAGTCAGCTCTGTTTGAATGAGGCCGGCCATTTATCACCCTCGGCCAACAAAAGTGTGCAGTCTCTTAAGCTGCATTCCTTAGAAAGTATGCAGTCATCTGTAATCATGCAAGAGTAAAAAAATCAGGCTTCACTGAGCATGAGGCCTGAGTATATAACAGCAGATGAATACTGTTTGAGTCTGATTTATGCATTTACACAAGTTAAGGAATTCATCCTGTCAGTAATGATGGAACTAGTTTGTTATTATTTGTATTGTGATTGAGGCACCCAGTTTGACTCTTGTACACTGATTAAAATACTTTTTTTTACAGCATTCCTTAATTATACATACAAAATTTTACGCAATTAGATGTATTGTAGTTTGACTATTGTCTTCCCCATCTACCCCCCGCCCCAGTTCACGTTCTGTATTCACTCTGATGAATCTGATTAAATGTATTCTTTTTAGATTATTTTGATCAGTAAATAAAATGTGGAATGATTTTATGAAATGTTCAAAATCATTTTAGTACTCATATAAAGAGATCATTAAAAATCAGCTCTTTGTGAATATTTAACTCACTTAATCTGGTAGAGATGAAACGATATTAAAATTTCATATCACGATTATCATGACCAGAATTATCACGATTATCGATATTATCGCGATATTGTTCAAAAGCGTTGAAAAGTAAAATAAATAAATACTGATACACAAACTGAAATTCGTTTCACCATTACTATTATTATTATTATTATTACTGTTGTAAATTATTATTATTACTGCTGTAATTATTATTATTATTATTATTATTATTATTATTATTAATTACAATAATTAGGGATTTCCCTGCATAGAGAATTAAATCTCCACCAACTCTGAGGTGGGTCTTAATGGAAAATTATTACTTCTGAGAAGTGTTGCACTCGGGGGATTTCTGTCCGAACTGCAACTGCAGCATTATTGTGCCGTTGTGGCGCTGTACCCCTAATCAACACAGTGCACCAGGAAAAACAGCCAAAATCGCAGAGGAATTGCGTGACTGCGCTGTGAGCGGTAGACCGCATAGAACTCACACAGTGTGTCTCCACCTGTTGAGCTGCTTCTCTAAAAGTTTGTTTGAAAAGTAGTGCACTATGTAGGGGACACAGTGATTTGAGACGGTGTTATTCTCCTCTCAGACAGTAAACACCGCAAGCGAGAAAGGGGAGCTGTGCAGATTGAACCTCTGCAGCGTCACGTTCCAGAGCTTGTGTGACTGTTAACTCAGCTCATTTTGGAGACTCTGCTCCACAGAAATGTGTGTTAAAAGCTTTAGTTTCGATTCACAGCTGATTCACCAATTGTTTTTTTTTGACGCTAAAAGCTTCATTTTATATTATTAACGAACCATAAACACAAGTTAAACCAGACAAAGACTCCACAGACTTCTCCGTTAAAGTTAACCTTGCATTCTCTAAAAAGTAGCGGGTGGTGGTCGCGAAGATGACTCGTAAGGTTTGATGTGTTGCCCCCTTTCGCTGCTATTTTCTTTCGGCCTGTTCTGCAGACAGGGTGGTCATCTGCAGACAGGGTGGTCATCTTCAATTAACTTTCCTTCTGCATCCTTATAAAACCCAAAACATGACCAAACGTCAGACTTGGTCTTCATAGAAGGCTGAAATATCTCCGAATCTCTGTCACTACATTCCACCATATTCTCCCCTCTCTCCCGCTCCCTCTCTCTCTCTCCCCCTTCCCCTCCACACACACACACACACACACACACACACACACACACACACACACACACACACACACACACAGAGCTGCGTCTGAGAGAATGATTCTGCCTTTGTTTGACTCTGTAAAGCGAGTTTTTCACACCGCGGTAATCGGCCGCGGTTTTAACGATACTTTAAAGTTCAAGCGGTACTGCTAACCGTCATTAATTTTACCACGGTTTACCGTGAAACCGGTAACCGTTTCATCTCTACACTTTGGTATACTAATGGTTTAATAATGACTGTGGATATAATGTTTTAATTCAATGTTTTGGTTACTGTCTGTATTCTACAGGTGACTCTCCTCCTGGTCTGTCTAAGGAGATCACCAGCGCTTTATCTGGGGTGCCAGGTTTTGAGATGGACCCATTCTGTTCCGATGACCCCCTCAGGATGGACCCGCTGGCTCTGGACGGGCTTGGCATGCTTACCGACGGAGACCTGCTGGCCGATCCTGCTGTGGAAGACTCCTTTCGTTCTGACAGACTCAAGTGAACGAGGGGAAGGAAAAATGGAGATGAAGCGGGGGAATAGAAGGATGAGTGTAAGCTGTGGTATTTGGGAGGAAACAGAAAGAAACATAGCACGAAACCCCGTAGCATGTCTGAGAAAGGAGTAAAGTCTTTAAGGCATTCCAGTGGAATTTCTTCAGTCTCCACCATCTGTAGGCTTGAAAACTGCTGAACCGATTCCTGAATGGGACCAAATATGTTTGTTGAACAAGTATTGGTCCAGCTGTTTATTCTCTATGCGCCAGGCACTTACTGAGATTTCTCTTGTGATGCAAGTAAATGTAGGCATTAGCTTGTCTAAATCCTTTCTGCATGTTAACAGATGCACTTCAGATTACGTGACTCAAAACTGGCGTCAAGCATGTGATACCGGCTCGCTGGGAAGGATATTCAACTTGAAAATCTGTGATAGGAGATGCTCTTTTTTTGTATTTGTTATGTGCTCCCAAGTGAGGATCCAGGAAAACAGGCCAAGTTCCTTTGTGCTCTCACTGAAGAGGAATCGCCAAATATGAATATGACCAACTTGACCATGTCACTGTACGCCACTGATCGTGAAGCTTATGCTTTGTACTAAAAGAGTATTTATTAATTTCAAACTGAAACATGGTTGTTCAGTGAGATGGTGTCTATTTTTCATGGCCTCACCATCAATTTAAATTTGCCTTGTTACGTAACAAGGCTTTGATTATGCTGTAATGTTGCAAAGCCCCAAAAGAAGAAAGTGGCTTTGATTTAGTAACAGACTCTCATTGCACCCAAGTGTCTGGAAAAAGATTGCGTTTTTGCTCAGAGACAAACATATTTCATTAAGATGAGATTTGTCTGAGAATTTACATCTAAATACCCCCTGAATTTTTTGTTGTTGTTTATGCTTCATATGAAGCATAAAGCCTGTGTTTTGTGAACGTGATGTGACAGTGGCAGTTTATAATAGCAGTTTGTGTAAGTGCTGCTGTCTTTTGTGTCAGGCTGAGCTGAGTTCATCTCCTGTGTGCCCCCCACCTCCTTCCCCAACTGAACTAAAAGCTGCAGCCCTGCTAATATAACATAGCATATGCTGTTGCATTGCAGTTGCATGAACTGATTTCTCACGAGGGTGATTTGCATCCAAATGGACACATGTTGATGTGTTAGTGTTCTAATGGCTGTCCCTCGTGTGGTTTGCTTATGTCTGGTGGAATGTGTGTGTTTGGAGCCAGAGAATGCAGTCAGATTTTTTCCGTCACTGTGATATGCATCTCTTACTGCTCCCCCTGCCTGCCTTTGCACATGCCCACTCCTGAACAAGGCCATATTCAAAGGACTACATATTTTATGTAACAAATAGTGTGTACTATGAAGTTTATTTTTTAACAGAGTAAATCTAGATGTACGTGTATATAAATGTATTCGTATAATAAGTCTATAAATTAAGGAAGAGAAGCCTATTTCTGATGGAATGCACCAAAGCGTTGTCATTCAGCAGGTTGAGTTTTATTTGTTGAAGCCACAGAATATTTGAGTCTGCTTTGTCTATTTGCCTTCTGTGTCAGTGTCGTTTGCTTGACATTTTTATTAGTTTAAACCATCTTTGATATTTTTAGAAAAATTTGTACAGTTGCAGTGTTCAGCATCCCTTCACTGCTATTTGCTTGTTACTAACTGCACTTACGTTGGCTATACATTTTTCATGTGAAATAGAAACATAAGCATGTCTCAAAGAAATGCTGGAATGTCAAGGAAGCCTTTTGTTTTACTGTAATTATGAAAAACTCACAGGTAGATGGGGAAAAGAAAAGTCCTGTGCGTGACAGTGGTACCTTAAAGGCCAGTGCATTTTTAATGATGTAGCTCTCAATATTGTTTTGGCAGTAATAACTGTTTATCTAGCACTTTTATACATTTCAAAGTTATGTACCAGCATGACCAAAAAGACAAGCAGATCAAGAAAAATATAACAAAACAGAAAAAACATTACAGCACATGCAATTGTTAAAATAGATCTAAACTACAGTACAGTTACAGTGTAAATCATATTTTTTTTTCTGCAGTAAAATCATCCAAGGCTATAAGAGAAAGTGCCTGACATCTAAAATACATTTAGATTGCATAGAAGCAAAATGCTGCAGGTTGGCTTTTATAACATTCAGTAAGGCTGCACTTGTTTGGGACCAACTGGTAACATATCCTGTCGGGTACATTCGGAAATGTGTAAAGGTGCTAGACCACAGAACCGTCAAGTGATACTTCATATCTTCTGCACACAAATCTTTTTCTGAACCTTTCACTTGGTTTGCAAATCATAATTAGTTTTTAAATGCACTGTGTAATTCTAGAGTGACTAAGGGGCAGAAATTCACTTTGCATAGATTTATAGTGTAGAAATAAGACCTGAAAAATTCTGTTCATTCAACTCCAGTTAACAAAACCAATCATGTAAAAACAGTGAAAGGAAGAGGAAAAATGTTTTGTGCAAAAATTGAGTGTTGCTTTGAAAATGCAATGGAAGAAATTTAAGATCAACCCAGACTCAAACATTTAGTCACTGTAATGATACTAGCACAGATATAAAGGTATTTCTAGGTTTTGTTCTAGCAGCTGCATTTTGAACAAGCTACAGTATGTATCAGTGTCTTTTTTGCATAATTGTAAACTATTAGCATGTCAAGTCACTGTATGATTTGTGCAGTGTTCCTGTGCTGAAAGGAAGTTTTTAGCATTTACCTTTTTAGTGGCATTGTGTGAGGTAAAGGTCAAATCAGAATTAAGAATAACACCTAGGTTCTTCACTTCAGGCTTGTTCTGTAGTGCCAGATCCTCCTAGTTTGCTTAATACTTTTACATTCTAGGCCATCTTTAACACCAGCTGTGTTAGGCTGAAAGCATAGTGGTGTGCGCAAAAGTCCTATACGGGTCATCTGCCATCTTATATATGCAGTGTCTTTATGTAAAGTAGCCTTATGCTTGCACTAACTTAGATTTCTATAAAGACTGTGCTCAAAAACACTGCGGGTACTCAAGATAGGTTTCCGTTCCATTCCTCTGGGACTGCAAGCTCACTTGTTTAACCATTTTTTTAGTTCAAGATCATTTGATTAAATTCAGGTAATCAGATTTTAATCAAGATTTGCTGCAGTGATTGTAGTAGAGGATGGTATATGGAATGCTGTGGTGCCTGTCAGGGTTTGGAAAGCTGATTATGGACATTGTTGTAGAACAGGGCCATCAGTTCTAGTCCTGGAAGGTTTGGAGTCCAGCCCAGCAGAGTTTCCTTGCTTAAACTGGCTAAACTGTGTATTTAGCTGATGAGTTGAATCAGCCGTGTTCTAGACTCAGGAGTGTAATTGATGACTGCTGGAGTGAATAGTTGCCAGTCTAAGTGCTCCCCAGACGTTGCTGATGTTTCTTGCTCACTTCACTGCACCTTTTTCTTGCTTACTAGACTGAGACTAGTGCTGCGTCCGAAACCCTATACTACACTATCCTGTACTAATACATAAGGTTGGGCAATGTGGTATGTTATTGTGATAACTTATGTCACAGTAAGCTTTCCTGTTTCTTTCCTCCATTTTGGATATCATCACTACCTTCGAGAACTCAAAAATTGCTTGAATCTTTAAAAAGAATCAAGAGCCTGTAAACGACAACCACTGAGGGAGAACCAATTGTTTGGTAAAATTCAAACTTCAGAAAAGCCATATATATATATATATATATATATATATATATATATATATATATATATATATATATATACTAAAAGTACTATGTTAATAAATGTATTAATGATGGTGGTATACTATATGTGAACCGCTATTCAGTATGGTGGTATGTGTTTTGGACACAGGCTAGATTTCCCCTGTAACACACAGCATCCTAGCTCACTTTAAAAATGTAGATCAGACAAGGTTAGTGTGTTCTCTTGTATGAGACCAAAAGTCAGGGATATGCGAAAGCTCTAGACTTCATGAAGTACGCTTGTTAAAACCGGCGCAGGTCGCTGCTACAGGTGATGCTGTTTTAATTTTACCCATGTTATTCATTTGCATTTTATGTGGGATTCTGAGAGGTTGCCTAGCCATCAAGAGCCTCTCATGATATATGTTTACTGCATAATCGCACGGTTTCGAGATTACTGCATGTTGTGTAACCAGTGCTATGATTCTTAACCCAACACTCGAGCTCCATATGTCTGTTCTATCTCAGTCCCAGTCAGCCTGATCCCACCTGCAGTCTCACCTCCAGATTTTGCATGCATAGTTTTCAGTCCCAGAGGACTGAGTTGGGAGACATCAAGGAAAGCTGTGATTAGAAATTGAGTTGGAAAAAGGATGTTATGCAGTGGCCTCAGTTAAAGCAGCAAAGGCTTTTTTACTGAGTGATGACTGAGTATTTTCAGAGTTTGAAAATGATGGATTAGTTTCTACTTAAGACTACACAAAGTTTGGAAAGATTTTAGATCACAACTGTGGAAGCTATTTTCATGAAACATGGAAAAAAAACTTTTTTAAAAAACAGAAAAAAAGAAAAAATATTTTCTTATGTTACAAATGCATGTGTAACGGTTATATGCACGCTTTTGACCTCTAACTGCACTGCAGAATGAGACTTGGACTTGCCATCAATGTATTAAATGAAAGGTTCATTAAAGTGCAGTTCTGTTCTCTGCCTGAAAGGGTAGCTGTTGAACAGCTAATAAGAGCTAAATCAGAGGTCTGAAGACATTTTGCCATGTTTATGGACGCAATTAAAAAAACGTTCTCTATTCCGTTTTGTGTCATTATGTGCTTGAGCTTACAATTGTTTTGTAGTCCTACCTTTCTTTCTAGGGTGAATATGGAAAAAAAGAAACAAAATGTTTGCTTTTTAAGTCATACCTTTACAATCATTACTCTTAATTTTCTTTATTTTGATAACCAGGGAATCCATAATGTTGTAAATAATATACCTAAACCATAGGTGCTTCTAACAGAATATTTTTAAGACTGTATCCTCATGATATTTTACAAAAAAAGAAAAATAAAGAATTTAATTGAATGTGTGCAAGAGGGTCATTGAAATCTTTTCATCGCTGTCCAAAGAAAAACATGTATCTTCAAAATAGTAACTTTACAGGAGAGGGCAAAAATGTTCTTTACTTTCAATGTAAGTTAATGTAAATAGATTTTATTGTAAGCAATTTTGGAGCATTTCTATTGGTCCAATCATCATGAAATTTTCACACAATGTAAAGGACAGCTACTGAGCTCAAATGATGCAGAAAAGTAAAAATTGCAAAAAATGGAGATAACATTTTTCATTGGATGGCGACATTTTGCTTAATGTCTATTTCAGTCTACTTCAGTCACAGACGTTCAGTTGCATGCTCACAGCTTGTATTGTATCCATAGAAAAACACTGCTAATAGAACAGGAGTCTCTGGAGCACATGAGACTAAGGTCACCATGCTCAGTGCCAAGCATCAGCTGTAGGGGTATGAAGCCCCCCAGCATTTGGCTTTGGAGTAGTGGAACATCATGGAATACCTTTGGCATGAGTTGGAGTGGCTTTTGTGATCTAGAACCAGGGATGGATCATGGTCTGGTGAGGCCTGCGGACATAAGAGTGTTTGGAAGCCGTCCACACTCCAACACATTTGTTTTTTTTTTTGTTTTAAATATAACAATATTTTGCCTAATTAATGTGTGATAACATCATGTCTACTTTATTAGTTTGTGTGTTCTGTGTAAGACTTCAATAATGATTTCTATTCTTTCAAGCCAAACTGAGTCATTCAAACATCTTGATTGACTGGTAACGCCAGTATTCCATGACACTTGAGGGACCTGACAACAGATAATGTTTCTTTATTTATTTAAAATATTTAATCATTTGTACATATTGAAGGGTCATTTGTTTAGATAATGTGCAATGGATGGAGTATCCTGAGTATGGGATATTTGGGCCACCTTGATTCTTTGTCTGAGGCCTCCCAGGGCCCCTGGCAGTCAGAGGCCCAGTTGGTAATTCATTCCTGTCCAGAACTGGTCATCCAACATCAGTACCTGACCTTGCTAATGCTCTTGTGGCTGAATACAATCAAAACCTCACAGCAGCGTTCCAACATATAGTGTAAAGCCTTTTCAGAAGAGTAGAAGCTGCTAGTGCAGCAAAGGTGCACCCTTTAATACCCCTATCTATACGTTTTTGGACATATAGGACATCTTCGGACGTCTTGACCAAATTTTATAACTTAACCCCCCACGCCTTTTGTGTGTGTTTTGTATGTCTTGTATCTAACGGGACTGGGACTGAAGCTGATTCTCACGCCCCGCCGGCAGTAGTCAGTGTCGCATTTCCAGCTGCTCCTCCCCCCGGCCGGCCAGAAAGCAGCGGCTCTTCACTAAGTACGACCTGCTGTGCGTGTGTTTGGGTCTTATTATTATTTTCTCTTTTTTTCCGATGGCTGAAGCTGGCAGATCTTCTAACAGCCGTACGGGATCATCAAGAGAAACGAGGCCGTGTTCTCCTCTGGCTTGAACCTTCTAAAGAAAAGTGAAACCAGCACATTTTGTTGTTTCTTCTTTGCTTACCCTCACTCATCCCGCAGCAGCAGAAGTCGACCTCTCCTCTCCTCTCCTCTCCTCTCCGCCGTGTTGTGTTGTGGTCTGTTCAGGAGCCCCGGAATGGACGTGCATGCCTTCAACATGACCTAAATCTGCCCAGAGATGTCACTTACACCGCGTTGTCTGAGTTGACAGCACAGGTCGAGTGGTACGTGTTTGCTTCCCGAGTTAAATAGCAGTAATATGTTTGTGTTTTGCCTGCCTCGCTGTGAGAGAAGTCACCTCCTCTCATGTCTGCGTTATGAACGCTAGCTGAGGCAGAATGCGCTAGCACTGACGGCTAACTTGATATAAAAACATTTCTCAGTGCTCTGGTGTTCAGTGTGATTCATAGTGAAAGACTGTGGTTGTTTGGATTAGACAAAAACAACCGTTCGCCCTTCCTTGAACGCCGTATGTCGGCGCTAAACCGCTGCTTGTGCGGAAGACAGGCTAACGGGCTAACTGGTGTTTGCTAGTGGGTTAGCTAACGTTAACGGACGCGCTGTGTGAGACTCGCTGCACATTCAGCCATCGGAATTCATCTTCGAGCTTAATCAAGTAGCGCAGCTGCTCTGGACAGTTGTGTTCACTCTTGTACAATGGCTAACATAACTGCAGCTAAGCGGTACTGTTAGTAACCCATGAGTTCACTGTGTGTCGCTAATGATGTGTGGGGCTTTGGTCTGGGCGATAGGACGATGTTTTATCGTTATCGTGATGAATTATGTCTCGGTACGTTTGTCTGCGTATATCGCGATATCGTCAGTGCTTAAAGAAGACTGTCCTGCTAGATGTTTCATTACGACGTGAACATAATTAGGCCTGTTTAGTTGGATTTAGTGCAGTGCAGTTTTGTAAAACATTGGATTAAAATAATTGTGGCTGTAGCTAGGTAAACAAAATATCTTAACGCATATTGCATATTGCGAAAATGTTTGGAAGTATTGTGGTATTATATTTTTGCTGTGTCGCCCACCCCTAGTGGGGCTTCCAAAACACATGGCCTTCCTTACCTCAGCATCATTCCAGGATTTTCTTCCAGTCTAGCAATTGCAGTTTGGATTGTCATAAACCATCATACCAGTAAATGATCCTTTGACTGGTGTGCTTCATGCTACAGGCTGAGGGTGGGCGATGTGACAATATTAAGCTGTTATTGTGATAAATCATGCCACAGTATGCTTTTCTAAGCATATTGTGGATCTTGTCAGTTGGGAAGAGCAGCACAACGTGGTACTTTTTGTTTTTTGCTCAATGGTTTAAAAAGTTTTTGAGCAACATTGATATCTTTATACAAGCAATCCACACATCTGTGCCACAAATAAAAATATACATTTGTTTCCAGCATCTACAGTTTATAAAAGCATCAACACAATAACATTGAAATGTATTTTTATGTGCTCTGGAGTATGTTTATGATTGCTCTTTATTTATACAGACTTAGAAAAAATCAACTGGATTTATTTAGGAAGGGATAACTTCCCTCACTGTTTTCTCTGAGAGGCTTTAACACTGTTAAAACTAACCCTGCTTTTTGGAGGTTGTGCTTGGCTCTCACTGTGAGCTGTTAACATACTTTAAAAGGAGCTGTAGTGCAATCGCCAAGAAGGTCTGTGAAGTGAATTCTGTGACTTTTGCGCAAAGTAATTGAAAAACATTTATGCTGAAAAAAGTTCTTTTCGTGGTACAAAAAGGTGAATCTCAGATTGCTGTAAAAACATTGCCAAAGATGCTACTAGAGGACTTTGAACAGTAGAATCTATTTAACAACAAAATGTCCATGTTACATTTGAGCCCACGTTAGTAAACATAAAGGTGTAATTGCTTCTGTTTACTTGGATTTAGTGCAGTACAGTATGAAATAATAAATAAAAATCATTGTATGCATAGTTCTGTATAGCTGTTTTTAAATTGTGACAGTACTGGTGCACTGTGTAGGTCCCAAATTATAAAACAAAAAGCCAAATGAATATATTGCAGTATGCATTATGCCTCATTTAATTCCTTTTTTTCCTCAAAGCGTGAATGGCTTTAGTAGTCCTGCATACTTTAGATGTTTCAGGCCTTTATAGGTAGACACATCTGTGTGAGTTATCATGATATCACTCCACTGTCTGAGATTTTCTCATAGTTGCATCCAAACATGTCATCTCATGTTGGTGTATTTCTCAGAGGAATGAAAACCCACTTGTATTACAGGGCCAATCAGCATTCCTATCTGAGAGGGTTCAGTAACATTTTCAGAAAGTAAGAGTGTACTTTATACAGAACACCCAGCTTAGACGCCAGTTCTGAGTGCATTGTTTAAGGAAAAAGTATGTCATCTAATACCGTCATTCCTTGCTTAATGCAATAGCCTACAGAAGGGAAGTTTTGCAATCAGGGTAAACCCCTTAGCCTTAATGTGACACCCTATATATTAGGGCTTCTGGCCTATTTATCTAGCGGTACCCAGTTCAGGGCACAACACAAGCTCCACAGCCAGACCAATCAAATCTATACTCTTCTAGATTTAAGCACGACCCCACAGGTCTAGATCTTAAGCTGGTTATGTTCTCAGTCATGTTGTGGAGACACAGTCGAGTGCTTCCTTCTGAAGGAAATTCTACTTTTACACAGCTTATCTTAGTTTGAGGAACTGACTCTTCAGCTGGACAGTTGAAACCGCTTAGATAGACCTAAAAAAGAGAAAGAGAGGAAATAAAACATCAAGACACATTTAGCCATAAACCTTTTAGAGGAAGTCAAGCTTCGTCACAAAAGGACTTGAAAACTTAGCAGCGGTGTGAGTGGTCACAGCGTGTAAGCCCATGCTGTCCAGGTGCATACACAGGATTGTAGATGAATATGTGCTGGTTGTTAGTCCTGTGTTGGCAACATGTAAAGATATCTACACAGCAGTTGTGTTATTGGGCTCCAGCAGGGCCCCAGTACTTCTCCAAAGTTCACTGATTATAAATAAAATTAACAAATGAAATTGATGCTTGCTTACATCGCTTATTTCCTGTGTTATGCAGATGAAACCAAAGTCAAAAATAACATAATATTTTGCAATGTACAGTAAAACTGTAAGACAGCATTGGTTGCTAAGGAGCAAGATATACTCAATTGTAAATATTGAGCTTTTCAGGGGCAAATAGATTGTGTTTTTGTTCACTCTGCGTGGGTAGAGCTCTGTGGATTAGCTGAACACTTATGAGCCATGTTTCTATCTGTGTGTATATGAGACTGCAACACTTACTTGCTTAATATATGTTGTATTTGGATTTGGCTATAAAACACCTGCTCAGTTTTGGTTTAATTGTTAAATTGTAATCAACAAAATGTGCTTCAATGAACATCTAAATGTTGCAGGTATAAGGCCCAACAGACATTCTATAATTGCAGACGTTTGTAACCATGAACCTCTGTTCTGTTTTTGTTCAGGTAAACTAATGCCTGGCCCACACTACAAGATTTCTGAAATAGATCTGTGAGGGGGATATGGCAAAATTTTAATATCACAATATTTCAAGTTTTCATCATTCACTATATGTCACAGTGACTATTTTTTCTGACATCTGATAAGTTGGAACAGATAAAGTAATCCCACATTTAAAAAAAATACTATTGAAAACTATGAATACAGTGATTAACATTTCACACACTGCACTGCACTAAACCCAATTAAACAGGACTAATGATGCTTTGTTATCAAACATTCAGTTGAGAACTTTAAGTACTAATGACATCTACAATATTATGACCTACTGTGACATAATTTATCACAGTAACGATAGTTATGTCATACTGCCCAGCACTAGACATAATGACGAATTTCACCAATTTTTCCTCAGAAATCTTTGTCATCAAAACCCAGAATAAAACATCACACTCTTTCAGATTATACTCATGATCCAGTCTCAGCCCACTTGGGAGCTCACAGGATTTCACATGAACAAACCTGCGGCTCTTGTGTGCGTTGGGCAAAAGAAAATGTTTTTGTTGTTGTTACTTTGTTTGTATAACTTTATATAGGAATAAAAAATATAGTGGAATTTGGATAAATTAAGTTTTATCTTCTTGTTGTACTCAGCTGTCCACTCAGCTCTGCTCTCAATTGTTGTCAGTCTTTCATGTATGAGGTGAACATTGTGTTTCATATGAGACAGTCAGCATTTGCTCTACACTCGTCAATGTTGAGGTGTAAATACTGAACGTTTAACATTTATGATTCGAAATCAGGGCCAGCCAAGACTGAAATATGAGTGGATTGCAGGATTGGATTATACACACTACACACCGCAGGGTAATCTGGGAAGAGAATTGTTTGTGACCGGCCTGAAATTGTAACACCTTTTGCGATTATCAGTAGGGGTGAATTGGCCTTAAAATTGGCCATAATCATTCTGGCGGTGCATGCCAGGCTTAACACATTGCTCCTCTCTGTAATAAGTAGACATTATACTGAACTCAACATAGTAAAGTAATGTGGTCTTTAGCAGCACTAACCCTGCCTAATAATCACTCTTCAGATAATTTTCTGTGTTTATTCTGTCATTTTACATTCGTTTTCATGTCCGTTTGGAAGATGGGCTCTAAAATGTGTCATCCCTGGGCCTACACTGAATCCTTCTTAGGATCGCTGACTAGTTCAGTGGTAAATCAATCCTGGAGACGGCTTAAAATAAACTTACTCTCTTTCCCTCGCTCTTTTTGCTCTCTCCTATTCTCTCTTTCCTCCTCTCTTCACTTCCTCTTTTGTTGCTCTCACTTTTTGTCACCCCTTTTTCAGCACCATTCTCTGCTGCTCTAGTTGATAGACTTTATTCCCTTTTTCGCTCCAAACCAAATCATGGCCATCTGAGACTCTGTGGTGACTTGAAATATTGATTCAGTTGTGGTTGAAGGACACAAGTGTTTTGGCTAACAGCTTGGGAAAGTACTAGTGGGGCTCTGCAGTTTCTCGAACTGTAAAAATTCATCAATTCCTAGAAAAGGTGGCGTCATCTGAAAATAAAGGATAGTTTGATTAGAACATACAGAATCAGGTCAAGTAGCTGATTTAAGCAGAAGGATTTCGTCATTTATTCATTCAGTGAGACAAAATTGAATGAATTTTGACCTTTCTACTGTGTCAGGAACGAAGGTACGTTTTGTTAACAAATGTACAAATGATGTAACTGT